TTATATAATATACTCAATCATCATATCAGCCTTTAACTGTCCACTGCTGAACATAAGCCTCCCCCTTGGGGGGTTTTGCCAGTAGTTGCCAAGCTTGGCAGGCGGATTAGCAACCGCAATCAGCTTTTAAAGATGTTTTAAGAGCTCGCTTCAATATACTCAATGTTAATTACAATTTTTTTTTTAAATACAGGATATCTAAACTCTGTATGAAATTTTCGAGACGTGTACCTATAATGTAAAAATAAGTATAGCCAATTGGCTTTGTTTGGTTTATTTTGTTCAATATACATGTATAATAATATAATTAATTGCGAAACTACCTGCATCATTATTTAGAAGATAAGCGATCGATACAATTTCAATACTATTATTACTACACATGTAAAAATGCCAACCACCCTCTGATATCAAGGATGAGTTTCTAGGTCGCCGTCATTATACCTACACGAAGGCCTCTGACATGTGACCGACTGTGACCTTGTGGCTTTACGAATATGTGGCCTGTCAGCACGAAGCAAATGAGAATCATTTCTAAGCGATCCAAATATCTACATTTGAAAAATATAGATGTTTTAGAATCTAGGCTGAGATTTGGTCTTGAGATTCCCAAACTGTACTCAAGCGTTGATTTTATAAATAGATTATTCATATAATCAACAGGTACGAGCGGGGGGAAAGGAATTGTTAGCAATGGAGTTTGACAACCCCATTGCTAGCAATGTGTCCTATTAGATCGACCTCCACATGGTTCTCTCTGAAAACCATTGTGAGCAATTCTTGTCTTCAATTTGTTGAATTCGTCACGATGGGCTAACTGACCTGCTTCATCCTCACCTATCATCCTTCACTGGTGCCCCGCCGGTGTATACAGATAGCGCGGGTGGGATTACCATTCCATTATCACTCATAAAAAAATAAAAAAAAACAGGTACTAGCTAAACCGCCAAACACTGTTTTGCCCTTTAACACCTCTGGGACTACTTTTCTTACGAAATTACGAGTAAAAAAGCTCCTATATCATAAGATGGAGCAAAGAATACACGTTTACAATATGTTAACATATTATTATCGGTTGAGCGGTTTCGGAGATTAAGGCGAACAAACATCTTGACATGACTTTAAGTTACATTTTATCTATACCTACATACATATAATTATTTAAAATAGATACGTAGTACTTAAAATTTTATATATTATATATATATATATATATATATATATATATATATATATATATATATATATATATATATATATATATATATATATATATATATATATATATAATAACAAAAATACCATTAAAAAGGATTCTTCTACTTCAAAAGTAGACCTTGTACTTAATAACTTTTTATTATTCTTTCTCTATGGCATCAGAAACCGAGGTCATTTATGGGAAGAGTGTACCTATAGGGATAAGGGAGGGACGTTTGGCGGAGCCGAGTGGAATGGTACCCGCGCCCGCGACCTTGTGAGGGCGAGGTCACACCACCCGCGCCGCCCCGCGCTTCTCCCGCACCCGTCACCTACCTGCGCCTCCGCGGACGTCACTCGGAACCCTCAAGCCTACATACCACAAATACAGATGTACAGCCAATCTAATCTAGAATAACTCGTATCGGCACAAAAGGCTACGGTTATATCAAATAACTTATTAGCTTATTATATTAATTAAATTATATTAATATTATATTAACTTATTAGATATTTTTTCTAGACATCGATTGATCTTTCTAGATTTTCACAAAATTTAAAAATAAACATAGATATAGGTGCATACATCATTTTCCAACTGTATAATTTTCTCATACACATGTTTTGCGAACTTCAAAATCGAATAGAAAACACAAAAATATTGTCTAAGCTGGAAATAAAGCAATTGACAGAAGAGTAATATTTTAAGAATGAGGTGATTTTAAACATTTGCCAATTAAAATCTGATCTGCCTCATTGCTAACAATATATGACCAGAATGACCTCCAAGTAGTGCCTTCTAAAGAACATCGTGGTTGATGAATTCGAAAGAAAGAAAGAGAGAAAGAAATATTTTTATTCAAGTAAACTAAGTTTACTCATTTTTGAATAGTCATTTTCATTATTTTACCGCCTATTCGGAACGCAATTTCAGCCAAGAAGAACGGGCATGAAACTCAGCTGTTGCTTTTTAAAAAATACAATACAAATTACTTAAAAATATTAATAATATTAAATTATTAAATATTAAATTAAATTATATAGTATATAATTAAAACAAATTAATAAATCAGTGGCAGTAACCAGAGCAGATCAGAACCTACAGGTAGCACCCGTTCACTAGTATGACGGAGAGTCAACTCTCATTGCGCTCAAACATATTTTAGGGAACACAATAATCCAGCCCACGACGCCACCACCTGTCTGGACATTTAATGAACATGGCTTACTCAAGGCACCCAACCAAGTCTGATATATGATAACAAAAATAATATTATCAGCAAATTAAAAAAAAAATATCTAAAAGTATTTTTTTTTTACATGTATAGGTATTATTATCATTTATAAACTAGTTTCTTTTTGCAAAAAATCATTTTTATGCAAGATTTAGACCTTTTTTAGGTAAATTCAGAAGATTAGAAATTTATTATGTTACATTCCCATAGAATTACTAACCTTATTTAAACGGCATATGAACAATATTAATTTATGATTGTTGATAAGTATTTATTAATACAATCGCAATTTTTTTTAAAAGTGATTTGTTTTTCCTTGCATATATAATATTTTCGTAAATGTTCGTCTTGATGAGCTGACTTGCTTTTATTATCACCTATTATCCCTTGTTGGTAGCTTACGAGTATATCAATAGAGAAGCAAAGTAATAATTTCATCTTTATCCCATAAAAAGCCCATAGCACATTTTCATTTCAAAATCAAGTATAAAAATTCTGATTTATCTTAATCCAATAAATAAATAAATAACATTTAATAGTATTTTAAAAACATTCACATCCACATAGGGATATGACAATGAAATTACAGAGTGTAAAAGGCATAACACCTTAGTCCTCGGGAATGGTAACGCATGAAGGGTATCATGGGCAACACTGTATACTCTATTATGTCCATAGTACTATTCCTGTCTATAGCTCAATTTATTTGCCATTCCAAGTTGCAAAAAAAAGGTCGATAAAAAGATATACAAGTACAAAAAATAGATTATACTTACATAATTTTAATTTGTATCAATTCAATGCCACACGGATCAGATTTTGACAATTTGTCAACATAATCCTCCTTGATGATTAAGGTCATCATAAATTTTAATATATATTGGAAAATGATATATTTTTTATTATTCCTTCCACCGAATCTTCTTAGACCATTAGACTATCCATGTAGTTTCCATCCATCATTATAATTAATATTTCTGAAGGAAATGCTTCAACATTTGTATTTGAACAGATAATTTACGAGCGAGTCTTAGTGTAATACCTAAATTTTTCGGGATTTTGGCAGCCTTAGTGTTTATTACTCTGACTCTTCAACTCTTTTTGTTGTTGGCAATGTTTTTTTTTCTTTCTTCCTTATTATACAGACTGTAGTCTGTATAATTGCAGCCTGTATAAAGTGTAAAAGTTTACTTTTTCCTGCCTTCCATATAGAAAAAAGTAAACTTTATTATGTGCACTAAACTGTGCTTAATGACATAGGCGTATGGAAAGAGAGGGAGGGGCGAATAGGCCATGCCCACCCCTGAATTGTCTGGTGCCCATCCCAAAACACGATCAAAACTTCGCAAACATATGTCTGTCCTAAATAATATGTCAGAACAGCGTGCTTTAAATTTATACTTAACTTACACATTAACAGAATTGGCGATTGAAATTTAGGTGATATGTATAGTTACCATCTATGTCCTATTTTTTCTCTGAATCTATATGATATAATATCTTAAAATGTCTTTCAGAAACAATATACTTAAATATAATTAGGATAGAATTATGATATAGTCTGGAATGTGTATTTTATTTAAATACAATTTGTTTGATTGCGATGGGTAGGTAGCAGCAGGCACAGGCTATTGGTCGGGCGGGCTGGAGTCGAGCGATGACGACGGTCCGCGGCCTTGGCCGTGATCGCGCGCTCGATATAGCCCGGCCACCGCCACCGCCCACCGCCTGCCCCCACTAAACATCTCCCAGGCTCCCACATATCTCCTGCACTCACGCCTCTCTCTTCCTTCAGAATTTCTGATGTTCACCGGATATTTCCGACTAAGAGCCGTTTTTAAGACGATTAGGTAAATGGCCTCATTATAAGTAATCTATGATAATAAAACTACATACTATATTTTATGATGCATTTATTTAAGAAGCCAACCGACGAAAAAGTCTATGAACAAAATAAAAATCCTAAAGAAAATTACTTTTATTTATCAACTCAGTCTATACAAATGAAATATAGCAGTAAAATAAAATAAAATATATTAGTGTACTTTGTTACTTTAAAATAAAAATAGATGTTTAAGGTTTTTTATGAAAGAGGCTCTTTTATTATGATATGGTTCTATAATTTTTTATCTGAAGGATGTCAAAATATCTGCACGAGTTCATGAAATTTTATTAATTATGGGCCGACCATTTGAATAGAGCCGTCTTAAATTATTTTATAATCTTTGGAATATGTATATGGCAATAGTGACTAATAAAACCGTTTATAGCAGTTTATATATTAATACTGACTAGACTTTGTACAAAAATGTATAATATCATTTAGTAGGCAGACTGCGTAGTTAGAGCGAATCAGAATTAGACACCAAGGTCAAAAGACCGAAGTGATATCATTTATATGGCGTGTTTGTCCCTGAACTCTGTTAAGTGCGAGTGACGCACGTGGCTTCAAATATCACCCTGACCTTCCTCGTAAAAATAATCTTTGTAATGTCAGGTAATGGGTCCTCACCCCAAACTAATTACCATGGGTCAACATGATTATTAAATTATACTATACACGATAGCTTACTATGGTAATAAATAACGTAACGATTTATTTCATGTGTAATCGATGACGCCCTATATTTTACGTCTTATGAATCACTAGCTATATATACAACACGTATTATAGTCTTTTTAGATAATAATTCTAATTCTATAAGTATAATATTATGTGTGAAACCTCTACACGTCGTCACCTTTATGGTAAACTTACGAAACTGAAAAAGATAAATTTTACAGGGGAACGTTTTGAAACATTAGAATGCAAATAACTTTTGATAGAAGACTACTGTAAAAGATCATGCTAACATTTTAGTTTTAAAATCCTGTTTTTTATTGTATGCGCTTAATTATTATTATATTACAAGTATCAGAAATAAATGCATATTCGTTACTTTGCAACATGAGAGTTTCTGGGTATTGAGTTATACAACAGCAAATCTACGAAAGTGGCAGTTTCGTAAGTTGCCAAAGAAAATCATTTTTTTAACGAAAGTGCCACTTTCGTAAATATACCAAGGTATAAATCATGTGTTTTGGAGAAAACTTCAGTTTAAATAACAACGTTATAGCAATGATTCATGTAAAATAACTAAATTAGGATTGAAAAATTGATAAAATAATTATTGAAATTTTCAAATTAAAGTGTTTATTATAGAAAATATTATAAAAATATGCTAAGTAAGTTTACTTTGGCTATATCACAAAAATATGTATTCGAGCTAGTGGATTTCTTTAATCGTTAGAGATAGAAATTTGAAAATAAGCCACAATAAGTAGTATGATGCAAAATGTAGATTTTTAAAGAAATGTCAAATTTGAAAAAACTGCAGATTCATGAATTTGCCATAGAGGTGACGACGTACTGATTAGACTATTTTTTTTTAATATCGACTGACTAATATTGTAAATAATACCTAATTAATAGAAAACACTAAAATATAATGATTTTCGACAAATGTTTTCTAATATCAAATAATTATATATATTTGTTATGTACTGTAAAAAATAATTATTATTTACAGTTAATTTACAAGAAATTATACTTACCATATTTATTAGTGAACTTCCACGTGTAATATAAAAGACATTTTATAAAAAGCTGTTTAATCTTTCAATTGAACTGAATATTGCAACAAATATTTATAAAAAATAACTATTTATTTAACTTTCTTCCCTTTCTGTTTTGAAGTTTTATTGGACTTGACCTTTTTACCGCGACCTTTAGTCTTTTCTTTTGCCTTCTGCGCGCGCAGGTCTTTCTTCATTCTTGGGTCGACAACCTTGTACTGCCCCTTAACTCCCTTTGGCCTCTTCATACGTTTTGCCGTATTGTGTTTTTTAGCAACCACATACGTAACTTTCTTTTTGCCATCTGATTGCGCCTTTTTATATAACTGTCTAACTTGCTGTGCTTTTTCTCTTTCTGACATATCAGCATTCTCCATTACGGCTTCAACTTTCTTTTTAGCTCGCTCCATCCGTTTTATCATTCGTTTCTTCTTCCGCGCTTTAGCTTCTATTACTTTCTTTATTGGTCTTGCATTTATATCTTGTAGCCTATTTTTGTACTCCTCTGAATATATCTGAAATATATCCACCCAAATATAAGATAATGAAAAATGTTGGCCACAAAATAAAAAAAAAACCATAAACATTTTAACATTTGACGAATGAGTGTAAACATACATTGGAAAGTATTATAGTTTGCCAATATAAAAAATAATAATAATAACATATATATTGGAGCGAGATAGACAAGTAAGACATTCATCTACACGTTGAACAAAATTGTATTCATTTTGTTATTCCATTTTGTTCATAGTCTCGTAATGGTCGAGAAAACTATAGTTCAATATTCATTTATATCAATATTATTTTATATCAATTCAATGTATAGGCAAGTAAGAACTAATAGGGCCTATGAATATTACAAGCCACGAGACACATACTACATAGCTCATGCTAACATTACTCTTACCTTTGGCCACTAATATAAAATCGGTTTCACTTGTTAAGTAAACTATAAAACGGTTTGTATATTTCAAATATGTTATTATTAAATCTCCAAAACACGAGCAAAGAGCTCCATAAATGTGTAGATACGGTTTTAATCGGTTATTATTTTCAAATATTTATTTACCTCAGGAACAATAATTGGTTTCCTCATATGCTTTTTTTCATCTTCTACGAACCAATCTGGAAGATTAGTATCATTAAACGCATAACGATTCCATGCGTCGTCTATTATGTCCCTTTTGAATTTCTTTGATGTCGCTATCATAGTACCTAAAGCTAGCGTTTCTGCATCCATTTTAATTGATTTTTTTAACTTTTTCAACTCTAAAAATGTAAAAGGATATACTTATTTTTTTTTCGAGCGCAACAGCAAACTTAGAACAGAAAAGCTAGTATAAATACATAAAAAAAAAAAAACTATACTATTATATTATAAAATTTAAATCCATTTATTATCGGTTCTTAGGATATCTAGGTCTAAATGAGTAAAGTAATATTAATAAAATTATGAATATAATTCTCTTTTCATATAATTGACTGTAACTGACTTCTCATCAGCAAAGTTGTGAACTTGTTTACTATTTTAATTCACGTACAGTAATTAAACTTGTTTATTCATAAAAAAACATCAAAAACTAATATATCTATCTTTGCCAAAGCATTATCCATCTCCATATTAGAAGTATTCATCCATTTTTTTTAAACTGAATAATTTTGTTTAATAGTAAAATTGGTCATGTGCACGAATTAAACTCACACATTGAACGTTTCGTAAATAAAATAATCTACAAATAGGTTTCTGTTTCCTTAAATAAAAATTTACTTATGTATATAGATAATATATAGTAAGATAAAATTACCTTATGTATATTTGCACATAAGGTAATAAAACACTCTTTACTGTTTTTACAAGAAATAGACATCTAATAATTATAAGCATTTTCTTACAATTTGAAATTCCTTACTTTAGATCTATGTATCTTTTATAAACTATATTTGTGATTAACTTCACAAATTTCGGAGATAAGAGAGAGAATGTTATTTTTTTTTTTCTCCGTATTTTCTACCATAAATCGAAAACTATGCAGCTTAAAAATAAATAAATATATATTGCTTTTAGAATGCGCAAAGGAAGCTTTCTTCTATTATATAAAACTCCTCTTGGAATAGTATAATAATTTTGAAATTTTGAGTATCCCTTTCGGTGGCATTAATAGTCATCGAAGTCGTATTATAAGGGTTAGTTTGTACCCAATTTTGGTAATTTAAATTTATACGGAACCCTAAAAATCTCAATTTGAAATCAAGTTACTCAGGTATTAAGTAACTTATCTAAAATAGGTTTACAGATGATATTACATTTTTATAACAAATACCTTCAATTGTTTTGTTTTTCCTAGGTAATTCTCAATAAATTTAAAATAAAAAAATATTTTAAATTACTTCATATAATACTTATAAATTTAACATTAATTAGTAAATAAAAAAAAAAATTAAAAAGATCAATGGTACCTGGGTCTTGGGATACAATCTCAAAATCATCTTTTTTCCCAGCTTTAACACCAGCTTTACCATTGTCAGGATTTACAGTTTCTTCCACGTCATAATCACTATCTGAGGTATCATCATCTGTATCACCATCACTATCATCAACATCCGATTTCCCTATCTCACTTAACTTTCGCTTCATGCTAAACTTTTTGCCATCAGATTTTGTTGTGACAGTATCTTCACTAATTTTTTTTCCTGCAAGTTAATTTTATTGTAAATTAAAAATTATTAATACTCATGACTATAGTATTTGATGCAGTAAATAGTTGGACATTTTATTGATTTTAACAGAACAAAATATTATTGAATCAATAACCAATACTTATTAGAAAACAATAAAATGTAAGTAAAATACAATTCACCCTAATAATTTAGAACTTAATCACAGAGTATCGATTGCCTGCTAAGTGCCAATTCAAATTAAGAAATTATACTTAAACATGTAATTTCATATAATTATACAAACATTAATAATAATTTGATAGTTTGTATACACATTTGTTACTCAACCATATTCAAAGAGCTAAATAATAATTTAAATGAAATTTAGTATACAAAGAGAAAATAATCCAGGTTAGCATATAACTTTCTATCGTAATTTAGTACTCACGTGAGCAATGCCACGTGCTATAAGTTATTTAAAATAAAAGTCCAACCTTTTTCTTTGTATGTTTCAACCAATTTATCTAAATCTACACCCTCATCATTCTCTTCATCAATTTCTTTAAAGCAGTCCTTTTGAAACCATAATTCTGCTTTCAAAGTTCTCTTCGATACAGGATCAGTATTGTCTAGATCAGTTAGTAAAGGATTATTTTTAGGTATAGTGGGAGCTCTACTAATGTTGCTGTTTCTTAATGTGTTTAGTTGAGTTAATTTGTCAATTTTCTTCGATTCATTTTCGGAGTCAGAGAAAGCTGTAATAAAAAGCAGAAATCAAAATTAAGAATTTGTTATATTTATACAGAATGTTTTATTCAAACAAATATTTCATCATCATATCAGCTGTATATCCATTACTAAACATAGGCCTCTTCCATGCCACGCTTGGCACGTGGATTGGCAACCACAGTTAGGCTTTGTTGGAGTTATGAAAGAGGGACTAAGCTACACCATATCAACTGTTAATTGTCCACTGGTGAAAATAGGCCTTTCTTTATTAGGGAGATATTGCCAATAGTTGCCACGCTTGGCAGGAAGGTCGGCAATAACAGTTAAGCCTCGGAGATGTTTTAAGAAAGATGCTGCTGTCCATCCCTCAACCATTAAGTTCCCTTAGTTGTCTGTTACGACATTCAAAAAAAAAAAGGAAGGAGTGGTCCATTCTGAGTTGGGACCATACGGCTAGTCCAATATTTAATTATAAATCATGGTGGGATTGTGTAGCATTTATTTACTATAAATAAATTTCTAATATTTATATACCTAAAGATTCTTTATCTTTTTCGCTTTCCGAATCAGATTCCATTTCCAATTCGCTGTCTGAGTCTTTGTAGTATAGCCCTGATGAGTCCAATTTAGATGACTCTACATCATATTTCATATATTTTGCCTTTATTTTCGGCTCATCATCTGATTCTTCACTTGCCTCTGCTACTATATCAGGCTGTTGATCAACAATCCTTGACAATTCCTGAAAGTACAATGTACATTACAATATTAAGATTGTGTACACAGTACTATATATAGTTGTGTATATAAAATCAAGTACAAATAAAGGCACATAGCACATGCAGTAAACAACTTCTTTTAACTTTGTAATAAATTAAAAAATCTTCGACCTGTATCAATATAATACGACTTTTTTTTTATTTAAAACAACATTTTTAATATACAAAGTTCTATAATTTAGTGATTTTGTTTCAAATCTAATATACAATCTCTATCGCTTAGCTATATGTAAATAATTAAAAACGCAATTTCGTTTGATTATTTATAAGACATAAAGTCGAAAAGCAATAATCAAATTTCTTGCCAGTTCTGTGCAGAAAATCTTTTAGGTTGGATGGAATAATTATATTATGTATATTTTTCCACCTACTTTATTATGAAATTGACGTACAGAAGTGAAAATAAAATTATATTGAATATGTTTTTTTATTCTGCTAAAATCAAATCAGTCACCGAAATAGCAAGATGTAAATATAGATACAGGACAAAATACAGAAGTAAATTTATTCAGTAATAAACAATGATACAGCATATACATTTTTAATGTTATAAACCCACCTGAGCACTTTTTATGTCCGATAATTTAAACATATCATGATTTTCCAATATTGGTCCATCATCACCTTTCAGCACCATCTTTAGATTCATCTTTTCTGCTAATTTCTGTCGTTGTTTATTTAATTGTTTTCTCTTTCTTTTTGTTAGCCGCCTTTCTTCATCCTGAAAAAAAAAATTGTTAATTATATTGACAAAAAATTACAAAATTTAAAAATAACATCACCCTATTAAAAAAAAAATAAGTAAAGGGAAATAAAGGCAAGGTAACCAGAAAGGACATATTATACAATCCTGTAATTATATGAATAATCATGAAATATAAAAGTATTTTTTAACCATTCAATTTAAATAAAACATGCTACTTATGCCAAGGTAGGCTCAGAATATTAAACAGCGTATTCTGATCCTATCTTGTGAAAAGTTGTTAGATTTCAAAATACTAATGCTATTCACTAATAGTATTTATGAAACCAAATAACTTTTCCCAACGCAAATTTTAATTGTTAAATATTTTACAATGTTTACAGAAGATCACTATTAGTACATGTCTATGGCTGACTTATAGTCATTAACAAGTGGTTAACAGAAATAAAATATACATAAAAATCAGTAATGCAACAAACACTTCTATCAAAATTAATATTATAAAAACAAAAGTCTTTGTTTTTTATTTGTAATAAATAAACTGAAAAATACAATAATATCAATTTTAAACATTCTTTCACCTTTGGAAAGCTGCAACTAGAAATTATTACTAAATTATTTTTTTTATTAATATTATAGAGATAAATAATCAAGTTTTAATAGTGCATTTGTTATTATTATTATATTATACTATTTGTATGTTATAGAAGTTCTTTGTCATTTTAAAATTGCAAAGTCTAAAAAAATATATGTAAATATTATTCAGAAACATAACAATCTATAAATTAAACATTCTCGTTCTTAAAAGGATCCTTTCATGCAAATATATTCAACCATTTCAGCAAAAGTGAGAAACAACTATCCAAACAAATGTTTCACATTTATTATTTTAGAAATATTATATATCTTTTAAGAATCAAATATACTGGGCATTGATCACCAAGTATTGATTAATCACTTGTTATTAAAAATGTTTCCATAGGTATATTTCAGGATAGTCAAAAATAATCTTAAATATGATAATCCATGGCTCACACATTTACACTAATATTATAAACAGAAATGATTTGTATGTTTCTTTGTAATGGATAAACTTAAAAACCATTCAAAAATTTTTAAAAATTCTTTCACATATAAAAAGCTATATTTTCAGCAAGTAACATATCTTATACACTATTTTCGAAAATTCTATCTATCCAAGCAAAGTCAGGCCATATCATAAGTATTTAATATACAGGAATCTAACCTGAAGCTCAGCTATTTCTTCATCCACCTTGTCATCTTCATCTGATACTTTTTCTTGAATATCATCACCAGCAATTTCAATGTTTTTCTCCTCAAGTTTGTTGGTTTCATTCTCCTAAAACAAATTTTACACAATATTTCAATAAAACTATTTGTTACAAATTAAATATAAATTTAGCGAGTGATATAGTAATAATATGTGTCCTTTTAAGATTCTTGAGCTGAACTGAAATTGATTATTTTATTTATTTATTTAAACAAACCAGGCAAAATATAACAAATAGTTTCGAAACTTCGTTTGCAAATAGGCATATTTAAGAGGTGAGGGGGTAGGCCTTGCACACCCCAGCATTGTTTGGTGCTCAAAGGTATATTTAAACAGATGAATCTTTTTTAAAGGTCCAGTAGCTCGCCCTGGAAAACAATATGCCAATGTATTTGAACACTTTCCTTGTGGAGTACAATACATATAGCAATATAAACAAAAAATGTAATTTTATAGATTTGTAATATCATTATCATAATAATTTTGAATGACACTCTTAAATAAACATTACCTGTGAAGTTTTCCATTCTTTAATTTGTTTCAACCAAGTTAATAATGCTTTTAGGTCTTTCCTACCAAGAACTTTAATATCTTTACAGCATATTTTAATCTCCTCTGTAGTTTTAGGGTGCTTCGCAATACTAACATCATCAATTACAATCTGTAAAAGTAAATATTTTTGTGTAGGTATCTATGTTAAATAAATATACAGATATAATTAATATTTTATTCTAAACAAAGAAAAGACAGGTATACCATAAGCGTTTCTAACATGATAATTTGTTTTGTGAATTCTTAATAGTAACAAAATTACCATAATATAAAATACAGTATACATTGTATAAATATTATTGATTAACTATCATTCATAATAACATATATGATATAAATGTTAGCTTTGAACAAGCACAAAAATTAAATAAATATATTTATTTATTTAATTATTACATATATAAGTACATAAGTGTTATAGCAATATTACTTTGATTGAATAAACCATCAATTAAAAAAAATACCTCTGAGCATTCTTGTAGTAAATCTATTGGGTCATCTTTAATAATAAAGTCAGATACTGGAATTTTATGATGAGATGTGTAATCATTCTCTTTGTAGCCTTCAGCCTTCGCCTTTTTTTGTTTCTCAGGGTGTAATATATTGTTATGTTGTTTTCTAACTATTTCTAAATCTTCAAATACATATTTGGGATCAAGGAATTTTGGATCAATAGTATCTGGTGCGATATATCCTTGGCAAACAACAAAAATTTCTGATGATTCATTACGAGATGCTTGTGGTTTTGTAGCATGGACTTTTTTAAAGAATTGCTTCAAAACCCATAACAGTGCATGATAATCTTTGGATCTGAAAACTTTTGTAACAAACCAACCACCCTCCCTCAAAAAATTGGTAGCTAGTTTCATAGCACTGAGCGTAAGACAAGCTTGTTGATAGGCATCATGAAGCCAATTTAAACCAACATTAGGGGCACCATCATGAAGCACCACATCAGCTTTCCATGTTTTAATTTCCTTCTTAATAGCCGTTTTACATTTTTCAGTTGTTATATCCTCTGTAAGACCGATACAACCAGGTACTGGCTTGATGGGAAACAAATCAACACCAATGACAATGCTAGATACAGGCATGTTTTGATGGGCCACCTGCATCCAACCACCAGGTGCAGCACACAAATCGATGCATACTCGAGATTTTTGCAAAAAGCCAAATTTTCTATTTAATTGAATTAATTTAAAAGCAGCTCTGGAACGGTAACCTGCAAGAAACAGACATTGTATAAATAAAATATAAAAATTATGTTTTCTATTATAGTAATTTGTCTCCTTTTTTAGACATTAGATTATTGTTTTATTGTTATGAACAATATTTAATACTAATATGGCAGTATAAACTGATTTAATTATCTTACATTAAAAATCTTGCTCTTGTAAACTAATAATGCAGACAGTGTCGCTATTCACTTTTCAACCTTAAAAAAATCTTTCTATATATCATTTTGATCTCAGGTCACTAGTGATAGATTTACCAGCAGACTAATTAGGTAGACAGATTTTCGGAATGGCAAATTTAGACCAAATATTTTGTTATTAATTTTTTTTAATGAAATTATAATTAACAAAAAAAATATTAAGATTAAGATATGATTATATAATGAAATGTAGAGATTAGTACATGCAGCAAAATTTTACTTGACTACTGGGGACAAATGTGTAAATGTGTAAATCCACCACTGGTAGCCACAGTTAGTTTTGTAGTCATAGTACCAAACCAATATGATGGCAAAAGAATAGGTCATATCTTCCTCTATAGCATTTTTGGCTTGCTTTTTTTTATTTTAAAATAGAGAGCTATAAAGAATAATCACAGTATATTCTTTCAAAAATAAGAACAAATATGACATACAAATCATTCATATTTGTAATTAAAAAAAAAATGCACTATGGTTAAGGGTGGTTTATTAGTTTTAGACAATAAAAATTTTGGTTTATAGTGTGTTAATAATGCACACTATTAGTCATAAAAGTTTTTAGACCATAGAAGCTTTAGCTTTTAGTAATAAAGTTCTTTAGTTAACAGTACCTGGTTAAGAATAAAAGACTAGCTAAGTATCAAATTAAACCATTAATATTAGAGCCACATACCTGTTTCCTTTGCTAATTGATAGTATTTATCTTTTCGTTGTTTACCGACTTTAGTTTTTTTGCCCATTTTAAAAATTTATTAAAAACGTGTGTTTCTAGGTTATTTCTTTATTCATGACATAATGCTTTAATAAAATGTAACAATGAATGTTTCCACACACAAATTTTAAGAAGAATATTTTAAAAAAATTGTAGGATAATAAAAATATAATCCGTATAAGATTTGCTTTCGATCAAAAAGAGAATTAAAAATTAAAAGTAATTCAAAACTTTCAATATGTTATTTTCTAGACCTGTCTCAGTGTTTAGTTATGCCCATTGTTGCCAGATAACAAAGATCTCAGTGATCTCGAACTAAGAACGAGGAATTACATAGAAGGAATAATAAAATAAAACTGTAAACCATATGGTTGGCTCCTTTCTTCTTATACAAATATAATTAGTAAAAAGAGGACGAAAGATACACCCTAAGTATTTTTCTCAATTCATAGCAGACTAGTGTATAGAAAATGTTTGATATGTCAGATATTTATCAATAACAAATTTTACATTACTAGATTATATATTCGACACAGTTTACTGTGTCGAATAATAATAACCTGCTTGTATACTTTCTACATAAATGTATAAAGTATACAAGCAGATTGTATTTGAATTTAGTAGGGTGATACGGCCATATAACATTTTGTATACACTAGCCTGCTATAAAATCACTCCTTCTACGTAATTCCTTATTCTTATATTTGGACCAAAAATCAGTATATGAAAAAAAAACACTGTCCAATCAAATCTCGTTTTATTTTAAATTACAGGATTTTTGTTTCACAATAAAATTATTAAAACTAATAACAGTAAGCATATATCATAAAAATTAAACACTGCCTGAATTAACAATAAATATTTTATTTTTATTTATTTATTTAACACTTTATTGCACCAACATAACAGGATTTGTTGAACAATTTTCAATACGTATAGTGTATAAATAAAATATTTTTATTTTTAACTTCCATTTTTGAACAAAAAAGCAAATGACAAATTATTTATTACAATATAACCTACAATCACCCAATGACCTCCCTCCCTGCTCTTTAGTGTGTATGTAAATAATACTAAATCCAGTTCATTCAGTTGCGAATTGGTCTCACACACCAAGAGTTTTGTACAAAAATATAAAAAATAAACCTATGTATAACATAGGCCATTGTGCTGAATTCCTGGTGTATTCATCACGATGAGCTAACTGATCTGCCCTTTTATTCTTACCTATTATCCCTCACTGGTGTTCCGCAAACGTATATCGGTATCATCCTTTAAAAGCAATGGGACTTGTAGTCCGCATTACTAACAATCGCTTCCGGGGGAAAGGGATTATTAGTAATGAGGTCTAACTGACCCATTGCTAGGAATATACCCTATCAAGTAGATCTCCACGCGGTTTTCCCTGGAAACCATCGTGGTTGATTCTAGTGGAATTCGTCACGATGGTCTGACTGATCTGCTTTCATCATCATCTATCATCTCTCACTAGTGCCCTGTCAGCGTATACCGATAGCGCAGGCCCCTGCCGGTATCCCCATACCATACCATTATTACGCCTTTAAAAAAAAGAATCGCTTCCAACCTCTCTGTCAACCCACTGTCCATCTCCACTATTTAGATGGATATTTATGATACAGCTCCATATACTCCATTAGATTTATATTATAAGTAATAAATTAATACGTCTGTTTCGATAAAACTTAAAGAAAATAATAACAAACATAATTAATTCGTTCATAAGACAGTCTGATGTTCAATAGTAATACGTATCAAAAATCGATTAATTGAATATTTCGATTATATTTAGAGTATTCTGTGATAATTTCAACTAATAATATTATTATTAGTTGAAAATAATATAATTAAAACTAATAATATATTTAAAACTTGGTTACCGTTTTACATTTTATTAAATAAATTATAGCTAGCAATATAATTTTTGCTCCAATCTATCTGATTAGGTATGTTAGTGATCACTATGTATGTGGGAATCACCGCAATTTATTCTTATGAAACCCCTTGTCGGTATTTGTAAGCTATTAATTATTTTCTATTAGGTATAACCATGTTAGGTAGGTAGGTATTAATTTTAATAAGGAATATTATCTATATACAAATTTAGTAAAATTTTTTGATATGCGTTATTTATGATAGGTGTTATTTTTTTATTGGTTTGGTACACGTATTCGTAATTCATGCATGAGTCATTCACAAAGATTCTTTGCAATTGGTCACTTCATTAGAATAATAATGACGTGTTTAAAAGATAAGGTTGTTTCTGTTCTTAATAGAATTAAAGCTTTATGGTTCGTTCTGATATCGAATGCACGTTTTTAATCGATATCAAATCGACATATCGATAATATTAAAATGTATTAATAATATCTATATAATGTTGCAGCTTTTAATATGTAATTCTTATAATAAATATATATCTGAGTTTGATTTATAGTATATTTTACCAAATAGGTTATTCTAAAAGTATCTTCTATATTAATTTCTCTTTTCGAATCGAATACCCAAATTGATTAATCATTTGAACAGTTGCATTGCCAACGTTAAAAAATAAACAACCAAGTCGATCTGAGCTGCGCACTACGCACTACGCAAAAGAAAACTCATTCAACACTTATCTACCTACATAGAAACCTAATCAATTTAGTACATTTTATTAATATATTACAAAAACAACTCGAGTCTGATTGACTACGCTTTGTTTGAGGCTCTTTTGTTCATTATCAGCTGAAAGTGCGATTATTTTACCAATTTGTCAATATTTAGTGGAACTTTACTCTAAAAATAACAGTTTTACTACATTTTAGAAATCATCTGCTGATCTTCAATATGACGCCTAATATTCAAACTTTCATAAATAGTTTTCAAAACAGACTGTAAGTATAGTTTTATTTTAATATATATTTTACCATTAAAACTTATGTGGTACCTACTGATGTACAATAGTAGACAGTGACGAAGGTCATTATTTTTGTTCTCCATTTTTCTAGAACAAATACACCGTCTAATAAATTACGACTTATTACATCAAATAACTGTTCTGTATAAATATTAATGTAGGTAATGCAAGTGTCGCTTAAAAGTAGTTTTTTGGAACCATAATATTGCTAGGTACAATAAAATGAATGAAGAGAGAAATTTTTAGTTGCTCATTGTATTGTATAATTAAAAATATTTTACATGCTTAGTTTGTAAATCCAGATTATTTTTTATATACATATCTAGTAACCTTTCTTTTGTAAATTAAATACATTTAAATCAATTTAAATAAACAATGTGAAGTGTTTGTAACAGTAAAATATATGTTTTAATATGTATCAGAATTTTTTATACATTATTAAAAAAAAGCTAGTAGTATTTTTTACTTTATTATACCTTCTCTAGAAATAATTTTATTCATGATTGTGCTATTTATTCTATATTGGCTTTAACCCTTGACTTTGTTTGTGTTACCACAATATGTTTACTTACTGGGATAAAGTAACCTATCTCCTTTATTCCATATAGTATGTATATATCAAATTTCATAATGATTGGTGAAGCTAACAGCTTAGCACAGGCACTATAAGGTAAAAAATAAACTCATTTTTATGTTTGTAATATTAATAAGACTAAATATACTTACTCATCCATTAAACTAGTATGAATGCTATAATTGAGAAGATAACATAGGTAATTTATTTGTAGATTGCTGTTTTATAATCTAAAATAGCTTTGACATATACACTTTACTGTATTTCTTATTGTTGTTAAATATGTAATAAATGATTTTCATTTGGAAATGTATATTTTTCTTGCTTGATAGTTTGTGATTTTCTAAAGTAATAGGTTTGCACAATTCTGTCACAAATTGAGCCAATTGCTTGTTATATGACCTCTGTGTAAAACTTATATTTCATCTTTATTATTTTAAGTATATTTTTTTTAAACTTTTTTATTGATTGTTAAATTGATATACATTTTTTTAGTGAACTTCCAGTTCGCCAGCATCTGAAAAATGTGTATGGCACACTAACAATGACCTGTGGTGCAGCCACAGCTGGAGTGTTTGTTGACATGTATACCAGATTCCAAGCTGGATTCCTTTCAGCAATTATTGGTGCTGGTCTCATGCTAATGTTGATTGCTACTCCGGATAATGGGAAAAACACAAGTTTACGCCTTGGATATCTTCTGGGTTTCGGTTTGACATCAGGTACATCATAAATATAAAATATTTTTTAAAATTTGATATTTTAAGAAGTAAGTTTTTTATACCTCTACCTCTTGTAGATTACAGTGGAGAGTATATTTCCTTTTTTTTTTATTTTTTAAATGTATAAACTCCTTCATTTTAAGCTATGAAATAATTAAATCCTTCTAACTACTTTGTTTGTAGATCTATAATATATTTGTCAGCAAGAAATAAATCTAAACTTGTGATAATCTAGAATTTATTAATATTTAATCTAACATGAAAATTGTATATTACAGGAATGAGCATGGGTCCATTGTTAGAGTATGTCAGTATTGTAGACCCCTCCATAATAGTGACAGCACTTTTGGGCACCACTATTGTGTTTGTCTGCTTCTCTGTAGCAGCCATGCTAGCTGATCGTGGTAGCTGGCTGTTCCTTGGTGGCACATTGATGACTTTATTCACTTCAATGTCTCTGATGACCTTAGTCAATCTCTTCATGCAGTCACATTTCCTGTACCAAGTAAGTTCAATTTATATATATGATCTCTATATCTTCTGAATATATTTATAAATCTATACAATCTATTTGTATTCGTAGTATTTTGCCACTTTTATTTAAATTGAAGAGAGAAAGAAACAAAACACTTCCATCATACTGCTGTTAGTAAAAAATGGGAATGTTATGATTATACTATTATGTTAGATGTTATGGTTATATCAAGTTTTCTTAGCTGAAAATGTAGACAATTATACTAGCGAGATACCAGTAGGGCACTATAGGTAAACCAAGACATTAACCAAAATCCCATAATAATATAATAAAGAACACTATGATTAGTTTATTTTTATGTAGAAAAATATTAAAAGTTGTAATTATTTATACCATAGTTTAGATATATTCCTCACTGTTTTTACAGGCTCATCTGTACCTTGGCCTTATCCTCATGTGTGGCTTCGTACTATTTGACACTCAACTAATAATCGAGAAACGCCGTATGGGAAATAAAGACTTTGTACAACACGCTATGGAACTCTTTATTGACTTCATTGGTGTCTTCAGAAGACTGCTCATCATTTTGACACAAAAGGTAAAACCATAGACTTTAAATATAATACATTGGAAATTTAAGAACATACAGTGTGACTTATTTTTTATTTGTATATTGTACTGAACATGGACATCTACATAAAGCAGTTTAGAAATTTCCAATATCTATATTTTTAATTATGAAGTTTAGCCATAAGTATTAGTGAACCTACATAAGTATTATGCAACTTAGAATGGTAAACAAACTGATGGCCCACCTAATGGAAAGTACTAATTGTTGCCTATGTACATGAATAATACCAGGTAATATACCATGTAGATAATGATATTGAAACAATATGACTCAAACTAGTCTTGGAATGTTTAGACGTCACTCCTATTACGTCCCTTCATAAAGAGTGTTACAAATTGCCCTAAATTTAATGGTAGATAATTGCTGCGTTTGGATTTATTTGTAGCAGTGAAGTGAAATCTTATCAGATGGTAAACTTGGCTAATTAAAATTTTGCTGTCAATAGCAAATAGTAACGATTGGATATTAAGTAATTGCGACCCTAAAAAAACCATTTTGTGATTTGTGAATAAAAATAATAATTTCATAAAATGATAATGAATTATTGATGAATAAATGTAGCAGTAATTTCCAGGGCTAACTCGAACTTAAAGGCCGACAAATTTATTACGCTAACTGCTAAGGCACTAGAACAATTTGGGCATTTAAGTAAGGAATACTTTTAAAATTCATTAATAAACAGAATCTAGAGTAAGATATTAAATTTCTCGGTAGTATAGGGTACTTTATCGATTATATTTTTTTATAGAGACAAGTTTATGCACACTCACAAAAATGGGGACACATTTTGGAACTCATGCGAAGCTTCTTAAACTACTTTTCACTTGACCAGTAAGGTCAGTTCGATCCGAAATAAGCCTTAAGTGTCACGTGTTATTAGATATTTATTGATATATGTGGTATCGAATAACAGCTCAATATACAAATCGTAAAATTAATTGTAAAAATTGTTTTGTGTTTCAGAAATATATAAAACCTAAGCCTAATCTGGCCTGAGCATGTATAGTCTATGTACATTCCAAGGATATTTTTTGTAGAAAGTTTCTTTCATATAAACGACATACTTATGCGGTATATGTAAAGTTAAAATAAATTGTTAGTAGTGGTGTCTAACAGCACAGTTATTGGTAGTAATACACCCTATCAGGTCGACCTCCACGCGGTTACCCCTGGAAACCATCGTGATTAATTCTTGTGAAATTTGTCACGATGGGCTAAATGACCAAATTACATCCGCTCCTTATTTTTCACTAGTGCCCCGCCAGCATATACCAATAGTGCAGGCAGGGTTACTATTCTATTCTCACCCATTAAAAAATACGCGTATATGTATACATGTACATACAATTATATTTGTTATTAGTGTTATCCTATTATTATTAAAAATGTTAAAGTTTGATACTGTAATATCTATCGATAATGAAATACTGATTGCTAGATGGTTATTTTATTTTCTTAATAAATATCTTTTGTAGAATAACAAGGCTAATAAAAAACAATGAATCAAAAAAATATGTTTTCAAGTAAACAACAAAAAAATTGTATGAAAGAACTACCTAAAAAGTTTCGAATTCTGTTCTCGTCGTAACTAGAACAGAAACCGCAATTCAGTTTTGTTTTCGGCTGTGAAATCAAGTTTCTATCGGGTAACTATTTGGCTTCAGCGCTGCAATATGTTCTATTAAATGTACTCTAGGGATTATCCAAATCGTCGTGATTATTTTATTTATGTACACTGATTTCAGTTTTGAGTCAAACTGCAAACTTTAATTAAAGTATTTAATGTTTTTTTATTTTTTTTTTTATTTATTTACAGGAAGAAGAAAACCGTCGTCGTAAACGCGACTAAATCAAGTCATCTTTCATCCAGCATCAAATTCACCTATTTCTCGAATTAATTAGTGGATTTGAGATGATAATATAAATTTAGAATATGTAAGATATTGTGTGTTGGGAAATTTATAAGTTCTATAGTGTAATAAATTTATTGGAACTGATTGAAATAAATATTTCTTTAACCATTAGTCTCATTTATTCTATATAGTCTGCTTAAATTCGGTAATTAATATAACTCCATAATAAACAAAATTAAACAGACCGCTATTTTAAAATTAAAAAGTACATGAATTTGTAAAGTAGCTATGGTAATTAAAATAATCTATTATCACAGTAAATTATAGTACTAATATTAAGATTATAATAATAACAAATAAAAGATAAATTTTACTTTTTAAATTAGAAATTAATACAGCCGATTACCTAAACAATGAGATCACACTACGTGTAGCGTGATTAATTTATAAAATTATTATAATTTTTTAATTATGCACAAGAATATACTTTTATATATTCTTCCACAAATTAATAATATTATAAAATTAAACAGTTTTGCACTTTTCAACCAACTTAAAAAATGGGAGATTATCAATTCGATAGTATTTTTTTATTAACTCCATCAATTAAAAAAAATTCTCTTTTTATCTAAAAGTATATACTTACAGGTTGGTCGCGTAGAAAGTTTTATCAAAGTCGGTTCAGGAGTTTAGTTTTGAAATCAAAATAACTGGTTTTGCCACAATTGAAGTTATTTTTTGTGGAACAGTCTTAAATTATAAGGTATTAATGATACACATTTTTTTAAGAGTCAAAGGATGGTATAAGAATAGAAATATATCATGTTTGTCTTAATTTGTAACTGGAATCATCTTCTTTCTTAATATATAAAAATCCTGTCACCATGTTCGTTCTGGCTAATGTCAGAGACCACTCAATCTATTTTAATAAAATGTAAACATGTATTGATTGCTCTAATTTAGCCATTCCCAAAGTGGGGGATAAAGCCCCCTCGTTGGCTCGTTTAGAATTAATGTTTAATCTCCGCTAATATAGCTTACAATAATTGATTAATTAAAAATAGTAGTGGTTTATAAGTAGGTGAAAAAATGAGGGCGCTAAAATTTTTTTTTTTTCAACGTGGGTAATAGGCAAAATAAGTTTGGGAACCCCTGCTCTAATTGAAGAGACGAGTTTTACCAATAACAAAATACGGATCCAGTAGTGCACAAAACGACGTATGGTAACTAGCTCGGCAAATTTTTTATAAAGCTCAATAATTACAATGACGAATTATATTAACTATACTTTCAATTTAACCTACTTTCTGGCCATTTCACAAATTTTTTCATCTACTATTAATGGTAAACAGAATAACGGTCTCGGATGAATTACTTCTGAACAGTCTACCGGACGGAAAGTGGAACAATACTATAGACATTTAAATATGAATGTAAATTGTATTCTCCCCTATAAAGAACTTAGTACCTACATATTAGTTAAAACACTGCTTATGAATATAATAATTATACTGTAGATAGATTAAATAATCATCATACCAAAATTTGCAAGAAGAAATAAAAAATTTTTAATTGATTTCATTGTAATTTGCAGTCTATACTTAAATCTTATTGTGTTTAACAATGTACTAAAATAAAAGAAAAAGTACATTTAAGTACAAGTAATTAAATGCTCTAATATAAAAGTACTACCTATTTCAGACTTCGATGCCATAAGGCTCCATATGTTACTAACATAATAAAATAGAACCACACGTGTGTCTGTACACGAGAGATATTTAAGAAAAAAATAATATGGTCTTAATAGATAAAATTTTTTAACAATATTTTTTAAAAATTTTGTCTCTGTATGTTTGTATTAGTACCTAGTTCCATATATATTTATTTTTACAAACAATGCATTATGGTCCTTTAATATTATTATTATAGAGAACACCTAGTCGCTACATGAATTATAGTGAAACGTCAAATAGAATTTAATCTTATTAAAACTGGACTCCAACCCTTATCCTTTAACTATCCGAGAAAATCCTTAATTTATGATTATATTACAATAAAGTTAAAAAAAAAGAGATAATGAGAGAGCAATAAATTAATAGTATTCATATATTTACAATTTTCTTTCGTGTTCTAATTAAGTTGAAATGCGATCAGTTCGGTTGTAAAGGGATAAGAGTTTGAATGCAGTGAGAACACATATATTTTAAATATTAAGAATCCAGAATGCAGTAGATACATTTTTAGAAAATTTAAAATGTTTACAAATTTCATTTGATATATATTAACTACCGCTGCTCTCTTCTTTTTGAGGATGTATTTTGTTTTTGTCATAAAAAAACATTTTTTTACGTAATTCACTATTGATTAACACACTTATCAAGTTCGATAAATTTGCTTCACTGCTAACTGGTGAACTGTTTATCTTCTCTTGTATCCTTACGTCTGCATTTCCTATTCCTTGTTCAGAGTTTTCAGTTTCAGCAGATTGATAAGTTTTACTGCGTTCTTTGATCTTATTCACATCTAATTTATTTGAGATGTTCATTCTACGACAATTGAACTTAGTAAAAGATTCTGAGGGAGAGCTTTTCATAATGTATTCATAGGTTGATACACCTAAAATTGATATATAAATATGAAAACAGCATAAGTGTAACAAGGCACAAGCTATTGCAAAGGCACTTATACAAAGTATTATTAAAAACACTAGAAATATTATTGATTGGCTACAATATTTAATGTAATGTGGTGTATCGATTGCTAACGTACAGTTGATAAAATTCTGTGCCGCTGGACTTAGTTGTTCAGGGTAAAGTATAAATAACACAATATCTGTTAAACATAGGGACGACGTAAGGATAGATATTAATAAAGCAGTTACAACGCTCGCCACAAATGATGGATAGTTTCTCAATCCCACACAGTTATTTAACCACTTGCAGTGGTGATCAAAATGGTCAACGCACTTATTACAGATGCTGCAATGTTTGGTCTTCTTAGTGCTTGTGTATATGTTACATAAATGACATCTCCCATTTTCAATAACGTGAGCGTGAATGCTACGGTCAAATTCAGGTATATTATTCCTTGGCAGCTTCCGTAACGAATCTTCACTTGGATCGATATAACATGCTGTGATATGTGACACGACATGAGATACGTAGAGGAACACGTACATGACTAAAGCTACTATTCGCAGTTCCTTAAATTGTATTTCTACAAGTATCACAAAGTTGATTATTCCAGTAGTAACAAAAACAATCCAACCAAGAATTTGCTGGTAGTTCAGAGGGAGTTGTAGTCCATTTATCCTCCTTTGAGATGTCCTTGATTGACTTGATGTGCAACATTTATGCATTTGAATATTAGTAGGTATCTAACTACTTGCGGGCGTATGTCGTCTTTTGTTTCTGTTATTTTTAGGGACTTCTAAAAGGTTCAGTTTATTACTTCTGCGCGCGCAGTATTGAAAATTACATTTCTCTGTATAGCGTGACTTGTGTAAAAATGACATCACCATTGCCAATTAAGAGATTAATTATTAGTCATTCATTGTAATATCACAAATTCAAATCTAATTTGGTACATAAAACTTATATCTACGACTTTTTCTGGGTGCAACATTATGTTTGGGTTTTTTTGTCACCATGGTGACTCGCCAAGAAACTCATATTAGTTTAATAAAATAATACCTATTTTTAAGGATATGTCTACAACACGATAAACACGTCTAAATAGTAAATGGTTTTGTATTAGTTGTCAAATTTCTTATATGCTTTTGAGACGCGGTGTTTGTTTAGCCGTTACATGCACAACCAGGATCTATTCCAACTTGAAACCGGAGGGAGAAGGGATTTTTGACAGTCCCATTGCTATAAATATGCTCTGCCAGGTCGACCTCCACGTGGTCGCCCTTGGAAACTATCTTGCTGAATTCTAGGTATATTCATCACGATGGGCTTTCTGACCTGCCTTTTCATACTCATCTATCATCTCTCACTGGTGCTCTGCCAGCGCATACCGTTAAGCGCAGGCGGGGTTACTATTCCATTTTTACCCATGAAAAAAAACTTAAATACATCCTCTGTAACTGAAGTCTCTGAACGCAGGTACCATGATGAAAGTATGGGACATTAAGCATAGTACCTGCGATCCTGTCCAACCGAATGCGTACCACAGATTACCACTGAATTAAGGGTTATGTTGTAGAAGTTCATATCACTGGTTAGCTGTTTAGAAATATTTTCCTCAAATAATTTAACTCAACTAACCAATAATATATTAGTAATAAAACGGAGGTTCCGAGACTAGTTAATGTCGGTGACATTGCGTCGATAGCTTCGGCAATGAGATCACGTATAGTAGAGGAGAATAGCGAAGCACATAAGGAAGGTAAGCGGAACATGGCGGACAATTCTCCAGATATAAAGTTGTTCAAAAATAATATAGAAGAAGATGCAAGATCGAGCCACCGCAATGGGCAGTTTCGGCAGCAGAAAGCGCCAAGGGAAGGGAGCGTGTGAAGAGCAGAGCCCATCAGTTCGACGAAAATTGCCCAGCCCAAAATTGTCTGGTACTTACCTGAGAATGAGAACGAAATTTCACAAAAACATATGTAAGTATATACGCGGCTTTTATAAAGGGTCAATTGACCTACTTTTACTTATAATCCTTCACTGGTGCCCCGCCCGTGTATGTCAACAGCTAAATAAGATAGATAAATAAAAGCTAAATAAATAGGGGTTACCATTTCATTATTATCCATTAGAAAAATCTTTGTATGGGACAAGTAATTCTCAAAATTGATTACAAATCGACTAGCAGATCGCGTGAAATAAAAATATTTAAAAAAAAGTATAATATAAGGTGAATTGAGAAGTTAAAAATCACATTATTTTGGAGTCACTTAGAAAATAATAAAAAAAAATTATTCCTTATTCTTGCCAAGTTGGATCCGTGTTTATTGAAAATTAGGCATATTAATTTTAAATAAGTATCAAATAGGTATCAAAAGAACTCGAAGTATATGAAAACTGAAAAGGAAAAAGATTAGATCCAATCTATCGTATTTTCTTCCAATACTATAAATACTATACAAATCCAATACTATACAGGTCCAGTATCTATTATAGTTTGTATAAAATTTGCAAAATAAATATTTATCTAATTTTCTTTTAATGCAAATATATATATATATATATATATATATATATATATATATATATATATATATATATATATATATATATATATATATATATATATATATATATATATATATATATATATATATATATATAAATATAATTATCATGATCATTATTACAATATTTTAAATTAAAAGAGAATCGAGCGCCAAAGTTCTCTATATTCACATAACATAGAACATAACTTTCTGGGTTCATCATATATATTATAATTTTAAAATATAAAATATATAAATACATAAACAAATTTGATTTTCTATGTCTTGTCGTCATTTTCAGAAACTCTCTTTCTTGCCATTTCACGTTTCGTATATACAAGTATCCTATGACCTTCACAGTCCAAATTTTCTTCATAACATTTATTTTTACAACACTTCTTGCAAAGTTGATACACACATTTACTACCCTGTAAAAAACAAAAGTAATTAAACACACTTCTTAAAATTGATACTTAGGTACGATAAAGATTTTACATACAAGACGTTCGGATCTTGGACTAAACCTGATAGGAGCGTTTAGGAAGGACTGGACAATTTTCGCATTCACTTATAATTATTTTTTATCTCTAACTTAATAGAGGTATTATAAATTTTGTATTTTTGTTTATCTACGAGTATCTATAGCATGTTAACGTCCAAACACATGGACTGACGTCAATTCGACTGATTCGAAGAAAAGTTAAACATTTGGTTTTTAGTTTTGGTACATTATATTATTATCTAATGGTAAGTTTAACGAAACCCTGTTTATTCTGACGTGTTTTGTAAAATTTTATGCTTATTTTAAAAATATATTTTAATAATTAGTAATTAGTGATTACATATTTGTATTACTATTTTGATGGTCTGGCAGCTTAACACGCTGCTTTACTTTCTGATATTCACGGTTTCGATCCCTGCGCAATACAAACACTTTTATCTGTTTGCATATTATATTTCTTTATTAATCAATGTAACAGTTTTCGTCACACAATTGCAAATCAATATTTACATTATAATTTTTAAAATAATAAAATAAATAATAACAATGATATTACATTAACATTTAAATTATAAATAAAAATAACATTATAAATCAATTACAGTACATGTTAATATAATGGTAACATAATAAACTAATATAGATAGCACAAGCTCTGCTAAGTTTGGGACTAGATGGTGCTGTGTAATATGTGCAGTAATATTATTATTTGTACTAATAGACAAATTCTGAGAAATATTTTTTTACTAGTTTAAACAAAGTTTAACGATTTGCATAAAAATAAAATATTTGTAAAAAAAAATTAACTATATTCTAGCTATTATACAAAAATATATCCATATCATAATAAATTATTAATACTAGTATCTTACTTACAAGTGGATTGGGGCACATTTCATTTATACAAATTTCTCCACTTCTACCAGGCTGATTTTCAGACTTTATTGGTCTTCTCATAATTCTTCTTAATTTTTTCATTTTCTTTCTAGATATAGCATTACCATCGGAGTCCTCATGAATTCGTTTATGAATATTTTCATCCTGAAAGCAAATGAACCTAAACTAACATACCACATTATAATCATTTAAAAGTATAGTATTTATATACCTATTATTAGAATAGAAATGTTACCTGTTCTTTATTATGCCTTTCCATTTTCTTTGTATGCTCTTCTGGGGACATTCTTACATAAGGTTGACATATCCAGGGGGGCAAGATCAAGTTAAAATTGATTCTTATTATAAATTCATCATTGTCAAAATGTTTTAACCCCTGATGGTAATGTAAATATTTCTCCTTGATTGTAATGCAAACTTGTCTAAAATCATTAATATTTTGTGCAGTTGCTAGAAGTTGCCTAAGTTCATTATTGTCTTCTAACATGAAGCTAAAACAAAAACCACAAATATTACCAAAATTAATTTGAAACATTCTTTAAAATTTGTATGCAATGTATTCAGATAAATAATAGAATTTTAATTTTGGAAAATAAATTTGACTCACAAAAAATATAATATTATTAATATAATTACAGTTTATGGAACATTTTAAATAAATGTCCTCTGATGTATGAAGATGGACAAGGGAATTTCTCTACAAGATCAAGATACTCTTGTGCCATCTGCCATGTCAGTGGATTAATTCCTTCAAAGAGAGCTGGGTTTGTTAGTATGCCTTCTGCACTCATTATACCATCAACTTTTGTACATTCTAAACACCTATAAACATCCTCGAGACATTGAATGTTACCATTTGCAAATATAGGTATTGACACTGCTTCCCTGAAAAAAGATATAAGCATCTTAAAATTATGCAAGTGAATAATATTAGAAGTAATAAAATTTAAGCATTAGAAAGTAGTAAATAGTTTCATTCATAAGCATCTCACCTAATTGCTTTTATGTGTTTCCAACTAGCTACCCCAGTGAGGGGTCCCTTTTGTTCCCGTGTTCTTCCATGAACAGTCAAGAGTTTGCAACCTGCTTCTTGTAACATAAGTGCATATTTTACAGATTTTTCTATGTCTTCAAAAATTCTTATTTTGCAAGTTATTGGTATTGAAACAGTTTTAGACATTGTTGAAACTGCCAAAAAAAAGTAATATGTTTTTAAAATCTGAGAAGTAATAGGTACATTTTAGAATCTCAAATCAAATGATAAGGAGAATCTTTACACCTACACTTAAGTTGCAAGACACAATGTTCATCTTCATGTAAAGTTTTAAAGCTTGCATACAACATGAATCCATCCATGTAATTTTAATACAGCTTCAGAATACCTACATAATTATATAACTATTATGAATGCAGAACTATTCCAAGTTTTGCAAAGAAGTACATAAGCATTTGATATTGATTCTGAAATATATTAAATCAAAATTTCAATAATTTTAGTTATAATTTGAAATATAACCAAATAGTGCCTAGTTATGTTTAGTACCCCCATATGTAATTTATTACTATATAAATTGTTTATTTGGTCCATAGGAATCAAGCTAAATAGTATCCTATATGTAAAATCTAAGCATGACTGACACATCAACATCCATACAGAAAATCATGTTATGAGTTTTTTTGTTTAAATATCAGCAATATGTGTTTGGTGAATATACTTTTCTATTATACTTTACCAATTTTTTGTAGAAGTTCCCAATCATCTTGAAGGTAGGAACCATATTTACCCCTCTTAGCAATTGACTGTGGACATCCAATATTAATATCAATGGCATCACAATGTTGTTCAGCTAATTTTGCAGCAGCAGCCATTATATCAGGATTATTTCCACAAAACTACAAAAACACATGTTATTTTTTAGTAAATTTTTTGTACGTTTTGATATAGACTATTATCATTGCTCATTACTAAATATAAGCTATCACTACATAGTTTTCTGATTACTTTTTCTAAATCATGCAGCAATTTTAATATAGCTTTCACTGTTATTTAGTTGTCTTTTTATGGAAGACTTGAATGTAGAATTTGCATCTATGGGAAGATGAGATAGGTTGATAATTAGTAATGACTTGAAAAAAAAAATACAAATGTATATTAATGGGAATAAAGACAACAAATTTTGCTATTTAAGAATTAGAACACAATCAGAAACAAATTTATACTACTTAACATTAACATACAACACACAAAATAATGATAAGAAAGCTATAGTAAGTTAAAAAACACTCAGACTTCAAAACTCAACACAATTATTGTCAAGTGGTGTGAAAGTCGTTTAACAAGGTCTATATCATTATACTATTATAAAATCCAAACGGGAGAAGGATCTCAAAAAGCGGTATCAACTTGAAATTTCATTGGCTAGAAATTATCGGATATTATTTAGTTGAAAATATTTACCTGTACAATTAAAGGACGATCTTCCTGGCACGTTTGCAAACTATCTTTTCGGTATTTAGGATCTTTAGTAAAAACATTGCTGTGGAACATTGGTGTATAACACAAGTGAGCACCATGTCTGCGACAGAGAAGACGCCACGCAAGTTCACTAGCATCTACCATTGGTGCAACCACAAAACGCGGTCGACCTAATAAGTTATACCAGTCGTAAGACATAACTAATAGCTACTAACATATACACTTCAATCACTAAATACAACAATTAATAAAAAAAACGTAATATGCAAGACAATGTAAAAACAATAAACACGTGATTCCTTATCATTTCATTCGATATTGACACGATTCTTTGACTTTGACATTTGTCAAAGATAACAACGTAACAATACATACGACAATAATAGTAGTCTAAGAACTAAGAACAAGGCATTACACAGAAGGAATGACAAAATAATAATTGTAAATCATATGATTGCCTCCTTCCTTCTTATGCAAATATAATTAGTAAGGGGGAAACGAATTGTTCGCAATGGAGTTTGACAGCCCCATTTTTTTTTTTTCTGCTTTTGTGGCCTTCACCCCGATATTAGGGTATTTTGCCAAGAACAAAACGGGGAAACGATAATAGTAATAAAAATACCTAACACAAACGAATTTAGAAAGGATAAGGATTAGGTCTAGGATATTTATAGGATATGAAGGATATACTTGTACATATGAGAATATACTTATAAATATATAGGAAATGCAATTATAATTAATGCAACTGTAAATGTATTCATGTAATATAACTAAATCTTAATATTGTTATCATATATACAGTGAGTGTAAAAAGTATTCGTACACCTAGGGTTATAATAAAAAAAATACGAATTTGATAGACTTTCCTCTATTTATTTAACTTAAATCAATACTGTTAAATAGTTTAACATTCCCGCACTTTGTTTATGATAATTATTGTTTTTTAAAAAAAAAATTATACAACATAAAAATATTTTTATGTTAACTAAGCAAATAATGACAAACAAAAAGTATTCGTACATTCATGCTTTTTTAAATGAAATTCTGTATAAATCATTTATTCAATCGAATTTTTCATATGCCTACAATGCCAAGGTCATTTTTAATACGTAGGTATAGATATTAGACGTTTTAGTTGCACTCGTGACAAGTATAGACGTGTTTAGTTACAAAAATGGGCCGTAAAGCAAAAGAAACGAGTGAAGAGGAGAGAAAAATAATTATTAATTTGCATAATCAATGCAAATCATTATGTGAAATTGCAAAATTTGTCAATAGACCACGTTCAACCGTACAGACTGTAATTGATCGGTTTTCTATTACTAAAACACTAAAAAACAAACCCAGAGGTGGGGCGTCCATCAAAAATCACGCCTCGATTGGATCGGAAAATTTTAAATTGTGTAAAAAAATCCAAAAATTAGTGCCCCTCGAGTGTTACAAGAAATTAATAATATCAATGATTGCCATATTTCTGTCAGTACCGTTCGGAACGTATTACGTAGTAACGATTATCATGGAAGAACTGCGCGTAAAAAGTATTGGGTAAATGATATTAATAGAAAAAAAGATTAGAATTCGCAAAAAAATATATTAATGAAAAAATCATTTTTGGCAAACTGTTATTTACTCAGATGAATCGAAATATAATATTTTCAAATCGGATGGACATCATATGGTATGGAGAAAACCTAATATGGAATATAATAAAGAAAATTTATGTCCAACGGTAAAACACGGTGGTGGGTCAGTATTTGTATGGGGTTGCATGAGTGTTTTTGGGGTGGGAAAACTTGCATTTATTGATGGAATTAGGGATCACAAAGCGTATATTAATATTTTAAAAAAGAATCGTCTCTCTAGTGCAGCTCAAATGGGTTTTAACAATAATTGGATATTTTTACAAGATAATGACCCTAAACATAAAGCATGGAGTACTAAAGCATGGATCCTGTTTAACGCTTTAAAATACCTAGAGATTCCTCCTCAATCACCTGATATTAATATTATAGAGCATGTGTGGGATTATCTCGATAATAAAATTCGAAATCGACCAATTTCGAGTAAAGAAACACTAAAAATTGCGCTTCGTGAAGAATGGGCATTAATACCGTCTTCTTATATTTTCAAACTAGTTGATTCGATGCCGCAAAGACTCCAAGCTATCATCAATGCTAACGGTGGTCCAACAAAGTATTAATATTTTTTTAATATTCATTTACTTACAAATTTTATAAGTGTACGAATACTTTTTGTTTGTCATTATTTGCTTAGTTAACGTAAAAATATTTTTATGTTGTATAATTTTTTTTATTAAAAAACAAAAATTATCATAAACAAAGTGCGGGAATGTTAAAATATTTAATAGTATTGATTTAAATTAGATAAATAAAAGAAAGTCTATCAAATTCGTATTTTTTTTATTACAACCTTAGGTGTACGAATACTTTCTACACTCACTGTATATGAAGATAATATTTTATAGATAATAGGATCATTGGAAGAAAGTAGAGTAAGAATAGAAGTTGGGAATGGAACACGGATGGATCGGAGATGATTAAAAAGGGAGGTGTGGTCAAATTTAGAACATGAGAAGAATATATGATTCAAGTCCGCCACTTCAGCACCGCAATTACACGACGAACTTTGTACAATACCAAGCTTGTATAAATGAGAAGGTGTGCATACGTGACCTAGACGCATACGAGTTATAATAGTTGTTGCGGTCTTTCCAAGCTTTAATTTACAAAACCATGGTTTGAAAGGAATATCGGGTTGTATAAGGCGATAAAATCTTCCTTTTATTGTACTTGTTTTTTCCCAATATTCCTTCCAGGACAGCCCCATTGTTAGGAATAAGCCCTATTAAGTCGACCTCCACGTGGTTCCCCCTGGAAACCATGTATTGAAACTTGTATGAATTCGTCACGATGGGCTAACTAACCTGCTTCATTCTTACTTATCACCTTTCACTGGTGCCCCCGTGCCGGTGTATACCGATGGCGTGTGTGGGGTTACCATTCCATTATCACCCAGTAAAAAAATATATAATTAGTAAAAGAGGACGAAAGATACTGCTTATTCGACATAGTTTATGTAGAAAGGAAGGTTGATTGGATAGCTAAAAATTAAGATTGACAGCAGTTGTGTTATTTTTGAATGTTCATTGCAAATTCTTTATGAATACTTATTCATAAATACCTAGGTATCTGTTACCTATAAAATAAATAAACTTGTTCTAAGAAAAAGCAAAGTTGACAATTACCGTTACCAGCTGTCAATGTCAATATCCGGCGATTTCTTGATGAATATTTGCTCGTTATTTTTATTTATTAATATTAATTTCAATTTTTGTCATTTTATCCGTGATAGTACTTTTTCTTAACTGTAACTTATTTTAGTATCATAACTTTCAAACTGTATCCTGTTTATTTAAACGGATCTCAATAACATTTATTATCAATTGTAGAAAATTACATACCCTCATTATGGCTCAAGATTTAATGGTAAAAATTATTGTCTTTACAAGTCTTGTGAAAAAAAAACTTTAATTGATATTCTTAACATACAATTAGTTTATGTAGTGTAGAAATATGCTACTTTTCCCAACTCATATTAATGAAGAAATTTATTTTTAATCCTTGCAGAGTCAATTTTACACATGTCTCAATCTGCCACTACAAGAAAAACTCGCAGAACTGACAAGAATTATAGATACAGGACCGAGTAAAGATCTGCAAATTATATTTCCGCAATTGGTGAACAATATTTTTGCATCAACTTTTAGTAACGGATGGGGTCTAAGAACAATAACATTTGATGGAAACAGATATGACTTTGAGGCTTTGATAAGATTCCTAGAACCTTTGGGACCAATATTTCGCTTGTGCTATAAACTTTTGTCAGATTCATTGTTGAAGTATAATTTGCCAATAAATGTTTTACCGGTAAATTACTATTTATATTTGTAGATTATTCCATAATAATTTATAAGAAAATCATTTATAAAATTAATTACAATAACTTAAAGTATGTTCACCCTAGTTTTTATCAACAACTTCATCCATATAACTAGGATAAAACGTGGCAAATGTCATGTGTATATTAATTTTCATAACAATTTTTGTTTTTAATGGATGATAATGGATTGGTTACTCAACCTGTAGTAATAATGGTCCATCACCTCTCACTGGTATGCCGCCAGTGATAGAAAAGGATGAAAGCAGGTCTGTTGGCATTATGGTAAATTCGCCACAATGAGACTGCATGGAGGTCGACCTGGTATGGTATATTATTAGCAATGAAGACTAACCTCTTCATTACTAACAATTTTCCCCCACCCTATGGCAATTGCTAGAGCAATAATATTGCCAAAAGTTGGTTTAGTTCTCTTTGATAGATTAAATAATAGGTTATTTGAATAATATTAAATTTGTGAGATTATAATATATGATTATATATTATAATTGTTATGGTAACTCATTATATAAAATATGTTTAATGTTATAAAAAATTTGCTATTCATACTTAAAGATATTAAATGTTGAATTGACATTATAAGATTCCATAGAATATAAATATTAGATGAGTCAAGTATATTTTTAAATAATAATACTTTTTACAATGATTTATTTTAATGTATGTTTTATTTATTATTTTTCAGTTAGATTTGCAAATGACTCTAGACAGAGGTAGATGTCCTCAGTTTTATGGAGATATGCTGACTATGGACTCACAGTCCCTGAATATTGTAGCATTAGCACTGAGTATCCTTTTTTTATAAAACATCATTTTTTATAAAATAAGAGCTATAAAAACCAAATTAATATGTGTATTTTTAACAAGTAACTATTGGTTATCATAATAATAAGTACTTGTACTATGGGTATTAAACAATTGATAAAAATACTCAAATAACTTTTTTTGTAAATAGTTATTATAAATAAAAAAATACCCAGACATATGTACTCAAAAACCAATTTTTGTATTGTGCAGAAATCAAATTAATACCTATTGTAAGGCAAGATAATAGTGTATGCATATCTACAACACTGTGACTGTCAAATATTGATGGATATAATAGAAATCTGTATGTATCTATTAACAAAATAAGTATATCTAGTAGTTGTTTTGTATTCAAAATATAAGCTTTGCTGAATTTGGGATTATATCACACAGTATAATACCTTTAATAGTATTGTTTATTTTTACATATTCTTTCTCTTAATATTGTTAGTAATTATCAATATTTTAACAACATTCCTTACATATGTATTAAACAGATCCCTTTGACTATTACATATTCAATTTTGCATTGCATTTAGTTAATAACAATCAAAACAAAAGTTCCTGGGAAAATTGGAATAGTGTTTATTTTGCATTGGCATGTGATTATCTTACACACTTTTTACCATCTGATCCTAATATACCTATCTTACCGCATATACCAAATTATAATGGAAAGGTACCCATGGCAGCACCCTTGCAAACTGCTAGCAGGTGATTTGTTTATAGATTTTATGTTTTACCATTGTGTTCTGAGGAATTGTTTGAAATAATGCCCAAAGCCATCCTTTATCATTACACTGCTTCCCATCGACAGAGAATTCACTTGCTTGAACCTAAATGGTCACATACAGTGTGATTTTACAGGAGTTTCCTCCTGCGAACGCTCAGGCTGTGGAATTAGCTCCCTGCCGAGGAGTGATTTTCTCTAAAAAGTACAGTATAGTGAGGCTCTTCGAAAAGGGTATTAAAGTTTCTTCAGGTTCAACAATGTGCACATGACACCCCGAGTGTTGTGGGCTTCTATAGGCTTCAGTGACCATTTACAATCAGATGAGCTGTATGCTTGTTTGTCACCTTTGTGGTATAAAAAAAATATATAATACATAATATTATAATATTACATTTACTGATACCTATGTGATTGATACATAATTATTGCTGTTTGATAATATTTTTGTATCTATATATTAACAATTGTTTTTATAGACCTCTTTACTCTCCTTCGTTGTTACTGATATCTGATATATCTGGTATGGCCAATCAACATAATCAGCATACAACTCAGTCTCAGTCACGTAATGAAGTTTGGCGTTCAGAGACAGTACTGCAGGTCTTTATCGATATTTGGATGAGTGTGGAGCAATGCAATTCAAACAATGTTGATGTAAGTACATTGAAATGTAATATTATCTTTTTACTTATTATTTCAATGATGAATGATTTAGAATCATCATTGATTTTGGTCAATGATGACACTAGATCATAACTTTGTATATTGAATGAAGTCAGGGCTAGTCAACATTAACTTTTATTATATAAACGTAATGTCATTACTGAACTCTTTCACTGTCTGTAACTGTTTCACTGTATATAATAGTAAAAGGCTCAAGCTGTAACTCACTTGACCAATTCTAATAATACAGTTTTTAAGTTCAATTTTCAAAAAACCCTTTGTAATCCATAGGGCATTCAAATTAAATAGAATAGCTTTTTATTAACATATTATGTGACATTCTATAATTAATAAAAATATATATACATGTATAATTTTGTACTCAATCTTATACTAATATAATAAAATTGTAACTTGATGATGTCTGTACATTTGACATTTAAGAAAAAATAATTTTAAGGCCCCTCAATAAAATCAATAGATGTCAAAACAAAAGTTTTTAGAAATGTTCTCAATCTGTCTGTATGGTTGTTTCGGCATCATGCAAAAGCTACTGCAACAATTTCTTTAGAGAAAGGTGTATTTTAAAAACTGGCGTATATTTTATCTTGAAAAAGCAAAGAAGCAGGCCAACTGTTCCTACTTCTGAAGTCATACAGAGTGAACAAATTATGGACTCTGATAGAGTTATTCATCCTAATTGCCCCAAAAGGGCACAAACTGCACAATTTAAAACTATAAAAAGTAATTATGGAAAAGTAAAAGTATTTTAAGTAGACTTTTAATATGAATGTCTTATGCTTTAAATTATTGTAATAAATTTCTTTAGGCCTCGATCCCTTATTCACATTTTTCAATTTCATGTATTCAAAGTTCCACGAAGTGCTAGCAGTCACTAATATTAATATAAAAAAATAATTACCTACATTTATGTATTTTCAGATGTACCAGAAAAATTACTCCACAGTATTTTCAAGTCCAGAACGTGTAAGGACAGTTCGGGTACTTGTGAAACATATACATTCATATTCTGCGAAACATTTAATAGATCTGGAGTCTCGATCTTCCGCGCTCCGTAAATATGCGCGACAAATTATGTGTGTGAAAGGATATCATTATGTGAAACATTTAGTTACTACGTGGCCATTGGATGCTTCATTCAGACTGGTTCTGGAATTGTGGTTGAGTCTTATCCAGCCTTGGAGATATACAGATAACAATATAAACCAGGACAGGTTTGTTTCTATTTTATAAATCTTTCAGAACAAAGTGGCCGGTGCGATGTTAATGAGCCAGGGGTCTGATCAATTATCCATCCTTGTTGAGCAAAATTTCCCTTAAAGTTCCTAGTACTAACTCGCGTCGCTTTATACTTTAATATTTCACTGATTTGCACACAGTATAGAAGTAATTGCTTCATAATATGGGCTTCCACTGTTTTCAATGATGTATGTATGTAGTAGTGATAATGAATACGATATTTTTAATAGAAGCAAGAGTTATATAAGAAAAACTATCGCAAATTATTCATTCTCTGATTTTAACGACGTTTAGCTTGTGTTTGCACACGTATTATTTATCTATACTGTAACTGATCCAATTTTCTTTGACTATATGTAGTAGCTTTTAATTCCCTTATTTTTGTCATACATATTTAATTATTATTATAGCTGTAAGCTTTCCTCAAAAATAACAAATAAATTGGTTCTTATTCCTAAGAATGGTGCACACTTACTCCAGCTCGCTACTTCGCCACTAACGAAATGGTGTTGTCATCGATCTTACATATTTACACAATACCAAAAATATAAATCACTTGCAGTTCTTCTGGTGAAATTCAAATTTGATTTTACAGACAGATGACACGGAAGAGAAGGGTCATAAGTTTTGGGGAGTAATGTCCTCTGATATTTAATTTATAGGGTGTCTTTATGTAAATATTCTTTGTTATATAGGAATACAAACATTAGTAAGAACTTATATAGTATATTTTATTGTAAGTACTCGTAGGCAGGTTAATTTTATGTGCGCCATGGCAAAAGGCAGTAATAGTTTTTTTTTTAATGAGTGATAATGGAATTGTAACCCCATCCGCGCTATCGGTATACACCTGCGCGGCACCACTGATGGATGATTGGTGAGGATGAAAGAGGTCAGTTAGCCCATCGTGACGAATTCAATAAGAATTGTTCACGATGGTTTCCAGGGGAACCACGTGGAGGTCGACCTAATATGGTATATTGCTAACAATTGGGTTGTCAATCTCTATTGCTAACAATCCCTTTCCCCCCAGGCAGTAATAGTTATTTATAATAAACTAAATAATAAAATCAGTTGTCCTGTTTAAGTATGGCACTAGATTCGTAGTCGTCATATTAGCCGTTAACTGCCTACTGTTCAACATAGGCCTCCTTTTGTTGGGGATTTGCCAGTAGTTGCCACGCTTGGGAAGCAGGTTGACAGCCGCAGTTAGGTTTTAATGACGTTTTAAGAGGGACGCTGCTGTTTATCTCTCGACCATTAAGTTCACTTTGTTGTCTGTTATGACACCCAGGGGAAAAGATGGGGTGGCCCGTTCTATGGTGGGACTACACAGCGAAAATTGGCATCGACAATGGCATTAGATTATTTACTATTATTAATATATAAAAAGAACTATCCCTCCTTAAACTTCGCGTGAGTGAAATTGTAGGTAATAACCACTAACATAACAGTATTTTATAACAACTAATACATGCCAATGCTAATTTGTTTTTCTAGATATCCAACATCAAATAATAATCAAGAGGAAGGAAATAGCAGTACTTTGGATGCTAGCTTTACTCAATATATAGCTGAGAACTTTCCTTCATACACTTGCATCTTTCAATTAGTACTGCCAAGATTTCTAAGATTAGATTTGACTGCCTATAAAAATGCAGTTATGTTATTCAGACTCGGCAAGGTATATTAAATATGATATATACTAATTGTTGTTGTTGATATGTTAAAATAAATGTCTTTATTGTTTTATTTTATATTGTATAGGTATTCTCACAGCAACATTTAGTTCCAGTTTTATGGAATTTGGAACAAGCAATGACTGATACATCTTCAGGCCTAAGTCATACTCCAGATACCAGTCACAATAATTCAGCTTTTGAACAAAGGTAATTAAATGTCCGCCTTATTTATCATAACATATTATTATAAAGCATATTTTGTAATTATTAACTCTAATATTTCAGTTGGTGTATACTAACTTTAATGGACGAAATGTCTGAAATGAATGTTATCACTTTTCTTATATTTTCTTATAAATTCTGGACAATAATATACAAATTAATATATTGATTCTAAATTTTTTTCTTATAACAGTTACACATATAATGGTGTGGCTTTACACAAATGGGTTGCCATAGCAAAACAAGCACTATCTGAACTAAATTTATCAGCAAATTATGAATATGACCCCATTTGGAGTGACAACAAGAAACAATATGCAATGGAATTTGTACAGCGAATACTTGCAGCTAAAAGTATTTCAGAAAAAAACTTTGATGAGATTTGCAAGAGGATCAGCCAACAAAATCAAGGTATCTAATAATACTGAACTACTAACCGTATATACTACTCTTACTAATCGTATATATATATATAGGGGTTGATAATTTGTATACAACTAAATTTAAAGTTGTGTCAAGTCAATTGTAAGTTTAGTTCCAACTGATCCATAAATTATAAAAATTGAATTTTACTTTTAAAAATAAGAAAAGTTTTTTGAAATTGTTTCCAATGTATTTTTAAATTTTCATAACAATTTAAATGAAATTTGGAGTATGCACAGGTGCTTTTGAGGAGGAAATACCGATTAAGATACATGTTATCTCAGGTAAAATTGGATATTACCACTATTTTATTTTTGATGTGTTTAACGATTACATGTGTGACAATCAATGAGTAAGTGGTGAGAAGCAGATCTAAGTACATAGAGTCGATTTTCTTTGCTAAAAATCGTCAAATTATAATAACATACATACAAATAAATAAATAAATACCACTGGACATATTACACAGCGCCATCTAGTCTCGAATAAAACAGAACTTGTGGTATCGATACCGAATAACTGATAGAAATACTTACTTTTTTATATTATACGTACATAGAAAACACCCAGATTGATACAAATGTTTGTATTGTGTGGGGATCGATCGTGAAAAATTATTTTTGTTTCATTGGAATATAATACTGGAAGAACTGTTTATAGTATTCATATATTTACATTCAGAATAAGGTTTCCCTTTCATACTTTATTCTATTATATAAACATTGATTTGCAACTCTTACTTATTGGATGTTTATTATTCGACCACGCTTAGACGGGTAAATGGATTTGAATAAAAATCGATACACATATAGGTTGTATCTTAACACATAGGATACATTATATACTGATTCACGCGAGCTTAGCCGCGGTAAACACCTAGTCTATAATAAAAATTATGATTATCATTTTTAGGTATTTGGAGTAGTATAAAACATTGGCTTATGATTGATAACCAATTTGAGGATGAGATGCTTTTGGAGGAGAGTAGAAAGGTGCCAACCTATTTAACTGCCTCTATTCATCATTTTTCAAATATCTTTGGAGTAAGTATAATTAAATTATTACATATAATTGTCAAGGGTGTTTTCTAGTGATCTGCCCAGTTCTGAAGGGCACACGGGTAGGCGATCCGGCCTCCCCTGTACCCATTGTAGTTTCTGATCAGTATCTACTATACAGTATCCCAATTTTCCTTTTCGCCATAAATCTTTTATTTCTTTTTTACCAACTTCATTTATTCACTCCCAACATCTCTCCTTTTTCCTCAATCCTTTCCTTCATACCGTAGGTGGCGGATACCATCAACAAAGGTATTCCCACGGAGGGTTGACGTCAAGCAGGTAGGACCGGTCGTAAACCCAAAACCTTGGATATAATAAATAACTTATATACGCGGACCCTAAATAATTGGGTTAAGGTCAGGAAGACAAAAATTTCACCTATATTTTGGCTAGAACATATAGTTCAAAAAGTTTTGTACACTTTGACAATACATTAACTGTCTTTACACACAGACCAGCTCGGAGAGAGCTTTTTTCACACAAATAAGCGTGGATTATACGCTCATATCAGATCGGAGCTGACCAAACCGTTTCACATAATGTATGGTAGGTGCGGATACTGTAAAATAATAAAATTGTTTTACTTACAACTTATATCGAAATATTTGCTGATATTTCGTTACATAATAACATTTATTTTATGTTGAAACGTATAGCAGTTGTTGGTGCGGCAGTGGTCCACACGGATTCAGGGATTGCGCAAACGGAGCTAGCTCCTTTATTGTTTTATACTAAGTGCGTTAAGTTTACTTTCTAAGAATATTATAATGAAATATAAAAATAAATCTTATTCCCATAATAACTAAGACTCTATTTTAACCGCGATTAAAGTCTGCTCTACTTCGAGCCGGTCTATGTGAATAGGCACTAAAGAGATGGAAGGTAAAACATAAAGAGGAATATTTGACGAAGACGTAGTGTGTTAATCGATACGTCATAAACTAGTACTACAGTTATATTAATCTCTATTGAGATATTTATTTTAAAGTACATTGTTTGTCTTTCAGTTCAATGAAAGCACAATACTGCCTCCAGAACCAATAGTTGAAGACACATTGGAACATTCTTCATTCGCTAACTCCTCAAATTTTCCATTGCATATTACTAATAAAGTAAGTAAAAATAATTTTGAATGCATATATTTTTAGAATTATTTATAATATGTTATTCCAAATATCTTGATTTTAATTATTCTGAATACCTAACCTTTCAGCTAAGAAGTAAACCGACTGAAGTTCAATATATGGGTGATCCAGATCTAATGCCAATTACTTCATATGAGAGCACGATATTAGTTAGAATGTTGTACCAAATATCTTCAAGGATAAATGAAATGGTAAGTAACATATAGATTAAAATATCGTTTGAAGACTATGTTATTTGTTTCATTAAAATTGTTTTTGGGATCGTAGGTATTTACTACGTTGTTAAATCAATAAATTGTGTATAATATTGTGTCATAAAAAAGATGTTATATTGTTTCGCGTATTAGTGTTTCACGCAGATTCATTATATGGAATATATGGATATCTAAAGTCGAGTAATTTCTATGTTATAGGATTTTTTCATTATATAGGATATTTTTAAGAATATTCTTAATTTTAGTTTGACTTGATTTTAATATGTAATTATCAATTCAACAAATATGTAACAATAATGTGTAATTTTCAAAACAATTTAATTTTCAATGTTACTTACTGACTTATTATTTAAAAAGTACTCTGCCTACGAACTAAAACGTAAATTATGCAATAATTTACTTAATATGCTTACAATTTTAGTTCGTAGGTACTTCTTAATAATCAGTCGGAAACGTGAAGAAATATTTGTTTTCGAAATCGACAGGTCTTCGTTATGAATTCGACATGAACTGTCAATTCATTTGTATCTTCTTAAGGGAGTGTTTTTTAGTCAAAGTTAACATTTTTTCAAAGAAATATTGGTCCTTAAATGACAAATATTTTGATCCTCCTATTCTAACACCTTTTAATTTAGTATGGGAGACTAAATTATTTGTTTTTTCGAATTTTTGTTTCACGAAATTTCTGTCTTCATACATTCTATGCCGTAGTAGATCTTAGTTTTACCTACAACTTCGATTTCATTGAGAAAATTTTTATTTTTTTAACTTGTAATTTGTAAAACATTTTTCTTTCAGTTCCAGGAAGAATTAACGACTTTTTGGAATAAAGACAATTTTTGGGGGTTTGTAGCCCGAGAAATATTACAAAAACCATGTACCATTCATATGTATGTGAAAGATGCAACAAACCATCAGAATGTTGTCAGCCAAATTCTCCCCGCGCGACTGTCCTTAAGACGGCTGGGTTCCCAAGCATTCGTCGTCTGGACCGCTATAGGATATGCTCTGTTTAGGTTGTTCTCATATAGTGGATTTACTTATACCATTTTCTTGTTTTTATTTTGGATTTTCTATATTTTTACAAAAGTTTGTTTAAAAATGTTAAGAATAAATAAGTAATAATGAAAATAGTATTGTAATTTATCTATATTGAATACAAAACATATTTTTGATACTTCAACTTTGCCTTTTATTTCACTAAATATAAAATCTAAACTTTCTATTGCTAAATTCTCTGGAAGTTAACTACATAAATGGTTTTCCCAGTAGCGGTTATCGGATGATCGTATGGTGTTCATAAGTGGTCCGAACCTACCAAAATAATATATCAATAGAAAATAAGAGCACAACATAACAAGCAGACTAAGTACCGTATATCATTATAACTTTAACATATAAGAAATAGATATAATCATTATCATATCATATCAGCCTATAATATATAAATATCCCTTGCTGAACATAAGCCTCCCCTAGGGAGGGGAGGAAGGGGGGGGGGTTGCCAGTAGTTGGCAGACGGATTGGCAACCGCAGTCAGGTTTTGCAGATGTTTAAGAAGGACACTCCTGTCCATCCCTTGCCCTCCCTTTGTCCCCTCGTACGACACCTACGAGAAAGGAAGGGGTGGCCTATTCTATAGCGGGACCACATAGGTATATTATAGACGAATTATCTAAATTGTAATACTTTATATAATACAGCCATAATGAACACTAAAGATAATAACATAGCATATATTTATTAGTATTCTTAAAGTATGGTTATGAATATTTTTTTAGAGTAAGTTTCGGAACGATATTCATAGAGGCGAGTTCTTGAAATAGCAGCTTGCAAGCATAAGGCATGTCGACAGTCGAGACAGCGGCAGACGAGCGACAAGCGTGACACCACGCGCGGCTTGCGAGCCGACCGCATGCGCCGCAGATGTCTGCACTAAACGCATCCGACGCAAGCATCAGACGCTCCATTAGTAGCATGCTGAAACGTAATTATAAACATTTTAAAAATATGTTTATAGTAGGTCTATTAATAAGTTTTATATATTTTTATGTATAATCTATTTGAATAGAATGTAATGAAAATTTTATCAAAAAAGTAACTAAGCTAACCATAAACAGTCTGCTAAAAAAAGACTATTAATTTTATTTTATGTTTTGATTTGTTACTAATTTCGTTTAGTGTATGATGAATTAAAAAAAACTTTGTTAACAATTCAAATCGCTAATAATACGCTTGATGATAATCCGTATTCTTTGCATTATCATATTTTCTTTTTCTATAATCGCCGATTCATTATTTTGATGACTTTTGCAAAATGATAATGATTCATGTCCCGTCCTACGTTATAAGTACAATAGAATATTTGGACGGGGCTAAGAATAATTACTTCTTTATAGTAATTTTTTAAAATTCATCTATTGCAGTAAAAATAATACATTTACAGTATTGTTTATATTTGAGTGATAAAATGGCGCAAGAGTGAACTAATAATTTTTATGTGTAAATACAAAATAAAAAAAAAATATGTAATATCTACACAAAATTAACAAATATATATACACTAAACTATATATTATGACAAATAATATTTAAGATATATACATACACATATATGTAGCATACACAAGGAAATATGACGAATTTAGTGAAACATTACAGAATAAAGGAAACGGTAATTACAATGAATAAAAAAAAATTAAGAATTTGGTTTGGCAAGATTATTTGTGGTACGCAAAGCATGACTGCACTTCACCAAGAAATATAAATCGTTCTTTGAGGTATAATACATTAGGCAGAAGCCATAATAATATTTTTGGTTAAAAAGATTTTAGATTACTGGCGTCCACAAAACTGGAGTAACCGTTTATTATTAGACTTTAATATAATTGTAATATGGAATACCTAGCACCGTATCCAATAAGACAATCTCTTTCCATTTCACCGAGTCGTAGACCGCCGTCCCGCGAGCGTCCCTCGGTGGGTTGGCGGGTGAGGACAGCTCGTGGGCCACGAGCACGCGCATGCATCTTGTCCTGCACCATGTGTTTCAGCTTCTGATAATATACCTGTCGCAAATTAATTATTTATTGTTAAATATATATTAATAAAGGTACATTACTGTCGAAACTGGAAATAAAGTATTTTACGGCCGAGAATACTAGGATAAGGACGAAACCGAATTCCCTTATTAATTAAATTTAATACAAGAATAAGTTTAATAAGATAATATTTTCCTTAATTAAATTAAAGGAAACGTTTTTGGATATACGATGCGCTAAACATATACCAATCGCGTAATTATTGATTACTATATTTTAAATTTTTATTCCTATACCTAACTTCTTTGATTGTTGTATTCATTGGAGTATTTAAATTTATTTTTCAGAAAGGTCTAACGCCCTAAAAAGGTCACATAACAAGGTCACAAGGACAAAAAGGTCAAAAACATGTACTCACAGAGATGTTTTTTTTGCATATCTGAAAACACCGCTGCCATCATGGCGAAGGCAACAGACAATTTTGGGATAGGTACAGGGTTTAAAAAATGTTAACTTTCAAATTTTCCCACATTTGAAGCATATACTGAAGTTAGTAACAAATTATTTAAAATTATCATTTTCCCACAACTTCATCCGCGTGACCAAGATATGTTTTATGATCGAAATAAAAAATAGCCTATATCCTTTTCCATCGCATATAGTATGCATATACCAAATTTCATAATATAAGCTGTTATAGTGTTATGAAAACAAATATGTAACGAACTAACTCACTTTTATATTTATAATATTAGATATTAAAATCACGATCTTATAATGATTCTAAAATACTTACTGGACCTGAATATATATAGGCCTCTAGAAGTTCTCCTGTTAAGCCTGAATAAAAAATATCTTTTCCGTGGTAGTTGTATCCATGCTTTTCCAATTCTTTGCACACGTCTGTAACTTTCGATCCCCCGAATGCAGTACCTTAAATGAAATAGCAATTCAATTAAAAATATTAAAAATAGGTTAAGCCCTAAAATAAATAGATACGATAAATAAATAAATAGATAGATATTAATTTCTAGCGTAGCCATGTACAATTTATATGGAAATATAATTTAAAAGCCATTTATTTAACAACTCATCACTATATCTACTAAATAAAGTCCTTGAATATAACAGCATTTGAATAAATATTTACTGCACGATATTAATTGGACCAATACATGTCAATTTACTTACCATAATGAAATTTTCCTTCCATTAACCCTGCTTTCCCAGCAAGTAATTCTATAGTTTTACCAACTGTCATTCTAGAAGGAAAACCATGAGGATTCATAATCATGTCCGGGCAAATACCTCTATCATTGAAAGGCATATCTTCTTGTTGTACTATAAGCCCCGTAACACCTTTTTGACCATGCCGGGAACTAAACTTATCTCCGATTTCTGGAACTCGAGTTTGTCGTAGCAATATCTTAATAAGTAATGCATCTTCAGAATTTGACGAAACCATTACTTTTTCTATATACGATTCCACGGCTCCTTTATATGTTATTGGAACTTCTTTATATTCGACCTGTTGAGGTTGACCTTGAGGAACGGGAGTTAATGTTGCTATAGGCATTTGCTTATTGATTAGAACTTGTCTGTTTTCTACCATTTCGCCCGGTGCAGCAATGCCATCAGCATCTAATAAATCATGTGCTCTAATCACTTTCCCCGTGCTGGCGTCTCTTGACGGACCACATATTCTGTCTGAAGTTTGGTTGCTGTACCTTTTCATTGTCGTTTTGGCACTTTTGTACACGAGGCATCTGCCATAACCACGGTCTATGGATGCTTGATTGAGAATCAGCGCATCTTCAATGTCGTATCCACTATAACTCATTACGGCTACCGTAGCATTCTGACCGGCAGGCAGTTTGTCAAAGTTCGTTAATTCGATCGTTTTAGTTTTAACCATAGGACATTGTGGGTATACTAAATTATACATCAGCGTATCAATTCTGTTTTTCTGGTTGTATCCGATGGTTCCTATAAAATTGTAAAAACAGTAATAGATTATTTATTAATATTGATAATGACAATGAACAGTCACAATAGGAAGTGCTTCGTTACGATTCACTAAAAAAACTGTCATTTTATGAGCAGGCCGAGGTACACTAGATAAATAAAAAATAAATACTACATAGTCACATCAAATGTCTGATACTCATAATGCTAGTATAGTTATACAATGCATACAGATAGCATACGACGTTACCATTCAAATAGCATTCATTTAAAACAATCCTTGCTATGTACCAATGAATGATGAAAGAAAGGATGAAGTCAGATCAGTTGCCGCACCATAACGAATTAACCACAATGGTGGAGTAATGTAGCTGCTTTCCCCACCATTGTAATTCCTTCGTCTGGCCATGTGACATTAGAGCAGTCATGACACTTACCCATTGCTTGTTTTCCCATAGCACACTGATAAGTGTTTCTTGGACTTTGGTTATGATGCGGATAAGGCACGAGGCCTGCACACACACCCAAAATTGTAAAAGGTTCTATTTCAAGATGCGTTGTCACGTACGGATCAATCTCTGCTTCAACTGTCGCAATGTGACTGTCATTTTCTTCGTTCACATCCAAATATTCAATAAGACCATCAGTCAAAAAATCTTGAAATTTTCTTATGCCTCTATTTAATTCATTTATATGAATTTGTTGGACTAATGGACATCCTTTTTCTACGATGATGTACGGTCGGCAAAGCCTACCGCCATCACTGCATATGTAGACGGTCCTTTGATTATGATTTGGATATATTGATACAAATGCAGATATAAGTCCACGCCTTCTAAACATTCTGAATACCCTAATAAGTCTTTTATATTGTCTCGATACTCCTAAAATGTTACCTGAAAAAAAAATATATATATATAAAGATGATTTTTTTAACAGCTGAATACAATAATTTTTTTGTTCTGAAATATTAATTGAAATAGTAATTAACATGATGCTGGATAATCTCGATGATATATATGATGATGAAAATGTTTATGCCAATTATTATTGTTATATTATAAAATAATTATAAAATAAATTCAAAATTTGAATTTTATCAAGATTAATGATATCAGTAATTAGGAGCCCATGAATTTAAAAATATAATGATAATAATTACCATTAAGGAACACTATATAGACTGCCGGATGATTAATTTCTTCACCTCCCAGAAGCCTTACATCTTCAACACCAGCGTTACATGCCAATCTAGCAATAGGGTCTTCTGAGCACTCAGTTGTAATGTGCGTCATTAATGCCAAATTTTTGACAAGGCCACATCCTTCACCTTCCGGGGTGTCAGAGGGGCACAACATCCCCCATTGAGAAGGCTGTAAGGAACGCGGACCAGAGACTTTCCTTGTTTTTTCAAATTGTGAATTGACCCTGGTCATCATACCTAATGCAGATATGTAGCTAAGACGACTAAGAACTTGAGTTACACCATGCCTTTCCATTTTAAACCGCTTGATAGTCCAGTTACCCTGTAAATATTTTATAGATGTAGTTGTATTTTAATCTATATTTACAGATGCAAATTAACATTGTAAAAGTGGATTTCCACTGTTACATGTTTATTTTATACTGTGAAGTTTCGGGGATATGACGTCACCCTGTCTCGTACTCGGATAGACATCGCAGCCTTACTGTACATATACTTCAACACTTCAATATACGTATAGTCAACCTGGCACCGCTGGAGGGACTGTAGTACCGCTTATGTCTCGACCGAATCAAAGGCTTTCTTATAGTCCACAAACGCCAGGCATAGTGGCAGATTATACTCTTCAGTCTTCTGTATAATCTGTCGTAGCGTATGTATGTGGTAATTCATATAATTGTTGACCTTTCTAACAATTTTATAAATTTACATCAAATTTTAAAATCTGCAAAATTTTATCTTAAATAGGTACTTACGGTAGAAATAGCTGCAAATAAGCCATTTGCTATCAAATCAGGTCTCATATGTTTTACAACATCAAATGGCGCCGCCTTTACTTTAGGAATGATTTTTTCTGCAATAGACTTTAATTCCCAATTGAACCTTTTAAACAAATCTTCAAACATAAGAGAGAGTAAAGACCCAGCAAGCTCAAGTCTTTTGTTTCCATAATAATCAGGATCATCTATGGCTGCTTTATTTGACTCAGCCTCTATAACTCTCTTCACCATAATAGCTAAATAAATAGCCTTTACATAAAAATTGTAGTTTTCAACAGTTACATGCGCCAAAATAGTTGTTGCTAAAAGGTCTCTAGCTTCATCCACTGGGGTGCGGCATTTCGAATTGACTGTCTGAAATCTATAAAGACAATTAATTTCATTTGTAATGGTATAGATTAATATTTATTTATATTATAATAACACAAATATTTTTTTATTATTATACCAGCCTTTAACTGTCCACTGCTGAACATAGGCCTTCTCCATAAGGAGAGTTTTGCCCATAGTTGCCACGCTTGGCAGGTGGGTTGACAACCACAATCAGGCCTTTGGTGATGTTTAAGAGAGATGCTGCTGTCCATTCCTAGACCATTAAGTTCCCTTAGTTGACTCTTATGACACCCACGGGAAAAGAGAGAGTTTCAATGCCAGGACTACACAGCTAACACAGAAACATAAATATTTAAAAATCATAAACAAAAATCAAATTTACCTTTTAACTTTGAGTTTACTACCAATATAGGCAAGAGCTTGATTCTGTGTAAATATTTTTAAATTATGACAATCCATAATACAAGGGGCCATTTTCTTAACTGTATTATCGTCGCTTCCAATCAGTTGCATTATCTCTTGATCACTGCAGATACCCATTGCTTTGAATGCCACTGCTATCGGTATATCCTTTAAAATTTTACATTATTAGACTATGATGTAGAATAAAATGTACTGTATATTTATATTGCCTTTGTATTACATATAGTCAATAGAAACTACTATTATATACACAAGATAATATAAGACAAGATAATGTAATATAAGGTAGTATTTCGTAAATTATAATTTTAAAGAAATATAAATAAATTATTCATTTCTCATTTATTTATACACTCAAACAGTTTATAAATTAATCAAAATGTCAGAAAGGAACCCTTATGATCCAACTTAGTCCATCTGTCCATTTGTTACAGCAACTACAAATGCTATTCATTTGAAATTTATAATTTATTCTTTTTTAATTTTCTTTACTAAGGGATCCAAAAAGGACACTAAAAATTTAAAAAATGGGCCTACTATTTCATGTGTAAAATCATAAGAAAGAGCTTCATTTGCATATTATAGTCTTTTTGTTTTTATATAAATACAATACTTAGAACAATGTTCCTAAATACCACAGTTATAGAGAAATTATCAAAAAAAAAAAAGTCTAAAAACAAAGTTATGCAAACTAGTCATTAACTAAAATTATGACTCAATATAGGGAATTTCGAATTGTAATGAAGTAATAATTCATATAAAAAAATATACATTTGAATATTGCTTTTTTTATATGATTTATTTTTAAAAATCTAAGGATGTAGATATATATAAATATTTGGTTATCTATGTTCATATTATAAAGTATATATGTACATAGATAATGTAATAGAGAATAATCATAATAATAACACATATGTTAGAGCAAGTTAGACAGACATTCACCTACACAATATAAGCACGAAGCTGATTTGGCTGAACAAGTTATAATAATTTTTAGTTTTTGAAGTGGAATTAGTTTTAAATGAACATAGTTAATGTTTTGTACCTGGATATAAAATAAATTTCGAAAAATGTCACAAAATTATACATAATTCTATTTTAAACAGTTATTTTTATTTATTTATTATAGTTATTTTATCTCTTTTAATGCAATATTAGGGAACAAGTAAACTTCTGAAGGTCCATTTTGCTATTTTCGTAACTTCAATTTCTTGTATGGAAAACAGAATTGTCACATGCATTCATTAACAAAACATACATACTAGTTTAGACAATTTTTGTTTCATTTTAGCCCTCATAATGTTTAATTTTTATGATATTCAAATAAATTTTTAGTAAACACAATATAAATATGTTTACAGATTATTTTATGTACAGAACTTTCTACTTTCAACTCTAACTTGTTCAATTTTTATATATATTTTCAGAAACTTACATCAGAAAGAGCATTATGGCGCAGAACATATTTTCCATTTTTCACTATAACGTTTGTTCTAGTTTTCTTCTCATGGGTAGAACTAGTAACCTGACACTGAATGGCACCCTTAAATTCATCGACAATCATCCGGTTTCTGGATAACTGTTCTTGTATTAAAATTACTTTTTCTTGTCCTGCAGGAAAATTGAAAGCATGAATTAATTTAGGATATGGTCTATCCATGTACCAAATAGCATTAAATTTGTTGAGCTGTTTAAATATGACAGGATAACAAACATATTTATATTTTATATATATATATATATATATATATATATATATATATATATATATATATATATATATATATATATATATATATATATATATATATAAATTTGTAAGATAGAAAATAGTATTTAAGTGTACTGTGCTACTCATAATATAGTTTCATAGTTTTAGTAAGTGGATATATATACTGTGGTATCTAAGGAAAACAGGTATATCCTATACACATATAAAACATATACATCCACAGTAAGTGGACATATGAATGAACATGTAGTTTCATTAACAGGTATGTCATAAAAAATATAGTATACTTAATTTATGCAATAAAACACTTTAGAGGAATTTTCAAAACTATTTGAGTTTCAAAAACTTCTTTACAATATTTTATTAGATCTGAGACTTTAAAGTATTGTTATTTTAAACATAATTGTAGGTAAATCTCATAATTATGAACATTTATCATAAACTATACCTCTAATAATGAAGTAACCTCCTGGATCATGGGGACATTCATTCAGCTGTGCCAATTCAAAATCAGATTTATTTGTCAGTACACAATTTGATGATCTTAACATCAGGGGCATCCTGGTGAAAAAAGAATTGTATATATTAAACAACTTTTTATATTAACATTAATATCAATATAATAGAATAGTCACATACCTTCCAATCAATTGTTTATTTTTTATGACTCGTTGATTACCTCTTATATATTCTATATCAACAGTAATAGGAGCTGAATAGGTCATATCTCTTAGCCGACATTCATGGGGTGTGGTTGGCTTAGTTACATTAAACCCTTCTTCAAGATCTGGTGTACCCACATATGCATTGAGGTATTTAATATAAAACAGTGGGTCTGCATCACAAAATACTTTTTCATTAGCTTGAACAATTTTTTTTATTTCTACGTTTATAAAATAATTGAATGAGTCAATATGTTGTTTCACTAATCCTTTTACTTGTAAAAATGATGGAACTAATTTCCATTTGTCCTACAAAAAAGGTAAAACAAATATTATTGATAAATAATCAAATTCAAAAATATTACTGGTTATAAATACCGCTACTATTAGTGTGACTACCAACATTTTAGGATTGATTACTATACTTAGTAATCGCACACATATTAATGCTAGCAGAATCAAACAAAATCATTCTAAATGAATTAATTAGTAGTACAAAAATAGATTATCAAAGAATCTATTTTTACTACTACTAAACATCTTATAGTTAAGTCAATAATTCGTATTAAGTTCTATATATATGGACTATAATTTTTCTACTAACCTCTATTGCCTTTATTGGCTCTCGTAAACCTTTAGTAGACTCCCATTCTTTATTTTTCATATTCAGCTCGCCCATGGTTTAAAAAGTAATGAGTAACCTATTTCTACAGCAAACAATGATTATTATTGTCTTACGTTATACACGTGAACATAATATATCCATCAATATTGCTGTATTGAAAATAGCAATGCCTGCAAATTCCAAATAGGTACCTACCAACTTGAAATAGTAATACAAAACGTGATGATTATTTGTTTCATAATTGAGTTTTTCCTTAATTTTTATAAATGTGACTATACTAGCATTTATATAAATTATAATAAACAAATAGACAAAAACATAACCTGTATAAATTACAAAAGAAACAATAACAACTTGATTACTTACTCAATTTTTTTTTTTTAGTACGTTTGTTCCGTTTGGAACAGGCTAAGGTCGGAGACCATGCTGCCTAGTCTTCAAGAAGATAATTTGTCTGGAATTTTATTTTTCTAATGTCGCTTCAATTATTGTCATAATCTTCAATATTTCATTTGTCAAATCCGGTAAGTACATTTTCATAAATATCTTTTCTTGAGTTTTCTTAAACCAGTGGATTTATCAAATTAAAAATAAATAATTATAAAAAATCATTGTCTTGCAATTCAATAAAAGTATTCTTATAGCTCCTTGAATGTTGTAGTAATATAAGTGAAAATAGCTTTGAAACAAGAAGGAAATCTTAAGAGAATCGGGATTGAGTGCGGGATATTTTCGGGTTTTTTGAAGATAATCCTAAGTTCGTCAAACATAATGTGTCTTTGAATGACAAATTCAGAGCAATCAAAAAAAGGTGATGTAGAGTTTGGGCTGTATTTGAGTTACACCATGTGCATGATGGGGAAGCGATCATGCCCATTCGGTGCAGGTGTTCGTTGAAATGTCCGTGGCCGATTCGTAATCTACAAATATTGGTGTAAAATTTTCTGTTTGTGTCCTTTCCTTTGCAGAACCACGGTTTTCCAATACGCCAATTAATTTTGCGGTACCATTTGCCTTTAGTCTGTAATATTTGAGTCCAATGCTCCTCCCATTTAGTTGTAACGATTTTATGTATTCCAATACTACAATCTGAGTAACAAAGGGGTAAATCTTGAACACGAGCAGCACTTGAATTAATAATTTTAGCCAAAGTGTTTACTTGTTCATTCCCAAACACTCCAATATGTGAAGGGGTCTAGATGAAGATAATATCTTTTCCATATATAGTACAGAGATGATAATATTTATTACGAATTTCTTGAATTAAGTAGTTTGATGATGAAATGAATGTGTTATTTTTTAATGCCATAAGAACACTCATACTATCTGTAATTATAATCCATTTCGAATATAGTACCTGTTTTTCTATGTATTCTAATGCTAAAAATATAGCTTTTGCTTCTGCTGTGTAAATACTAGCCAAAGTTGAAATTTTATAACCGTGACCAAATCTATTTGACAAATCGTAAAAAGCCACTGAAGTGCTAAGTGCATTTTTGGAACCATCTGTATATATCTGCCTGTAGTCAATAAATTCTGATAAAGTCTCATACATATCGTGCTTTTCTTTTATGTCTTTACGTATAACAATTTTGATCTTACAGAACTTACTCTCATAAAGGCCATTATAACAAGGAAGTATCTTACTACTATAGATGTTATATTCATCTCGTAAATTCAAATCATTGACAATAGTTTTATTCAAAAACATAGAAATGGGGCAATTTAATAATTTGAGTATGAGTGGGTTATTGGAAACTGAAAAAACTTTGAAGAGAAATTTGAGTTTTAGGTATTCGAAACGAAGAAGGATAGGAGGCAAATTACATTCTACTTGCATTGAGATAATTGGAGAAGTATACATAGCACCTAAAATAAGTCTTAAATTCATATTTTGAATTTTTTCGAGTTTTTCTACTAATTTATGTTCTGAGGCATAACAAAAGAAAGCGTAATCAAAATTACTTCTAACAAGAGATTTGTAAAGTAAAAGGATAATTTTAGGATCAGCTCCCCAGTTACGACCAATTACAGATCTTATTATATTAATGGCTCTTAAAGCACGATCTACTAAGCAATCAACGTATAGATCCCATTTTAAATTTTGATGAAAAATTACCCCCAGAAATTTAACGCTACAGTCTGTTGGAAGAGTTTGATTATTATATATAATATTCATTAATGGAACATATTTATGAACTTGATGAAAAACAACTACTTTACTTTTGGTTAAACTAATATCGAGGGAAAGAAGAGAAAAATATTTCTCAAGTCTTTTTAATGACTCATTTAACACTAATTGCATATCAATAATATTCTTTCCTTTTATATAAATTAATAAATCATCGGCAAATTGCAAGTTGTTCACACTGTTTCCTAAAATTGAATTAAGTTTATAGATATATAAAATATATAGTAGCGGGCTTAGAATACCACCTTGACATACTCCTTTAGAGCTTAACCTAGGTCCTATTAATTTACTATTTACTTTAACATACACTTCTCTATTACTAAGAAAATTATAAATCCATTCGATAAGTTTCATTGGAAGAAATGAGGATAAAATCGAAGATAGAACTGTTAAATTTACATTGTTAAAAGCTCCTACGACATCTAAAAAAACAGATAGAACATATTCATCGTTATTCAAAGCAGTACTAAGGTCGACATAGAAGTTCGCTAAACTTTCGCGCGCTGAATATCCACGGCGAAAACCAAATTGATTCGATGGTAATATACTATTACTTTCAATAAAGAACTCTAAACGCTGTTTAATTAATTGTTCGAATAATTTGCCTGCACAGGACGTCAATGTTATAGGTCTATAGGAGTCGAAATTTGTAGGATCTTTACCGGGTTTAATTACTGGAATCAAACAATCCATTTTCCATTCTGGTGGGATAATACAGTCCTTCCATAAATCGTTAAAAATTTGTAAGAGTTTAGTAAGGTTTATTTTATTCAGCAATCGAAACATATTGTATGTTAAGCGATCAAGGCCACTAGCTGTATCTTTTCTAGATTTTACTGCACTGGATATTTCATCAATTGAGAATGGGTCAGTGAGAAATTTTGGGCATGAATTAACAGAATTAAACTGTTTGTCATCAAAAGGTGAGTGTACAAAATCAGGAGTATATTTGCGTAAAAAATCATTGACCCATGATATATCTTTAAAATGATTTTGACGATGTTTTGAATTTAGTTTTCTCATATTTTGCCAAACAGTGGAAATTGGTGTTAATCTATTAAATTTGGAACAAAATTCCTGCCACCCCTGTTGTCTTACTTGCTTAATTACTAACTTTTTAACAGCTTGAACTCTTTTAAAATTTATGTAATTATCGAGAGTTGGATTTTGTTTAAACCTAAGGTAAGCCGCTTTACTATCATTGACAGCTGTCGCACACCTGTTATTCCACCAAGGTACTGCAATATGTTTGTGCCTCTTTGAAGTATTTGCACCGCTATTTGATAAGTTCCTACGTGGAACGGAACGTTCCACAGCTGTCAAAATAATTTTACAGAACCTATTGTAATTGTTTAAGGGTTCATTGACATCATACTCGAAATCCAAAAGTAATCGATTAACAGTTTCAGAATAAAGATCCCAATTAACGAGACGTAGGTTTATACGATTTAACTTCAAAAGTTTATTAACTTCATCTATAGGAGCATGTTGTTCACCTGACGGAGTTGATGAAGAGTTCTTTGTGTTTATTTTAGTAAAAGTCGGCAGGTGATAACTTCCTAACGGATCATCATGAACCGACCACTCGCATTTTAATGATATGGATGGGGATACCATAGTTAAATCAAGGCCATTGGGTCTCCAAATATGAGAGCCAACAGTAGTAACTTGCTTATCATTTAATAGTACCAAATTACATTCATCTAAACAATCAAGAATGTCTTTACCTCTTGTATTAGTGGAGGTACAACCCCACATAGTATGATGTGCATTTAAATCTCCAGATATGATAGTGGGTTTAGGAAGAGACTCCAAAAAGAACTTAAATTTGGCTTTAGTAAAACTAGGTGTACTATTGGTAGGACAGTAAATACTGGCAACTGAATACCAAGAATTATTAACTTCAATACTAATAGCTATAGTTTGCAAAGAATTGTCGAAAAAAGAGTGAAGTTTTTTATATCTAATACTATTATGTATAATAATCGCTACTCCATTGTGGTTATTACCACAATCATTTCGTTCTATACAATAATCTTTAATTTTTAATTTGTAATGTGGTTTTAGCCAAGTTTCTGAGATGAGAGCAATGTGAATATGATGTTCATTTAAAAATTGTGTAAAAATATGTCGATTGCTCAGTAGGCTCTGAGCGTTCCACTGTATGATAGTTAATTGGTCTCGATTGAATTTTGTGAAATAGGTCTATTACCAAAAGTATCATATAACACATTCAAAACACTTTTAGTGTTAATAGATGTGTTCTTTGTGTTATGTAGTGAAATAAGTTTGATTATGCTTTCTATTAAAAGTGATAAACTCTTGTTATCAGAATTTAGAATTGAAATTAGGTCTACATTTTTTTTAGGTTTGTTACCCAGTTTAGGAAATATTTCAGTGCTAAGTATATCTCCAAAAGAAGCAGGTCTGAATTTAGATCTATTTTCAGCAATTTTCTTTTGTTTAACAGGGCATTGCGGTGATACACTTGTGTGATTTCCATTGCAGTGTACACAAATAGCGTTTTCCATTCCAGTTGTACAAGTTTTATAATTATGCTCACCTTTGCAGATGCTGCAACGCTCAGAATTCTTACAGAATTTAGCTAAATGTCCATACCTCAAGCACCGGTAGCATTGTTTAACTGGTGGTATATATGGAGTGACATTGTGGCGCCAACCTCCAATATCCAGATATTCAGGTAATACAGATGCAGCAAAAGTAATTGTCACGGTTAGAGTTGGCTGTAACACATATCCATGAGTCAAGGTATTTTTTCTTAAAATTCTTTTAATAGCAATAATTTTCTTAGAACTCGATATCATAGTATATATTTTTTTATTAGATATATTTGTAGGTACATTTCTAATAACGCCTGTAACTTCTGTTGAAGAAGCAGGAATACTGGCCTTAAAATGGTAGTCATTTAAAAAAGTTTTATTATTTAAAAAAGCATTGGCTAAGTCTGGCTTTTGAAAGTATACTCCGATTTTGAATTTATTTATAGATCTAAGATAAGTTACCCCTTTATTAAATCGTTTTAAACAGGAGGAGAGTGAGAGCAAGTCTCTGGATCCAATGGTTTTCTGACTATCTGAGGATTCTACAAAGACAACAAATTCTGTCCCAGGGGATTCCTCGGGATATCTTCTAATATAATCTGTGACGTAGTAAGGTTTATACTTATCGGCCTTATCAATTTCAGATTCTGAGTCAGTAGAAGTATCTTCCGAATATATATCCTTGTCATTACAAGGTTCATGGTCTACATCACCTGAATCGTCATCTTTTTTTTTCCTTTTTCTACAACTGCGCTTCCCCATGAATGCTAATTATATTACTGTCGCTGAATTTAGTGAAAATATAATATTTTATTCAATAATAAGAATTGATAGAGATAGTTTTAATAAATTAATAAAAAAAATTTAAAAAACCCGCTTGTTCTTATTCGAGTTTCCCGCCTTTTTCTATATTCTCTTACTCAAATTAAAAATGTCAAAATGGGCAATAGATTTAAGTATAACCAAAGAGTATATAATCACTACGTTTTAGAATAAGCTCGATCTAAGTCTATGGACTTAATTATAGATTAAAGTGGTACGGTGATGGTGGTAGAATATTTTTTTTCTACCTACTCATCAATTGTTATTCATTTTAATTTGCAAAGGCAAATATAATAATGAATTCTTCTTCATTATTATGTGTATATAATAATATGTATTTTAAGCGATCAAGATTGTCACTATAGTATGGATTCGGCCTATAATACTATTTTTATCTGTGATGAATTTCGATATCAATTAGATTGTGTATATCTGTGGTTACTTTTACGTCAATCGAGGTTCAAGGTATCGAAGGAGAAATACCTAATTAAATTTAGGAGAAAAAAGTAAATAAATAAAATGTAGTAAATCATCAAACCAAAATAATTTGGGAAACAGATTTTATTAATTCTCTCTAAATTTTAAATTATGTATTAGATTCCGATATACATTAATGTTTCTGTAACAATATTACGTATTGTGTATAAAAATGGTATACGAATCTCTGCCCCGAACGGTTCGGATCCTTTTACTAGGAGAACCAAGTGTAGGAAAAACTTCACTTATTCTTTCTTTAGTGACAGAAGAATTCACTGACCATGTTCCACCGAAAGCGGAAGAGATTACAATACCTGCGGATGTTACACCTGAGCAAGTACCAACTAATATTGTAGATGTTTGTGGTACGTATCTAATAAGTCTGAATCTTTAATTTGAAGCATATTTTTTTATGATTTTTTTTGTAGTGGTTTTTCGTATTCAACATTAGCTAAGTAGCTTATAAAAAATCTTGTTTAAAGCCTTTTTACTATAGTTACATACTTGTAGTAACGAAACATTAGACAAAATCAGGTGTTGCCGGTTAATGATTTATTATCCATATGTGTTTTATTCCACTATATTATATTTGTATGTACCTTGTATATGTATACTATGCATAGTATACATATACATTATCCTATTATCTGTGCAAGTGCTAAAATTTATAGTTACAATTTATATACTCACTGGTTAGCAATACAATATTTTATGAAAATTTGTATTATGATGGATAGTTAGTAATAAAAGAATTTGGTCTTGACTTACTCCTTTAAATATTATACTTATGAAATAGTGTATAGTTTAAATAAGTTGCAATGCTCTCAGATTTAGTAATTAAGCATAATATATGTATTTACAGTTATATGTTTTGTAATATTTTTCAGTTGCAGAACAATCCTTGGAACAAATAGGGGAAGAAATAGAAAAGGCACATGTAATTTGCATCATTTTTTCAGTTGATCGTCAAGAGACACTGAGCAAAATAGCATCATACTGGTTGCCATTTGTAAGAGATAATTGTCCAAATGATTACAGAAAACCTGTTATTCTTGTTGGAAATAAAATAGACTTAATTGATTATTCTGTAATTGATGTGAGTTTTTTTATTTGCACAAATATAAGTATTAGTATGAGTAAAATCATATTTTATAAACCAAAAATATCACTATATTGTAAGTAAAGCATGTGTTTGTTACAGAATATTTGGGACATAGCAGAAGAATATCCAGAAGTGGATAGGTGTATAGAATGCTCTGCAAAAACTCTCACTAATGTATCAGAAATGTTTTATAATGCACAAAAAGCTGTGTTACATCCTATATGTCCAATATATTCTATTGAAGAACAAGAGGTAAAATTTTAAAATTGAAAATAACATTACATATTTCAATAGTCACATTACTTTCTACAATACAGATTACACGTGTTACTAACTTACTGGAGACATCATTATCTTATGATGTTTTCATGTTACATATTTTGTTCATTAATTCTGAATTGATCTTTATTAACCATTTTATATTTCTGAATATTGATTTTTTGTGAAATAATATTCTAATAAAATTTTATTATTGTGAGTCATACTGAATTATAATTGTGGTGACTTTACTCAAATTTAAATTCAGAGATGCCTGACTACTTTCATATTCAATAGAAGCACTTATTGATTTGTGTGATTCACAACTGTGTTGTGAGCAGCAGTGGATGATCCAAGGTTGTCAGATGTGAATTTTTATTTTTACAAAATCATGACTTTTTTTCCAAATCAATATGTTTATCAAAACTTACCTAATCACAAAGTTATATCGTTTCTCATGATGTGACATGTGCCACAATATGAATGATGAAAGATAAAACCCTTCTGTTTTTACTTCTTTATTCATATTTTACTGTATTTATATATCTCTATACAATTTACTACTACCAAAAAAGTAAAAAAATTCTTTAAGAATTTTATTTCTACAAAATTGCAAAAAATACCCAATCTGAAAACATTAGCGCAACCAACATGTTGTTTGGCCCTGCATGCATATGAGTGGCGGCAGTGGCGTTGGTCAGAACAAGTTGGGTATCCCAGAATTTAAAATGTGAGTAAAGCTAACACACAGAGACTATTATCTGTGGTAGTAATAAAAATAAAACAGCCAATAGTCTATTTATTTATCTTTTGATTTATTAAACAAATAAAATTATAGTTGACAGAGAAATGCAAGAAAGCTCTTACAAGAATATTCAAAATTTGTGATTTGGATGGAGATGGACTTTTGGATGATTATGAAGTAACAATATTTCAGCGAAAATGTTTCGATACACCTTTGCAATTACAGGTATTTTTAATTTGCTATTATCAAGGGAGACTTTATACAAAAGTCGTTTGCTTGGACACCTCTGCCCGATTTGTGTTTCTATCGTGAAACAGTTGTTTGAACGGCTTTATTTCAGTTTGAAGGGTGGGATATGGCAGTGAATTTACAGGGTATAGAGGAAAAACACCTTAGTCCTCAGAAATGGCAATGCATGGGGGGTATCATGAGCGAAACAATATACTCTGTTATATATAATGCAAAATAAATTAACATATAAAATAAATTTATTTTCTTAAACTCTTAGATGGGATAAAGCACAAATATTAAAAATGCATTTCATATAATTAATGGACATTCAATTGTCTGTTCTTTTTTGGTTTTAGTAGACTTAATTATTTTTACTATTTGTTGTAGGTTTTAGATGAAGTGAAATCAGTAATTGCCCAGAACATTGCTGGTGGAATTGAAAATGATTGTATAACAGTAAAAGGTTTTATTTTTCTGCACTGTTTATTTATACAAAGAGGAAGAAATGAAACAACATGGACAGTGCTTCGTAAATTTGGATATGATGAAAGTTTAGAGCTAACTCACACTTATTTATATGCCAAGTATGTTTACATTATTATATTGATGCGCCCACGACTTTTTTCATATAGGTTAACATGTCGGATAGCAATAATTTTTTTTAATTTTTATTTTTTTTCGCCAATTTACTCATGGACCTGTAAGTAAGGATAATAATTTAGCCTTACTTATTTTATGTAATTATGAAATTTTCATAGTATGTATATTAAGCTAAATATGGGCCAACACCCATATTTAGTTAAATTACCTATGGCGAAAATTTCTTCACACTCAGTCCGTCCGTTTCTTCATTATATGCAACAAGCGTTTAAAAAAATCTGTATGATAATAATTTCGTTAAAAATGCTCAATTTAAACCTTGTTTTATTTCAGTATAAAAGTACCTGTAGGATGTACCTCTGAATTATCATACAAGGGACAACAATTTTTGACACAGCTTTTTGAAAAATACGACAGAGATAAAGATGGGATGTTAAATCCAACAGAATTGAAAAATGTGTTCTCATATTGCCCACGGATTCCTTGGCACAATTTACGATACACAGTTCCAACAAATGAAAAGGTAAAGTGTATACCTAACATACATTTATTAATAACTAAGTAGTACAAAAATATATTAAATTTACATTTTTCTTCTATAGGGCTATTTAACATTGCAAGGCTGGATGTGTCGATGGACCTTAATGACGTTAATGGATTTGCAAAATACTAGTGCCTATTTAGCCTATTTGGGTTTTAATTTTCTCGAAAATGAAACACAAAAAGCTGCGATTCATAGTAAGTAAACATTGTTTTATTATTTTTCAGTATTCCCTTCCATCTATTTTAGTAGTGTTTGTGTAATAACGGAACAAATATGTAGAGAGACAGATTTTTTTTTAGTTAATGTTTTAGCTTCCATTGCTTTTATTATGACTCCTCATATAAATTTTTCTTAAATATCCTCCTACGTATAGACATCGTCCAATTATGGTTTTATTATATTAGTAAGATAAAGTGGAGTAAGATACCTGTTTAGTAGTTATATGTTAATTGTTGTTACTTTCAGGGAATTTTAGAAAAAAATTACCTATATCTTATAATTATCTATATATATGTCTGACAATACATTCAACATTAAACCGTTCCTATTAATATTATAAATGTGAATATTGGTATTTACTATACTACTTATTTACGCTTAAACACGGCGAAAGGCATACTGTCCTATATCACGTGGGTAAAGCTGCGGTAAACAGGTAGTCTATAGTAGTCAGTAAAATTTATATTTTGCAGTAACACGAGAGAAAAAAGTGGATATTGCCAAAAAACAATCAAGTCGTAACGTATACCAGTGTCACGTCATCGGCCCACGATCGTGTGGCAAGACATCTATTTGTAGAAGTTTTCTCGGTATAGCTCATAAGGTATGTAAACTAAAAATATATCTATTTACACGTAAAGTCCCTTACGAGGTAGACAGATAACGGAGTGTCAAAAGTAAAACCATATTCATACATCTAGCTTTTGTTTCGTTTACTTTTATAACTTGTTCTGGACATACGCACTAGTTCTGATAAATCGTGTCTCTTTCTTGCGTTAAGCATCTCTTTAATCATTATAGGTTAGTTTAGATCGCATTTTTCCATTGCAAGTTTGTAATGTAAATGATATACGAGATTATGTCCTTTTCCCATTTTTATACCGACACAAATCAACTCATTCACGTAATGTATTACGAATGCGGTTAGCCAGCCTTATTCCGTATATCCTGCATAGCCTTAAAATTTTTGTTTTTTTATGCAACTTAGAATGGCAAACAAGCTGACGGTCCACCTGATGGAAAGTGACAACCGTCACCTATAGACATGAGTAGTACTATGGACATAACAGAGTATACTGTTTCGCTTATGCGTTGCCATTCCTGAGGACTAAGGTGTTATGTCTCTGAACCCTTAAATTCACTGCCATGGTAGGAACCCTTCAAACTTCAAACACAGCCATGCAAACACAACTGCTTCACGGTTGAAACACGAATGGCACAAAGGTACCCAAGCAAACGATTTTTCTAGTCTCTGGTTTGGTTGGTTTAGAAATTTAAAAACTACCTAATATCAAGATCAAATAAAACCGACGTAATTTTTAAATATGAAGATCTGAATATAAGTAATTAGTGAAATAAAATAATTTTGTAATTAATTAATTTTATTTTCATTATCTTAATTACGACAGAATCCTAGGATAGACGGCTTTTTCAACAAACTCCAAGAAGTATCACATGTTCAATATATTTTGATTACTCCTTTTTTTAAAAGGATTTATAGTCATAGTAATTTTAGCAAGCTTAAGGTCGTGTTTTTAGAACAATAACAATTTTAAATAATTATATAACATGTATATCTATGCTGTAACATATTAATATAAAGTTATTAAAAATCTACCTATGTATACCTATTACTCCTTACAAATGATACTATAGTACTAATGCTCTATTGTGAAATATTTTTCTGTATTTAGTTAATAACTTTAAAAAATATATTGTAACAGAAAATAAAGCCCCATGCTCACGAACGTGGCGACAGCAACCTAACAGAAAACTGCTGTATAAACACAGTGTTAGTGTACGGGCAGGAGAAATATCTGGTATTAAAGGAGATTCCGATCACTCGAGTATCGGACCCGTTGCAGCCCCATGAGGTGAACTGTGATGTTGCTTGTCTCGTGTATGATGTTGCCGCAACGCGTTCCTTCGAGTATATTGCTAGGATATACATTGTAAGTAATGCTAATCTTATAAGCATCCATTATATTTACTATTTTTATCAATTTATTAATTTACATCATCTTCATCTTTCTACCCTTATCCCAATCATTTGGGGTCGGTGTAATATGATTTTATCCATATTACAAAAAGATTTGGTTTTTAGTTTTACGACCCCTCACCTGCCTGACGTCAACCCTCTTTGGGAATTAATTTACATGTAAATTTGATTATTAGTAATGTGGACTACAAGTGGAGTATATTGTTAACAATGAGAATAACAATGGTTGTCCTGCCAGGGTTGACAGGACGACCTCCATGTGGTCCCCCTGGAAACCATTGTGCTGAATTCTAGAATTTCATTACGATAGACTAACTGTCTTTACATTCTCATCTATCATACCTCACTGGTGCCGCACCAGCGTATACCGTTAGCGCAGGCGAGGTTACCATTCCATTATCATCCATTAAAAAAACCATACCTATGAAGAAATTATAATACTGTCTGTTTATTATCTTCGTTAATTTTCTTGAAATTTGTTTGGATACAATAACTCACAATTAGCATATTAGTATTAGGTCAAAGTGATATGAGTGATGCATCGGAAAGTGCCAAATTTTAATTTGATCCGTTCATTCAACGATTTGATTATTCATCAATTTTTTTCTTAATACCCTACACAATGTTTACTTATATGTATTTCTTTTGTAGAAATATTTCGCAGAGAGTCACATTCCTGTGCTAATAGTGGGCACGAAAGGCGATGCGTTAATCGCTCGCCAGGAGTACATGTTGCAGCCAGAAGTTTTCTGCAATAAGTATCAATTACTCGCGCCTCAATTTTTCAACATTAAAGAAAATAAACACGATGTGTTTATCAAACTAGCGACCATGGCCGCATTTCCGTAAGTATAGTATTTCTATTAAAAATGATATAAACATAAAAAAACGAATTAGCATATTTTTAAAAGTTGTGACTTTATTCTCATATCTTTATTTAGATTGAAAATTACCTATTCAAAATAGAAATCGGTAGTTCCAATACGAAAAGTTGTTAAATAGTTATTTTTTAAGAATTTGGAATCTTAATGGGCACCACAGAATATCAGCGCTGTAACAATTAAATTGCTGCAGCACATGCTGAGTGGTGACCACGTTGGCAATAATAAATGTAAAGTTTTTTTTTATTTATAATGTATGTAACTTTTTGTTGTTGTCAATAAATGTTTTCTTTCTTTCTTTCTAATATTTTTTACTTTTGTTAATATAAAACGAGGCAAAAGTTTTATCAAGATCGAAAAATTGACACTGATTTCTTAACAATTGTAGCTTGCTTAAAATACTGTTATTTTAATTGTCTTTGTCAGTCAATTTCAAGCTGCTTGGATTTTATTCAGCAAGCACAGGTGAGTGAGCACGTCTTTATATATAATAGTACGATAGCACTGAATAGAGAAGTTCCGAATAGCAGTTCTAAATAGAAAAGTTCCATATAGAATGTGTCAGGCCTGATCTAATAAGTTATACTGAGTGTGCACTTTCTGCAATGCCAATAAATCACTGGTCATCTAGAGGATCGTTAGATCATATAAACGATAATTACTCATTATTATCAAATATTTATAAACCTGCCCTGACTTGGCAAAAGTTTACGCCCTACCGGGACAATTTTTTCTTATCGAAATAGAAATTATCATATCACTCAATTTGGAGAAAAACAATACACCTTTCAAAATTTCATAAATTCAGTTAAGCAGTTTCAGACATTAGCATAAACCTAACAGAAAAAGAAACCAATTTTTGTTATAAATATAATATTCACTATATAAAATTTATATTTATGTGTATATTAAAGGCATCATTCAATTTTATTATACCTCACTTAAAAAAAAAATAAAAAATAAAAATTAGGTTATTTGAAATTCAGATGAAAAATATTTATATTAGTGTACGGTCACCATTGTTCACAGTGGTACACTGTAATAAATTTGTTTACTCAACCAAATTTGTCATAGATTTAGTCAACTTTGTTCACTCTTTGGTATATTTTGTGATGATTTTGTTTGTTAAAGTTAAAACTTGTAAAAATATTTGATAATACTTAGTTTAGAAATGGGAAATAGAACTAATTGAATGAAACAAAATCAGTTAATTGCTACTATTCTTGAATAACACTAATTGGGCCATAGTGCATTTGTATTCTTTATCGTAGATATCCGCGTATACTGTAGATATCCGCGATATATATTAATATAAACTTTATTCCCAGTTTCTCGACCCTCTTATGTCGTATACTACAAAGAGGTTGCGATAGCCGAAAATTGCTCGATATTTAGTATCAAACTTGGCTTTTGTATTATTAAAAAATGATAAGCAACTTGTGCTGCCTCTTTAGAGTGATATAGAAACTAAAATTATTATAAATTACTTCTTTTTTTACTTGTTCGCAAATTGCGTTGTTTATGGGAGAAAAGTTCATTTAATCCATCCTACTAGATATTAGGAAGCAAGCATATAATGTTTGTTGTTATAGTGAATCATCCTCCAGATTCGTATTAAATTTGTTAACTTGTTATTTGTTAAATTTGTTTATCATTTTTATTGATAAATCTAATTATAATGCCCAAAATTATAAATGTATAAAATATGCATATTGCAGACACTTGAAGCACTTCGCGAGTATGACTGGCGAGAACTCTTCATGGTGGAAGGCGGGCATTGGTGTCGCTGCAGCCACGGTGATGGGTTTCCTCATCATCAAAATTTTCAGCTTCCAGAGACGTTAAACTCTCATTACCGCTACTGTATATAAACTGGTTGTATTAAAATAGTATTAATTCTCAATAATTTAAAGGGAATAGTTACAAGGGAAGTAGTGAAGAAAAATAGTAATATAGACCAAAGAGATATGATGAAATGGATAGTTACATGATTTGTTTTAGTTTTAAATAAAGTACATTAATTTTATGTTTTCGTTTTATTAACTATAGAATACTCCTATTGCGGCTGTTACTGTTAAGAGAATTCACGGATCATTATCCTCATACCAGCCTTTAACTGTCCACTGCTGATCATAAGCCTCCCCTTTAGGGGGTTTTACCAGTAGTTGCTATGCTTGGCAGGCGGATTGGCAATCGTTGTAGGCTCTAGAGATGTTTTAAGAGGGATGCAGCTGCCCATTCCTCGCATATTACGATACCCACGTGAAAAGAAGGGGTGGCCTATTCTATACCGGGACCACATGGACGTAAATACATATACTTAATATTTGAATTGGCATATAATTTTACGGGATGAGAGGTGAGGTATAATGTAATCTCAGTTTACATATTGCTGAAAGCATTAGTCGAATTTTGATGGTAGGTACGGACCACCCGGTCCATTTTTCCATAAATAGGCTTATGCTTATTTAAAAACCGTTTGAGAAAATGTATTATTACGCATTACAATGTCTTCAGTATGACCGCAGAGCAAGTAATTCCTACGTTTTATAACAAGTTACCAAGACATACATATTTGACATAGACAATATTTAAAAAAAAAGAATTTCTACTCAATAACAACACTATATATTCGAGTCTTAGGATAAAATATAGACCAAATTTTTATTTGTATTTGTAATGTTATTTTTATTTCATTTTATAATGGATAATTATTGTTAAGATAACTTGCACACTGATGTCGAGCAGATTATACAAGGACTAATATTTTTGAGTACCATCTTTGTAATACTTATATTCTGCAAATAAAGTAATTGATTTATTGAATGATTCTTTTAAAAGCGAACTTCTAGTCTTCAAGTTACCTTAACTTCGCAAGTGCGATCGTCTGCCAGCGCTATCAGCATCTGCTGGTAGTGCCATCTACTGAAATTGGTGCGCAAATCCGCCTTTTTTGATACACTCAAGGTAAAACAGCGGCAGTTGCAATAAATATCATCTGTTGATCAGTGCTTTACGCTGTTAAGATACAAAAAAGTCGCTGGGCTTTTTCAAGTAAAATACCGGCCATGAAATAAGTAAAATTTCGGGAATGTGTAAATATATTTTTAGAATTACTGCACTGAAAAATATTTGCCAGCTGTAGCTTGCGGCTTTGCTCGCATAAACTAATAAGTATATGAACTATCCTCTGTGCTATGTTAAGATGTAACCTGTGGTTCAAATTTCGTTAGTTTTTAGGTGAGAGTAATAAACCATCCATCCGTTCTTACAAACTTTTATAATATTAATAGAATTCTTGGGTTTTGTTAGTTATTTAAAGTGTTCACAGGAAATATTAACTTGTTCTTGATCAACACTTATAGAATCATAATGCTTCAATTAGCAATAATCCTATGGTGATATATTTTCAGCTGTTTGAAATTTTTTTCTTTCAATTGTTCACACCATTGACTGTCAATAAATCAAAGATATCTCGTCTTTATTAGTCGTGTATTCGGTAAAAAAAATATTTAAAATTATGAATATACGGTTTAGGATACCTATTTTGAATATTCAAAAGCCAAACCAAATATTGTTTTATGATATTTATTTCAATTGCATATCACTTATTCTAATAAATCATTACATTATTGGTCTTAATGTCAAAAATTTAACTATAAAGTAGGCATTTTCATATTGTGAACTCAGAACAATCACACAACCTAATCGAAACACTCGCCATAACTTAATAGTAAAATTATGAATGAAATGTCATATTGAAGGTAGACGAATACACAGTATTTTTCTACATATTTTACCCATAATTATATCTACATACAGATTATGAATACAATATGTTAATTACACATTTATTGAAATTGTTGAAGAAATAACTTCAAAAAGAGATGGAACTTTCTACTTTTGGACGAGATTATAAATCTATATTCTAAATTTATTCCTATAGTCTATTGCAATACTTTTTTTTATATAGAAATATGACATGTGTTAATGTCGTTTAATTAAAAACTTATTATTATAACTAAATTAATTCAAAGTCAGTCATACACAAGTACAGTTATTAACCACAAATTTACATTATAATAAAGTTAATATGGTCTTTGGCGGTCTCTTCCACTGGAACAAAGAAAAATAACTGATTTAATAAAGAGAGCATTACGTAAGAAATAATAAGAATAAAGTAAAGAAATTACAAAAGAAATGTGGGAAAGGTATAGCTTATTGCTGCATTGTGTAATACTATGACCATTGGGTGTTGAATAGTGACGGCCGATATTTTGATACTTAAAAAAATTTGTATTGAGATTATTTAAGCGTACAGAGAATAAAGCAAATTTTTAACTATCATATATACCAGGCTCGTTATTATGAAAACAAAAATGACTTTTTATTAATTAAAAATGGCGATAAATGATGAATATTTAATTGTAATATTTACCCGCTATCATTCCTCATAGCGCCACCACCGCTGCTGCCGCGATCGCCACCACCGCCGTAACTGCGTCGGTCGCCACCTCTATCAGGGCCACGGTCCCCGCCGCCTCCGCCGCGACCACCCCAACCTCCACTGCCACCGCCGCCGCCTCGTCCGCGTCCTCCACGACCACCGCCGCCCCCTCCACGACCGCCACCACCAGGAGCACCACCACCGCCGCCTGGTTTCTCTTCATTGCATCTATTGCATGCTTTTCTCCATGAGAAATTGGTATTGCCGCAGCTAGGATTGGGACATCTCCAGTCACCCTCACGATTACCAGATGGTGGACCGCCACTACCACCACCGCCGCCGCTGCCGCCACCGCCGCCGCCGCCGCCACCACCTCCGCGACCTCTGCCGCCTCCGCCTCCTCCACGACCGCCACGGAAGCCACCACCGCCGCCTCCTTTACCACCGCCCCATGTATTTTGGCGTTGTGCAAGTGAAACTTTTATAGTAGCTCCATTAAAATCTTTTCCATCAAACCACTGTATCGCTGAACTCGCTGCGTTTGAATCTTCATATGTAACAGTAGCTTCTCCTTTCGGCTGTCCTGTAGCTTTGTCTTTATACATCCATACTTTTGGCCTCTGTGTTTTCTTATCGGTCTAAAAGTATATAAATAAATAAAATAAATGTATGTGAATTTTTATATCATTAATAAATATGCTATCTAATGGAATATGGTTTACCTTAATTATACCGATAGAGCCAAAATGCTGACACAGTTCTTCTTCCGTAGTAGAGGGATCCATGCCTTGGATAAATACTGTATCTTCTTGTGTTATCATATCACCCCCGCCTCGATCTCCCCCATAGCCACCACCGCCGCCACCTAAATATAAACATCTTTTAGTAATGAAAATTGACAAATAATAGTAGAAATCTAATATCCAACTATGCATTCTACGGTAGTTTTTTTTTATTTATTTAAAAATTTTAACATAATGTGTCATGGAATACCTAATGTTTCAAACCACTCCAACAAAAAACTATAGGACCATGTACACCGTTTACTGATGTAAATGTGAATTTCATAAAGCATTTAGCGCAATATTTACCACATTGTAATTTATTTAAACCTTAACAAAAACAAAATCTATAGCAGCTAAATTATTAATAATAATTTACTAAATATACTGCATATAAGTTATATTATATTTCTTCAAGATATAAATCATAAAATAACCTACAGTTGAATCAAAATAATACTCCATTTATATTAAATAGAGTATTATTTCCATTCGATTTAATATTAAATCGGTTTTATGCAAAATGTATGCTTATATGTCGAGCATTATCATAATATACAGGCTTCATATGGGATTTCTCACTACAATCCTCTGAAACAGTGTCTATTTGTGATATTTTAATGACAATTTTTAAGAGAAATATTTCATTCTTGACCGCTACGTGGAATGGTGGTAGCTGATACCATGATATTCATCGGCATGCTTTCTAATAATAATTAGTGTATTGTGTGCATATAATTTTTTATTTGTCTTAATAGTGTAAATAGTCATGTTTTCTTACATATGTGTGTGTGTGTTTTTATACAATAAAGATTTGCTCATATATGATATCTATCTTTTTTTACCTAGACGATAGAGGATGTAGTGATTTCCCTGTAAATCTGTATACACAATTATGAAAACCATTTTAATAACGATTGCTACACTCAATGTTTCTACAGATATGCAGATTTTCTTTATATTTTGTAAGTACTTCCCTTGGTTTCGCTTTTACCTTTCCTAATAAATAGATAATCATTATCCGCCAGCGTACGCATTTTATACTTATTTTATCCAACTGCACGCAATGAGAACCATTATAAAACATCATAAATATAAACACTAATATCATTAAATCATACTACCCAATTATATACGTTTTGAGTAACACTTATAACCAAACCACAGGGCTGCCAAATAAAATTATATACAGTGTTTCTGGTACCATACGAGCCAATATTCAAGAAGTTTATATTCATGAAATTAAGACATTAAGATATAATGCCTAATACTAAACTTACACCTATTATTTGTCAATTATAAAAACAAAGTAAATATTTGCATACCATATTAATTTATACCACAATTTTCTTCATATCGCTATATGTAGATAAAAAAATAAGTCATCATGAGTACAATCAACCTGATACCGAGACTCAGTACCAGTTACTCTGTATATTTGTCAAATTGTCACGTACTCTGACAATTGTAGCCTACTAACACTTAACAAGACTGCTGACAACATAAATTTTTGTAACCACTCTATAAATAATCACTCAATTGTCTTCACTGTAAAGATGCCATTCACAGGTTGGTATGTCTATTAGTAAATTATTTGATCCTTTTGTTTAACCATTATTACCAGGAAAATCTTCTTTTTTGGTCAGTATATCGTTAATATTAGCAACCTTCAACATTAGGTAGATAAATGCATATTCTTACGACGAATCCTCTTCTAGGTTTCCCCTTTTACCAGTATATTATTACTAAAGTATAACAATCCACTAGCATAACGATACCATTTAGTTAACTTGAACACTAAATAATTACATACCACATAGTAAAAATATTATTACAATTTGTGACACAGGACTTTGTTAAGTACACATATTATATTTACATATAAAAACACTACATTATATATGTATGTAACTCCTGTCGTGTTATTAATTGTATACCTTTCTCACGTCTGTGAAACCTACAATAAAGATATATACCTAGAATACTGTAATACTGAAGTGAAACACTGAATTCATAGGTATAATTTTGTCAACAGCCTAGCAGTGATATTGTCTAGAGGACCCCTAACATAATTTACCAAATATATTTTGGCAGCCCTTAAGTAAGATGAAATTAAAAATATGACAACAGCACCATTCGCTCATCGCGAGGAGCTTTACCTTTATTAAAACCACCCCCCCTGCCGCCGCCACTAAAACAATAAGAACAGCGTTTAGTATACTGGGCAGGCTGGGGGACACACTGTACGCAGCACGTTGATTGTTTCACAACTAGGTACACCTTATCAAGTGACCTTAGTCCTTAGTGTTGAATCCTTTTCATTACCATTACGCAAATACCTTGACACCTTGAAAATCTTAGAACATTTGTAGTTGGTAGTTATTAATCCACACATATTTTAACATGCATGCTAACAATAGTAGTGTAGCATTACGTATAGGTAACATAATTTAACCTTGCAACAATTATTGAAAAAGTGTTCATCGATTTGTAATAATAGTGTAAAATTAATCATTAGAAAAAATAATAAGTAGTTTACTGACAGCTATGTTATAACAGAACAGTCTGTTATAACTTTGGTGAGAGCTTGACACTATAAAATGTAGACAGAAACTTACTAATATTTTAATACCAAGTGATAGATAATTTAATATTTTAAATATGCATATTATTAATGTTAACCGATTCTATTGTGATTATGCATTAAACATGTCCGAGAGATTGTATGTTTTGTGATGTCACACTTTTTCAAAACAATAAAATATGAACTTTATATTGTATTACTTCCCGCGTCAATTTCCAAATTCAAGCTTGTTTAATATCTATTTATATTTCTAGCAAAGCAATGAAAATATGTTTCAATAATACAATAAAATTTATAGAACTTTTGCAAGAAGTATATACATATAATTCATAACTTATTTTCAAATAGACCACATAAATGTACAAATAAAAAAAATACCGTTGATGAAAAATAGTGTATGATATTTTCTCCTCATAATTATTAACAAGCTGAAATTCATTTTAGGCACCTATTACTAGTAAGATTTATTTTTAACACCTAAAATAGTCGTGAAATTTAGTCCTACATATAAGAAAGGAACTCCTCACAGGCAATACTTATACGAGTATGATAAATTTATTACTGAATATTCATAATAGCCAAGGAAATCTGATAATTGACTAATTTAAATCCGAAAAATGAAGCGGCCGTACCTGGATCCATAGAAGTTGTATAGATACTAAAATGAAACGGGTATGATGCATAATTAAAAATATTAAGGAGTAGGTTTTCAATTCGCTTATTTGTGTTGAGGTAAAAAATCAACGATAAAAAAATATATAAAACGCGTAAACGATATCAAATCCTTGGCATACGTTTTTCTCCGTGAAAATATAGTGGAATTATATTGCATTACCATACCATACCAGCCGTTAACCATCCACCGCTGAACATAAGTCTCCCTCTATTGAGAGTTTTTGCCAGTAATTGCCACACTTGGCAGGTGAGTTGGCAACTGCAGTTAGACTTTGGAGATATTTTAAGAGGGATGCCCATCCCTCGACCATTAAGTTAATTTAGCCGTTTTTATGACACGGGAAAGGATAAGTTCTCCAATAAACCTTTCTTAGTTATTGAGGGCTTATTGAGTGTTTATAAATAAAGCTCTGTTATAAACGTTCAGTAGTGTTATTTGCCGCGGGTTTATCAGCCGTCCCTAGTATGTGCCGCGAATAAGGGATCCTTTTTTACACTTGGAATGGCAAACACATTTACAAAACCACCAGACGAAAAGTTGAAACCTATTAACATCATGAACATGATAGAACATATTGTGCCATCTATATTCATACCATTTTTGAAGATTAAGGTGACCCATGTCTAACTTTGCGTACGACTTTTCTATTTTTACTAAAAAAGTACTGTATTCAATTTCATCTACTTCTTGCTAAGGTAGTTTCTTTCGAGTAAATTTAATTCTATGCTGGTCGCCTTATAAATAGTTTATTGTTTAACGATCAAGAATTTTAAATTATTAATAAACAGTATTAATCTCTATACAATATGTTGTTTCAACTTTTAGAATCTTATTTAAATACTATATTTTACAAACCAGTTTAAACTTATTTTATTTTATAACTAAAGATTGCCGAGTGAGGAGATTTCCTTAAACCAAACATGACATTACAGGGAATAAAAAAAGAAATTCTTAGTTTAACCTTGATTAGAAAATTCTGTAACAGCATAATGGTATGAGAAATATTAACATTTTATTTAAATTGAGGATAAGGAAAAATTCCAAAATATGTAACCATTTAAAATGTTGCAATGTATACGAGGATGGAAAATTTATGACAGTTTTGACTTAGTTTTATGACAGGATGAATGTTCTCAAAAATAGAATACCTAATAGGTACAAATTTACGTAGAACTTGTTTTCCACGTAACTCGCAGGCCTACTCTTGTATTTAATATCGAGAGCAATCCAATTTATTGCCAATAACAATTTTGTACTACACTCATGAAACAACAATTAAGAATTACGTTAGAATGGGGATTGATTTGCTATAGTTTGCATTATACCATTTATACCAATAAGCATCTATCTGAACAATATGGAATTATTATGTTGCTAGTATTGCGATTCGAGAGTGCAAAACTTGAAAGTGTCAATTCTATGATCGATCTGTTATGGTATCTCGTACATGTGAAAAACAGCCTTACTCACTATATTCCCATTGACATGCGTTTGCTGATATGTAGGTATATGCGTAAATGTTCAGTTCAGGTTATGATCCATATGTGTAACTATTTTCTTAATAATTCATTCAGCCATTTGATTGTAATCGAGTAACAAATATCTTCACAAACTTTATGTTTAGAATATTAGTATCATTTTTGAAAGTTATACCATTTACACACGAACAAATATCACCTCTTTAAAACTTTATATTTGAAGAAAATAATTCATAAAATGAATTATCTTCTTATATATATATATACACACACACAATGTGTTACAGGTGCAACCTAGCACTACAACCAGAAACCATGGCTGATTAAAGCCAGACCAAAAATAATACATTATTTAATGTAAACAAACTAAAATTCAGGATAGTATTCATGAACAATAATCAGAATTATATATTAATAATATATTTAAGTGTATATTTATTAAAAATGCTTGTACAATTTCTATTACTGTATTTCAGTTTGTTGTACAGACCTTTTTTGTTACTGTTTCCTACACAGTTTCATCCAATGGGCATGTCTAGATAGAGCAATACATCTGATTTTATTTGAAGCATTCAAAGCTATGTATACTGAAGAACCATGTGCCACCTAATAGACAATAATGTAATGATCATACCACAAACTGAATTTCAAATAATCAAAATTCATCAAATAATACCCATTAACACATCAGTGAAAGGCAGTCTGCTCACTAATGAAGATATTAGTCTACAATAAACAACATAATCAACAGAATTCCCACACAGGTAGTTTAATATAGGTGTATTTTTCCTAATCCTAAAAATTAGCATGTAATTACTATATCTGTATCTCTGTATAGTATGTAGTAAAATATTTTTTTATTCTTTTTATAATTAAAAAAAATATATATTTCTCTAAATAAAGCCCAACCTACATACAAACTGTAGACTAAACTAATTTTTCTGCAATTATATTATTATAAACAGTCAAAAATTTGCATTGTTTAATATTAGCCTAAGATCTTACTTGACTTCTGCCAGTATAAAACTTTTTAATGAAACTTTGTTTAAATGAAAAAATAATCTAAAATATACCCAAATTTAAATAATATATACAAGCATATGTATATATATATATATATATATATATATATATATATATATATATATATATAAGTTAAAAATTGAAAAAATTGCTGGAAGCCAGAAACTGTGCATAATATTTATTGAGTTAAAATGTATAAAAATGTCCACCTTTAAACAAAGGTATTGACTGATAATTGATTTTATATTAGCATATTTGCCAAAAAGAAGAATGTTTCATATATTTCTAAAAGTTAAATATTACTTCACTTCTGTAATGTAGAATAAAAATATAAAACAAAAATCTATATACATAGATATTTTATCTTTTTGATCAATTTATTTTGTTTGCTCGTAAAAAAAATATATAATATTTTTTATTAATGCAATTTTTTATGCTAACAGTGTTCACTTGTAACTATTTTTATGGGCAACTAAATGTTACCATATATTGAAAAGAATAAATTTTTGTTTAGCATAATCAAATCAAAAAGGACAATAAATTTAACAAAATTATTAACTATTATTATCTGGTGACCCTAAGTTGCAGTTAATTAACAGCAGGCAACCTTGGTGCATTCTATTTTCACTCTTTCATTTAAACAAAGTTTTATTAAAAAGTCTTAGAGCTGCAGACATCAGCAGCAGGATCATGGGCTAAGTAGTTTATATTATTTAAAATAATACCTCTTTACAAAAAAAATATTTAATACCAATTAGGTAGGTAAGTACTAAACTCATACCAAAATTATACATTATTTTAAGCATATATAAAAATTATTAAAAATTTTGAATAAAAATAAATATTGTATTTTTTACATTAGTAGAAATTGTATTCATATACATTATAGAGTTTAGAGAACATACAATATATACCATGAAATGCTGTAAATACTATTTAGGTTATATTGTGTAGCTGTAACTATTTAAATAATGAAAATTAATAATTAATCAAGGTTCTACTATAGAATCTATAATGTTACAAAAGATATTATGAAAAGTTACTCACCCATATCCACCATCTCTATTTCCTCCATCTCTATTGTAGCCTCCTCTATCGGCTCCATAATTGGATCCACCTCTATCTCCCCCATAACTGGATCCTCCACGGTCACTCCCATAATTTGAGCCTCCACGGTCACTGCCATAGCCAGATCCTCCACGATCACTGCCATAGTTGGAGCCCCCACGTTCACCCCCACTGTAATTGCTGCTACTACGGTCACTAGAGCCACCGCTTGCATTATAGTTATTACCATTATTACGGTCATATCCACTACTGCCATAATTGGAATTGTAGCTCTGACCATAATTGCTGGGTTGGCTATTTCCATATGAGTTACCACCTAAAACATAAAAAATGGCTAACTATATTTAAGAACTCGCAAAGAAATACTTGGATGCAAATTCAAGCATGTAAAATGCAATTTCACCTATTAGGTACAGTAGATGTAAATATATCAGTGACAGATAAAACTAAGAGTATTCGCCGACCAAAAAATTATATATGTAGATTCAATGGTTTAACGCTAGTAAAACGTGGTAAAAATCTTACCGGAACTTGGCTGGTTATTCCAGTCTTGACCCGTGTTTTGGGTACCATAGTTATTTTGGCTGTATGATTGTCCAGATCCATAATTATTAGCATTATCTTCAGAAGCTAACTGCGGAGGTGGCATGGAATACTGAGCTTGAGAGTAGCCGCTACTGCCATAGTCACCCGAGGCATACGCTGATATTAATAAATAAAATGCTTCAGTAGTTATACTCAGGTTTTCTAAATATTTATCATAATTAAAAATATATACTTACGATCCCCCATTTCTGCTTAAAAATGTATTGAAGCAAAACTAAATTACGCCACGCAAAAGTGGATCAGAAAAAGAGAGGCGCACGACAAAAAAAAGTGACACAGCGACAAAACGGAAAAGGAAACTGCCCAAGAGACGCACAATATGGCGACAATATCATAGACATTTTAAATTTTTTTTATTGACCATAGACGATCAAAGCTTACACCAAGTCTGTCGTAACAAGACTTTTTTGGCAATCGGTCATTTTTACAACCATTTCTGCCAGCGCCAGCGTCATTTACAAGTAATAATTATTACGTGGACATGATAATTATATTCAACAACTAATCTAACTTTGGGCTATTGGGTATAAAAAAACTGACAGTAGTTTTAAAAGCCATTTTTTTCTAAATTGGGTACTTTTTTTTTGAGGGGTGAAAATGGTATTGTAACCCCGCCTGCGCTAACAAGATACGCTTGCAGAACACCAGTGAAGGGTGATAGATGAGAATGAAAATAGACCAGTTAGCCCATCATGATGAATTCATCAGGAATTAACCATGATAGTTTCCAGGGAGAATCGCGAGGAGGTCGACCTGGTTGGGTATATTGCTAGCAATGGGATTCTCAGTCTCTATTACTAACAATCCCTTTCCTCCCTAAAAAAACTGGGTACTGTTACAAGAATGTCTATTGAAATTGTATAATTGAGGGAAACAATAATGCAAAAATGAAAGCACAGTGCTAATAATAATAATATTATACTAATGACGAACATTGATATGGCTATCAGCTGTTACCACTCAATTTTCATATGGTAGATGTTAACTCTACATTTTGCGATAATACTAAAATTTTAATTTTACAGATAAGTTTAGAAAAACGAAGCCTCAGAATTGACACTATTGGCTACCAACACCCATGCATTTATAACTACAAAATTTAAGTAGTAGGATTCATTATATTTTCACAATATATCATCATCATCTCATCAGCCACTATATGTCCATTGCCGAACACTGCATTCACTGACTCCCTGCAATACATGAAATCATCTTCATCTAGTAGGGGGTCGTCCTACACTGCGTTTGCCCGTACAGGGTCCTCACTCAAGAACCTTATATATACTCCCAAAATATATAATTATTTATTAATATTGTATATATACTGTAAACCCTAATAAAACGCAGGCTATTATTATCGGGAGCCCTAACTATATTTCAAGAATTTGCTGGGAAAATCTACCTAACATAATGTTCGACGGGATATCTGTGGACTATAAAGACTTTGTAAAGGATCTCGGAATATACCTTAACAGAACGCTATCATGGAGCACCCAAATAACAGAGATTAGTAGGAGGGTTTTTGCGATTGTGGGCTCACTCAGAAGGTTACGTAATTTTTTACCTATGGCCACTAGAGTTGCGCTTGCTCACTCCCTTGTCCTTCCTGTCCTTGACTATGCTGATACCTGCTACATTGATCTCACCGAAGACCAACTTAATAAACTTGAGCGTCTCCAAAACCTGTGTATTAGATTTATATTTGGACTTCGTAAATACGACCACATCTCTAATTTTCGCACTCAGCTCAAGTGGCTCCCAATACGTCGACGCCGAGATTGGCATATATTATCTCTTCTTTATTCCTTTCTATTCAATCCTCTTACACCTCACTATCTTAAAGAGCGATTTATATTTCTCGGTGAAGTGCAGAGTCACGCTTCGCGTACCTCAAATAGTCTCCGTTTAAAAACCCCAGCACATACCTCCGTGTACTACACCAAATCCTTTTCCGTTCAGGCAGTGCGCCTATGGAACTCGCTGCCACCGTCTATACGGAGTGCTCAATCCTTGGCTTCGTTTAAAGAACAAGTCAAATCACATTTTCTTTCACTGTAGTTACTCGTTTCCACTCCTTTGTAATTTTTGGACTAGATTTGTCATATTTCCTTGTGTGTGCTATGTATGTATTTATATGTGTATGTTTATGTATTTTGTATGTATGTTATATGTGTATATGTATGTGTATATATATATATATATATATATATTGTTACAGTAAGTAGTTTAATAAATTATATGTATTTGATATTTTTGTGCATTACATGTTTTTGTATTTTATGCACGAAAATTATTAATTCATTCTTGCGCCACCTGCCATTTTCTATCTGTTCTCCTTTAACCAAAGGTTGTCTGTAAGAGATTGCTCTAGCGATAAGACCGCCTTTTGTACCTTTATGTGTATATTTCAATCTGTATTTATGTTACTGTATTTCATTTGAATTATTCACTTGTCATTGTATATTTTTATTTATGGTGCAATAAAGAGTTAAATAAATAAATAATATGAAGTAAAGCTTTTTAATTGTAGAGCTGTAACTAGTATCGGGCCATTATTGTTTGATGTATAAGAGGTACGATTGCTCACTGCGCAGGCAGGTGAAAAATTTGGAAAAGCAACAAAATTTTGTTAGCTAATTTTGCTAAAGTTAGATCTGTCTGTATAACAAGGGCTGCTTGCACGTTTTTAGGCAAGCGACGTTACCAAAGTTACAAGAATAACGTGTTATCACATAGAGACGAACGGGCAAGAAATTTTAAGTGGCAAATTGCGAAGGTTTACGTCCACCCACTTCCTTATTGGTTAAGGAGATTTTGTAGAGTGCAAGAGAGTATCCTAATAAGTGTGGTTTTAAGTACCTGACACTGGTCTTCCTAAGGCGTGTTGGTTACAATGTTCCCCATTTCCGCTGATCGTTGGTAATGCCGGCAGCTGAAAGTTTGCGACGACCTGAATAAACCACAGCGATGTCCATCTGAGCCAGAAAGTGGGAAGTAACCGTATCATAGTTCATCATAAGAGAGATTTTATTATAAAATTACAAAGCGTATAAAAAAATACAAAATAATTTATATAAAAAATACGTATAAAACAGTTTGTCTACTGCTGAAAGGCTGGGCTTTTCTAGGTATTATGTTTTATACTTTTAATATGAAATTCGTGCAGTCCGCGGCATATACAAACTGTGCCGTTCGACGCCGCGCCTCTTCGAAGATAGTCCAAGAAGAATAAGAAGGTAGTTAGTCCATAGCGCCACACGTAACAGACATTGGTAGATATTTCGTGGTAACGACGAAAAATCGTAGGTATGATGTTGATTTAAGACATTACTTCTATATTTGTTGTTTAATTGCTACGCATAATAAGTTTTAAGCTAGTCTTAAATTCTTAGATAATCCTTCAGATTCCAATGACTCGGGGTTACCAATTAAGAGAAACGGGTAAATAAAAAAAAAGGCTTGATAGAGTAGTTATCTTTATCTTGTTATAACATCAGAAGGATAATAAAAAGAGTCAGGAAGCAAAAGATGATATAAAATAAATAAGAAGGAAAATATGGTACAAAAAAGATTTTTTTATAACATGGAAAATACAGGCAAAGGACATCTCAACAAAGCAGGACTTATCACATGCCTTTTCAATTTAGGACTTTGCATCTATCCTCAAGTGACGTTGATGCAGAAAAGGATTTATTGGTCAAAATCGAATGACTGCTAGTAATTTTACCGTCCGAACTAATATTAGTAAAGTCATTCAAAGCTGCAAAATATTTTTGAGAATCTCTTAAAAATGCTGACGAAAATCGTGGACCTGCAAGGAAAGCCAAGGTGGTTTTCCTTACGATCCAGCCGTTATCTGTTCACTATCGATCATAAGGATTCCCACATTGACTGCCATAAGGAACAGTCTCAAGCCACTTGCATTCATTGAGGTTGTTACATTGAAATTTGAGGTTGAAGGTGGTTCTACACTGCATTTTCCGTATGAGGAGCAGATGAAGCATTGTAATTTATTGCTAAAAGTATTAATTAGAGATAGAAGTTTGATTTTATAATTAACACTTTAGTTACAGCGAACTAAATGTTTAATAGCAGTCTTAAAATAATAGGCTGTCTTAAATTTTATGTTTAATTTTAAGAGCAAAATTTGTAACTAATTGATAAGTGTAGCTATAGATAGCCATGCTATTAACCATTTAATTCTAAAACCTCTCTCCTATCTCTAATTAATACTTTTACAGATAAAATACTTAAAATGCTTCATCTGTATCTATGAATTCACTTCAAATTATATCACAATTTCGGCGTTCATAAATTTATTTCATTTACATTCAACAATACAACATTGAAATTCAACAGAAATCTCTGATTTATATTATGAAACATCTACATAGACAGTACACTAGACGCTTAGATTATATTTAGATGTTAATGAAGATTAATGATGTCTTCTCATTTATAAATAAAAACGAACACAGTATTACATAAATTAATTATTTAATAAAGTAACATTGCAACTAAACACATATTATTTTTAGAGAATAGAAATTTAAACTTCGCAAATAGTATACAAATATTTGGATAAATAGTTTATTTTATCCAAATGACAAATTATAAGGTGTCTTTATAGTTTAGAGCTAAAGATGAATCGAACTTTTAATTGTACAAAAGTCTGAACGCCGACTTTATGAAAGATAGTCAAAGAAATTATAGTAGTGCCCGATCCGACCAAACTTCCATTTTCGATTCCACTATGTCTTTTGGTTATGTTAGTTTAAAAATTTACTAAAATTACGTCCGAAACCGAAACTAGGTTCGACAACTTATTTAAGGATATTTGTAATTTCCCCTACCTTACATGACGGTACACATTTGATAGCTCATCTATTAGCGTTGCGGTGTCTGACAATCTTATTACAGTCTACCTTCGAATTTTATTTAATAAAATTAATTTACAAACTTGCTTTTTTTCTGTATGTTGTATCAGTAGTTAACTGTCGACTGCTGAATACCCCCCACAAGGGTTGGCGACCGCAATTTGGCTTTTGGTGATGTTTTAAGAGGTTTATGTTTTTACCTGTTTTACAGGATTTTTTACAGAAAATTTATTATTACTTTCAGCCGTTAATTGTCCACTGCTGAACATAAGCCTTACCCATAAAGGGAATTTTGCTAGTTGTCGCCACGCTTGGCAGGCGGGTTGGCAACCGTAGTTAGGTTTTTACAGCTGTTTTAAGAGAGACGCTACTGCCTATTTCTCCATCATAAGTTCCCTTAGTCGCCTCTTACGACACCTACGAGAAAGGAAGGGGTAGCCCATTTTATACCGGGACATTTTATACAGCGATTTTTCCCGTATATATTATAATAACTCTTTTATTCTATGATATGAATTCAAAATAAAATACCAATCTTGGTATTTTTAGTTGGTAATTTTTTTATTAAAATAAATGCTTACCCTTTATAAATATTTCTTATTTGAATTTTGAATAAAGTAATACTAGTTTAATATTACAAATGTGCAAATTTGTAAGGATATTTGGATGATTGTATGTTCATTACTCAACAATGCTTAAATGGTTGCATGGATTTGAATAAAATTCGGTACATGGATAGGTTTTATCTTAACAAATCCTACTTTATATACTAATACACATGGGGAAAGCTGCAGGAAATAGTGAATTTATAATTGTGCTTTAATGAATACACATTTTCAATTAAATAAATCTAGTTGTTTTACGCGGCTTTATCTACATGAATTAAACAGTATATTCTATGTGTTAAGTTAGGATATCACCTACCAGTGTACGAAATTCATTCAGCCGTTTAAGTGTGATACAGTAACAAACATCTGTTTCGGTCGGACACTAAAATCTAGACCACATATTTAAATTATTTACCACAATTTTAACTTAATAATAACTTATTCAGAACATAAAATAATATAATAACTGTTATCAGTTCATACAATTATTATTATAATAGTATTTAGGTATTTTAATTTTAAGAGAGGTACATGATATTATGATGTGATTTGATGTTTTTACAAATTGCTGAATAGCACCTTGTGGAAGGTAGATATATCCGGTTCTACATTAGAATTAGTACTATATAGTGCTGGCTTTGTATTGCTCCTGAAAAAAAAATATCGATTATTGAAGTCTTAAAAAAAGGAGTTGATTCCTTTTTATTCTATTGCAGTTTGCTTGCTGCTCACTGTAATGTGGCAACACATTACAGTTTCATATACTCAAGAGAAATTGGGCATAAAGAGTGGTATGTTTGTTCATCTAATAATAATAATAATATATCGCCAATTATATGTATTTAATATTGGACAGAGTTATCAATTTGTAGGATGATATGAATGATTCAGGCAATTCAGCATAGTAAAATGCAGTGTAGTACGACCCCCAATTAGATGGAGTTATGACAAATATGTAGCAAGTGAGTGGATATAGAGGGCTCAGAACAGTGATTTAGTCTAAGGAGAACCCATGTTCAACAGTCTTACATTACTTACATATTATATGAATTATGTTTCATCTATTTTTAGCAAGAAATTGTAATAGAGATTTTGAACTATCAGTTTCTAAACTTTTTTCTAAAATTGAAAGTTCAGTGAAAGTATTATGTTATGGACCATGAACCACTTAATTTTAAAATACTTCTGATTCAAATCTATTATAAATTTAGTTCATACTGGTTCTTTTTTGATCAAATTGAAATTTTAGTATCAGTGATAGCGCTTTACAATCAACCCCAAGATAAAATTTATAGCAGATAGTGACAAAAAAAAGTAATAAAAAGTCACGAAATATTATACAGTGCTGATAATAACCTTGATGGCATTGTGGGTGAGCGAGGTGTCACTAGGAGACAATTCATTGGCTGACCATCCAGTTGTCGATTGTGATATAGGTCTACAGCTCTCTGTGCGTCTTCCAATGTTTTATAAATAACCTCTGCCGTACCAGGACGTACCAAGCGTGATTCTAGCATCCCACCAACATCTCCAAATAATTCCTAAAACATAAGTAAATTAGATGCATTAAAATATTATCAAGCATTAAAAATAGGAACAAACAATCTTCTGGAGCAGTGGCCCCTCAACGTTTAGAAATTCTCAGAACAGTGAGGTTGCCCCGTAAGGCATGTGAAAATTCCAGAAAGCGTTTGTACTTTTGGGCGGAGCTGGGGTGGTCGTACTAGCCACGACTCATACGCACAACGACCCAAATGAGAGGCTAAATGCGGAAAAGAGAGTCCAATTTACATTACATGGTTTCAGGAGATTAGAAAACTTCTTATCCAAAAAGCGAAGAGTATGACAACCGCTGGATGGGTCATATTGATTGATTGACATTATTATAGTATAAAAATGATAAGGGCGAAAGGAAAAGAAATTTAAGACATACTTCTATATCCCCTCCAGTAACAGTATTTCGCAGGTTGCTCACAATTATTCTGTATTCAAGAATGGGTTTTTCATTTTTTTCCGTTTTCTTATCATTTCTCAGAGCTGCCATAGGTCTTTTTTTAAGGATTGATGGAGGTCTGGGTGGACTTCTTTCTTTTTCTGCTAACATAGTTCTGCAATATACAAAATATTTACAATATACTATATTATTTATATTTATTCTAGGTAATGAATATAACCTTATTTCTTGTAAATTTGTTAAGAGCGTTCATAACGTAGTATGACAACAGTGCGATTATTTCAATTTTCAAAAACAGACAATTTACAATATTTACTATTTAAAACGTGCTATGCCAATGAAGTAAACTACTTTTTTGTAGGAGTTTTTAAGATAAACATTTCCATTATACATTACATACGTGTTACTCTAACGGTTTTTGTAGCGCAAGCCGGAATAGCTCGCAGATAGCAGAAATTTTTCCTACTTGGCACTTATCATTATATTTTGGACAACTTACACAAAATATCTTTACAAATTATAGCCTATGTATTATTTGATGTAAAGGTTATATTATACTAAAGTTTCATTAAAATCCATTCAGTAGATTTTACGTAAAAGAGTAACAAACATCCATACATACAAACTTTCGCGTTTATAATATTAGTAGGGATATACTTTCTTAAGTTTATGGAGAGATGTATTTTTTTATATGTAAGCCATGGTTAATCTGTAGTAATTAATTACAAATGCAATTAATACACTTTGATTTGTATAGTTGTAAAAGTTGTTTCCCTGCACTCTATCTATTGTAAAAAAATAATAATTTTATAGTTCACTGTTCCCAGAAAATGATAACTGTTAGATCTTCACTTTTTAGGAAAGATAAAAGGAAAAAAGATTTTTTTTTGTCTGTTGAGTAATGTAATTTATTACTAGTTTGCATCTAAAACTGGTTTAAATGTTTTATTATCATATCAGCCTTTATCTGTTCACTGCCGTACATAAGCCTACTAAGGTGTTGCTAGTGGTTGCCATGCTTGGTAGACGGATTGGCAACCGCAGTCCAGCTTTAGAGATGTTTTAAGAGGAACGCTGCTGTCCATCCTTTGCCCTCCCTTAGTCGCTTTTTTAAATGTTTATTCTATACATATAATTCATCCAGTATATATACAAAAATATTCGAAAAAGTATACCATGTGTTAATGCAGAATTAGTCTATCTGTGCATCAAATTTCATTCAAGTCTGTTTAGCCGTTCAAGTGGAATAATTCATTAATAAATATAATTTAATTATTTTAGACAGTGAACACTGTTATATCAATTTATTAGATTAAAATTAATCTTACTAATATAATAAAATTGTAACTAAACTATGTCGGTACATGGGATATACTAAATATACATATGAGGGGGTTTAATAAGAGCAATAGAAGCTAAAACAATAAATTTTAGAAATTTAATAAATAAACAAACACTACTGTATCAAATTAGATAAGGTTCACAGTTGTGTTTTTGAAGGTTTAATTTAAATTTGGGTATATGTTTTATTTTGATGCGTCATCTAAACGTAATTTTTTGTAAAAAAAAATAAATACAGTATATATTAATGAGAAATGATACAAAAGGCGGCTTTATCGCCTTTTATCGGTTTATTTACTTCTAAAGTTCATGCATACGAAGTAGCAGATGAAATGCTAATTTACTATAGTATTCTATGTAAAGCTGGAACAAATGTATCGAAAATTAGTTGTTAATTGAACTATTTTATTCCATTTTTATTGTTATATTTTTTAGGAAAAAGAAAATAGTACCTAACCGTGTTTAAAATTAATATTCCAAAATAGAACGGAATAAGAATATTATTGTAAATAAATTTAATTTTATCATTACTTGAGTTATTAAGAAATTATTCACCAAAATTGTGTTGTAATATAATAATACAGAAAAGAAAAAAAAAAAACTATGAATACTGTTATGTTTTTTAAAAACTATTTTAATTAACAATAGAAAGATCATGAAAAATATAGATGTATTGAAACCTGTAAATTTCCAACATGAGATAAACATTAAAACTATGGTAATGTCAGTTATCATTTTAATCTTCAGGGATGGTGAGATAATGGAAATATTAATGAAATTGTCAGTTCCACTTGTCCCTCCAATAATGAAGGATCAAAATTTTAAAGCAAAGATGTTTCAGTAAAGAGGCATTATCATACTTCTTTGACCCTACTATTGAATTTTTTGTTTCAATTAGTTTTGTATAAGACAATAACTGTATAACGCTGCTTCGCAGGATGAATAAAAACGACGTAATGAAAAGTGAAACTAAGAAAAAATCAAATCAATATTTTAAGATTATTAAATTAAATACCAGAATTGAATTATCTGAAAATACATGAACTGCAAAATTATATTATTATTATTTTCAAACGAAAACTTACCGATGCATTATTGAACTTTTGTTATCCCTGGAATCAATATTGTGAGCAATTATTCTCAGTTGCATACTCGCTTTTCTGTTGGAGTCGGTAATTTTTGAAGGCATTGGCTCTTCGCCCATGGGGTCATCAATCAATTCTATGTCATTCTCAACAGTTCTAACTATTGGTTTTGGTCTTGGTATTTCACCTGTTTTTAAATAATGTTTATTTTAAATAATAATAATAATATAATAAGAAATAAAAAATATCAATTAATGCACTTTCATGTCATTTATGTTTGTCAAGATTTTTTAATGATTGTTGAATCCAGCAAACAGAATTAGCCTTATCGGCTATGGGTATTGGTAAAAAAAAGTTGATTAATGCTTATTTAAAATAAATCAGATAATTGGTATCAGCGAAAGATAAAAAGTATGGATGAAAATAGGACAGTTGGTTCATCGTGATGAATACAATAACAAATAAACCACGATAGATCTAAGGGAACTGCATTGAGGTTTATCTGATATATCCACATTGTCTGCAATGAAACTAGTAGATTACCAATTACTATTACCAATAATCCCTTACCATCTTTTTTTTTCATTAAAAATATGCATAGCAAAATAAGTGAGAAGCATGCTTGTTTCGTACGTAAGTATTTAGTGAGTAATAAATGGCTTTGTTCAGTTTTATAATAGTTTTACATTAATTGGAAAGTAAATCCAAAAAAAGTATTAACTTTTTATTTTAATTATAAATTTTTAAACTCACTTCTGAATTTGGACTCAAATGAATGATTCTCCATAAACTTTTTGTTATTAATTTGACGTCGGGATGAAATCCTGGAGTGGCTAAGAGGTTGTGATACCACCTGTCTAGAGGAATCCATGAAAACTGTAAATAAATGCCATTATTATATTCTTGTCATTATTTCAGTAAGTCAAATAAATATTATGTTTTATTTAACACATATTTTACTTGATGTTTATATCAAGTATGCCAGTCTTGCAGCATTTAAAAGAGGAAATATTGAAGACAATTCTGAAACATCATTCTCAGCACCAGTATAAACTATATTTTTCAATCAACATCAAAAAAGAGGCTCTTAATTTAGTCATTTTTAAAAGTTTGTTGCCTCATAAATCCATCAATTGTAAACCAATTTGAAAAATTCTTATTTATCTGATAAGATATACTTACAGATTGATCCCATAAATTTTTTTATCAAAATTGGTTTAGTATTTTAGTTTTTAGATCTAAATAACTGATTTTTCACAATTGAAATAGATTTCTTTTTTGTGCTTTAGAACTGGTTTACATTCGATTTTTGACAGCCCATACCATAAAAATTTTGCTATACTATTACCATTAGCTATATTATATAATATTAACTATAAAATTAAAATTGTTAAAGGAATAATAATATAGTATAAACATCCCCATTCACCATTATTATATTAAAAATATTTTACCTATTTCATTACTCAGACCTCTTAGCCCAGTTCATACTTAATATTAAAAGCATTAGATAAATTTTATGGCTATCATCTTACTAATATCTCTATATGTTTATTTTAGCATCATGCAAAAATTACTACATCAAATTGGATAAAGTTTTTATAACTGTTTCTGAAGGTCCAACATAAAATTTGATTTGATTTATATTGATATATCATGTAAAAACGGTCTATTTCATTATTGTTACTACTTTTGAAATCTATACTTATGAAGTACCAAGCAAAAAGGTTGTTATTTATATGATTAAAAAATGTATATATACCTCTTTCTTTATTGGAGATAGTCCTAATAAATTTGCCATGAGATTGAAAATTGTTTCTTCCTTGAAGTTGAGCCTGTGAAAAAATTAGATTACAGTTTATATTAGCAATCTAGTTAATACATACCCTATAATTTATATCCTTTATAATGTCATGAACATTATTAAATAGCAAATTTAACACATCTTGTGTCACAGTTATTTAATTATTGCACAATAAAACATGTCTCCCTTTATTTTGTACTACTTTTTACCAATGGGCATATCCAATACAAGTTTATTGTTTTAGATAAAAAGTAGGCCAAGTCCTTTTTCATATCATATAAAATGCATACAACAAATTTCAAAATAATTGTTAAGCTATTAAGGTGTTAAGATGTAAGAAATTACCTTTTGTACTTTATTTATATATTTTTAATAAATACATAAAAGTTAATTTCTTTATTTTCACCATAAAACCATCATAACAAACAAGTATACCAAGAAAAACAGAGGATTGTTTGAGATGCCACACATTCCACTTACTATAATATATACAGTGAACACTCGATATAAGCAATCTCTCTATAAGCAAGCCCTATATAAGCAACTTTTTTTAGATCAACTGTTCTGTATAAGCAACTTACATGATAGAATGAGCAAAAGAAAATGACTTACCATGGAATGAGGTTTTTGTTACAAAGAATAAGAGAAAAAGCTATAATAAAGAAATATATATATAATTGTTTTTGTTCGTTTTGGCAATTAGTGTTGTATTAAACCAAAAATTTATAAAATTTGATATAAATGTAGTTATTATTTGAATATAAATAATAACTACACTTATAAAATGTTTTCTTTTGTAAAATAAAACTGAATTTATTACACATAGCTTAGATAGTAAAAGAAATAAGTAACAGTATTTTCCAGACAGTATTTTTATGCTCCTTTTTCCCCTATAAGTAACTTTTCACAATAAGAAACTTTTTTATTGAAATTGGTTCAAATGAGTTGCTTATATAGTTATCACTATATATTGTAGAATATATAACATTGCATATACAACTAAACAAGTTTATATATTTTATTACACTCACATTTTTTCACAAAATCAAACAATTTTAGTGAATACCCACATTTGATATACAATCATGATATCAATACAAGTGTTGTGTTATACAAGACTACTTTAATACAGAGTATTTACAGGTTGTTCAAAAAATAATATTTTAATTAATATTAGTAAAGATAATGATGATTGCAATACATACAATACACAAAGTAAACAGCAGTGAATACAAACTATATTTCTATAATAAATATGAAAAAAATAACATAATATGATATACTTAATATGAATTTTCTATATGTACTTTTTTAATATATAATTTTCTATATTTTAAATAAGTATCTATAGGTACCTATAGGTTTCTATTGGGGAAAACTATTTATTTACATATAAATACATAATTGTATATAAACTGACTGTTACTGCAACTTACTCTTTTTTTTCGAAGCAGATCTAGTTTCAATCGAGCATCTTTTTGTTTTGCTAGTTCAGCTAACTTTTCTCGTGCATCTGATATTTGGGTCCTTTTCTTAGATATAATTTTATTTCTAGCATCGTTAAGTGGCAATTTAAAATTCTGTGTACGTTGTTTCCCTCTATTCATCTTCATTGGTGATTTTTGTAATTTTGTAGGTCTGAAATATTTTTGTAATTGAAATTGAAGTTATAATTGCAAAACATTAATATTTGTTTAAAACAATTAAAAATAAATGCTATATCTGTTATTTTTCGTTGCTTTAGCTATTTAAATTGTGACCGAATAATACCTATCTCTTTTTTTCTTTTGAATAATATCTTCCAAACTCATATCTACGTAGGAAGACATGGCATAAATATAACACGAAAAATAAACAACGCCGAGACAAAATATATAACTTTAGACGTAACTAATAAATTAAATATAAATCTAAATGGTTTATTCACTTTCAACCTTACAAATATTAAAATAATTCACTAAGTAAGGACCGACTAAAACCACAGCACATAGAACAAATAAGCATAGAGCAAATAATTTACATAGTAAAGAAATTACAGATGAATATTACAGAGTAAAAAATCTATTAAATTCTAAGAGAATTAGATAGATTTTTTACTCTGTAATATTCATTTATTAATTTTTTATAATTTTCATTATCTTCGAAAAATTAACACAAAGATTTTGGAATCTTGTTTTTAGAGTTAACATAATTTTCCATTTTTACGTTTCCTGAATATAAATCCGCTGTTAGTTTTTAAAACGTAACGTACGATTACTTACTCTGATTCAATCACTTAGTCTTTAGGCGACATAGTCTCTTTAATCTGTGACATACTTTCTCTAATCTGTGCAGTTGACCTGTTTTATTTTTCATTGTTACGTTTTTCCTTTATTTCACATAATATTTATTAAATTAATTTATATCTATTCGATTATGAAATGAAATTGAAATATCACACACGAACAATTCAGTTTGAAATCTGTGCTTTTACAGTTTTTGTAATTGGCTTCTAAACGAATTATACATAAACATTTATCAGTTGTTACACCTATTAAAAATGGATCGAGAAGAAGGTGAAATGAGTGATGACAATGAAATGCTTGTCGATGATGCAAAGGAAGATACACCTGCTAGCGATTTTAAATGCACCACGGTTAGTAGTATTAGTAGACCCGATTCTGCGTTGCTGTTTTTGTAAATCTATCTCTTAACCTTATACAGTGGTATCTCGATATGCGAATGCCCTAATATATGAGTGTATTGAGATACGAGTCGCTGAATGACCGATACTTTGCTTTGAGATGAGAACAAGATTTGAGATACGGGTAATGACACACTACACTGCTTCACATGACCCCAACACGCAGGGTGGATGTTGGTGTCTAACAGTTTCTCCCTCCTCAGACTAACACTTAACAAAAACAACTGAAGTGGTTTTTTGGGAGTACGGAATGCTATTACATTGCAATTAATTTCAATGGAAAAAAATTCTTCTAGATCTAAACAATTTGATATATGAGTAAGGTTATGGAACGAATTAAACTTGTATGTCGAGGTAACACTATATTTCAATTTGTTAATTTTACAAAATTACTGTCATCATAAATGAAAATTGTGGTTGTCAATCCGCTTACCATGTGTGGCAACTATTGGCAAAACCATTCAAGGCGAAAGCTTATGTTCTGCAGTGGATAGTTAATGGTTGATATGATAACATGATGATATACTAAATGATTCAACAAATTTTAATTAAATTATATTTACAGATGGACCTTGATTATACTGATTTTATAGGGTATTTTTTTAAATATAAATTTATATATTTTACTTTCTTTTTATGTAAAATCTATGATCATCTTTTAATAATTTGTTACTTTATTTTCATAATTTTACAGTTGTATAGAGCTGGAAAGGAGGGTATATTTATACAGAAATTGGAAAAAATTGATGCTTCAAAAATAGAAGAAAGAGCAAATCGATTTGGCTTAAATTTGACTGGAAATAGGATAGTGACACAAAGGCAAATTGATGACCTTTATACCAATTGTGGCATTGAGAGTGGAAATGAAAGACACTTTCGTTTTGAAGCTATTCATTTACATGGTGTTAATGGATTAAATACTAGAGAAGTATTTGAATATTTAGAGGATTATAAACCTGTTTCTTTAGAATGGTTAGATGACCTCTCTTGTAAGTAAATAATAAACATTTCACAATACTTTTAAGATTAACCTAATACATACATCAAAAAAGTCTAAGCAACACATACTATTTGAAATTATTAATCAATTATTATATCATTTCTTACCAAGTAGGTAATACCTATGTAAACTTTTTGATCTAGAGGACATATTGGCTGCTTGAAAAAAAATTGAGTATCATTTGTTTTTTTTTCACAAATTCAAAAGCAAATGCATTTGTTTGAATTTTATAGTGTTTTCGTTAGTTATAAAAATTTAGTATTCTGTATTAATTTTATGATTTAAACAATAATTTGAAAAAGTTTTTACCAATTTGGATTTTGAGTAATTTTTTACGTCATGGAGCGACGTCATTGGATGCAGATGAAATGTAAAGAGTTGTAGGGATGTTGCAAGCGGGAAGAAGTCAATCACAGATATCTCGGCATTTTGGTGTCAACTGAAGCGTTATTTGCCATCTTCATCAGCATAACACTAACACGGGAGATCCTGCTGAGCAGCACCCAGGTCGAGGAAGGTGTACAACCACACGGCAAGATCGAGACATACAACTGACTGCAAGACGCCAACTGATGTTAACCACCCGAGAGATAGGTTTAAGGCTACAAAATTCAAGTAGTGTTGTTGTTAGCTGTCAAACTGTGCGAAATTGACTGCATGAGTATGGCCTACGAGCGCGACGGCCAAGTAGGTCCCCACCGGGACCCCGACTGGGCTTGACTAGTACACTCGGTGGAATTCAATTAACATTAACAGGGGCTTTATCTAATCCCCTGGGAAATCTCACGGGCGCAACTCAACTTAGTGCATTGAATACGAGCTTGACCCGTACAAGTGCATATAGAACAACTGGTACTTATACAAATCCACTACTATCAAGTGGCTTAGGAACAAATACTATGAACATTAAATTAAAACCTCTAGACGAAATCGATCAAGGGAATCGCGCTCGTCGAAATAAATAGTGTAGAGAACACATTCCATGGACCTGGGAACAATGGGATAAAATTTTATTTTGCGATGAGTCTCGATTTGGGTTCAAGCCTGATACTAGAAGGGTACCATCGTCCTGGAAATACTGAGGTGCGTTCAGGAAGTGCATCCTTACAACGGCTCAACAGTTATGGTATGGGCGGGTATTATGAAGAACAGACGAACTGAGCTCGTTTTTGTAAATAGTAACATGAACACTGTAAATTACATTGAGGATGTTCTAAGGCCGTCTATTATGTCCGTCCATTCGCACAAACGCTTGGCTCCAATTTTACGTTGATGCATGACATTGAGCATTCGCATACAGCTTTGCACACACGGGAATACTTGCCAAGGGAAAACATCCTGGTATTGCTTTGGCCTGCACAATCACCAGACCTCAACCTCATCTAGCATGCATGGGACATGTTCCAGAGACGTGTTTTAAAGGACTTGGATGGAGTGACAACAACCCAACAACTGATGTACTTACTAAAATTTCATTGACAGTGATTGCTGCAAGATAACATTAATAGTCTCATCAAATCTATGAATAATCGGTGCCAGCAAGTTCTCCATAATAGAGGCTGCCACACTTTGTATTAATTTATGCAATTTTTGTACAACCATTTAATTTTAGTTTAAGTTTAGTTGATTAGGCACCTTACTCTGTACTACGTACATATAGTACTTACCTAATAATACAGTACTACTTACGTAATTATTGTTAATTTTGATTATTAAAAAAAAATTGTTGTTTAATATCGAAAAAGCATGAAAAATATATTAATTAAAATTTTTAATATCGCATTAAAAGATTTAATGCAAAAACACATTGTAAAATTGAAATTTGTATGTGTTGCTTAGACTTTTTTAATGTGTTTATTTTAATGTTATAATTTCAAAAAATTATTGCATCAAGGACCGCCACTAAATTAAAATTATAATAATTCTGACTAAATCTATTAGAAAATAAGTCTACATTGGTCCTTACAATAATGATTTTGGTGCAATATCAAATTAAAATTTTAATTTTAGAAAATCAACCTGAGGATACACCCCATTGTCTATATTAACAATTATAATTTATTGATTATTAATGATTATAAATAATGACTGTTATAAAAGGTTATTTAGTTTAAATAATTAGTGTTTTCTTTTAGGTAATATTGTTTTTCAAGATCATATCACTGCTGCATTGGCTTTATTAGTACATTCTCGTGAAATCAAAAGTGAAGAAATCAAAAATGTGCTTTCTGAAAAATCGCATCATTATTGGAGGGAAGGCATGCCGCATCCAAAAAATGATTTAATATTAATGCGTTTTGCAACTAATGGAGATAAGAAAATGACCAAAAAGCAATTACAAAATAAATACAAAAATAGTATCTATGAACATAATATGGATTCTGTTAGTAAAAATCCTTGGGGAGATCTATGCAAATCATGGGGTGTTTATGATCACCAAGAAGTTTTCCAAAGAAAACTGCCAAAGAATGATTATAAAGATGAATTAGAAGAATCTAATGAAGTGGTGCAAATTAAAAATAAAAAACTAGCAATGCGCCTTGGTAAAAGAAGTTATAAAAGTGAAGACAGTGGTTCAGACTCAGAGTGGAAGAAGAAATCTAAGACACCCAGAATGAGAATGCATGCTGATGATGAAGAAACAAAGAAAAAGCAAGTTCAAATATCAAGGGAAGGATCAGAGGAAAATGAAACTTATCCACCATTATCTATTGAAGTGGTCAATTCTCATAGTAGTTATGTACCGAGGAATCCAACAAAATTATCTGATAAATTTAGAAGTAATAAAAATAAAGTACAAAAAGATAGAATTCACTCTAGATTAGGTGTTAAAGTAATTCCTCAAGAGGATCCCGAGTACAGTGATGATACATCATCAGATAGTGCTGATTATAACATCATGAGTAGAGTTCAAAAAGTTAATAGTAAAAATGAGGTTAGTGTGTGGTCTAGATTAGAAACTAAGCAAAGTAATAAAAACTCACAAAATGATTTGAGACAAATTTTAAAATCAAGAAAACATGACGATCTTCGTGATAAAATTGGAAAAATGAAACAGTCTAATTTACGTATTGAGATAGACAATACCTATTGTAAATAATAATTTCAAGTATTTGATCTTAATTTCTAAGTAGTTAATGTTGACTTGAACTAATGATGTCTATCTAATATTTATAATTTACAATTAAAAAATAAATAAACAAGGTGATTAAAGATGCCATTGGTATATTTTTTTTTAAATATAAACGTATACATTTTTTTGTTAACAACATTTATGTACCTTACTTGTATTATTATACACTCACGACAATAATTTCACATTAAGTATTATCAAATATACACACAAATATATTTGGAATTTGTAGTAGTCTTTAAATTATTGCAAATTAAATCTCCAGCGAACTGTAAAATAATTTTTCGGAATATCATGAAAAATATTTTTTGAATTTTTTCTACTAAATCGATACCATGATCACGCGGTTTCAATACAAAGTTCATAAAATTATATACCTACTATGTTCCTTGTGGAAAATCTGTGGTTTCACAAATATTTTTATATTTACTCTAACTTTATACCGACAATTACATACTGTATAGAAATGGAACTGTACTGATATTTGACTTTAAATTGTTAGAACTGGTTTATTTATTTTTTATTATAATGAAGTGAAAAAAGTAAACTTTACCTACTTCTATTATAGTTTTACACAAAATCAGTTTTTGTAAATAAATCTTAAATAGCAATTAAAATATATATTTCTTATACGTATATACTGAAGATTATTTTTAATTCCCAAATTTCCTATTTCCGACACAATCTATAGATAGCCGCTATGAAGAGGTTTTTATGCTATTTAGATATCTACCTATTCTAAATAGGTTTTTGTGGGATGAAAATGGATTACCCTGGAATATTATCAATTTAGAATGAAAGATATATCAGTAACAAGTATAAATCGAGAAAGATCGACTTGAGATTTATAATTAAGATATACTAGTTTGAACCCTTCGACTCATACAATGACTTACTAGTATTGTTAAGTAGTATTATGTGAGTATTGTTGATCATCTCAGGCTCACATGTGGTATTGAACTCTCGAGTCTTAATCGCTTTGCATTTTAATATGCTGTCTACGACTACTATCGTACAGCTCGTCACCGATAGGGAGTTCTCTCTCAACCCCTAGAGCCAGGATGGAGCCTATAACCTGGTTTCAGAGATGTTTCCTCTCACGAAGCTCATATTATGGAATGAGCTCCCTGTTAAGGTTTACCAAGAGACTACTGCATGGGGTTCTTCAAAAAAGCTGTAAAGAGGTTTTCAGGCTCGGCAATGTGCGTGTAATACCTCTGGTATTGCAGACGTTTATACTCGTAGGCTACGGTTACCAATTATCATCAAGTGGGCCGTCTACTTGTTTGCTGTGTTATAGTGGTATGCAAAACTAATGGCTAAGATCTTTTAATTACTAACCATCCTCTTCTCCAGTTAGTATAATTACATTTTATAACAGAAAAATATAAAGGCACAATAAAATAAAACGCCAAAATTATTTTATATAGTTGTGGTTTATGTGGGAAAAGTTTGTGCAGGTTGTGTATGAATTACACATACATTAGACAACAGTTTATACAATAGTAAAATCTTATGGTGATATTATAAAAAATAATCTACACACTAATTTTAACAACCCTGTGTAGTTACATAATAATGTTAGCGATGCATAAGCGACAGTCATCAAAAAGTGCTTTACATTGCTGTTAACTTATTAGTGACTAATTATAAATAATTTTAATATTATTGAAACTAAATAAAAAAATAAAATGGAAGACTTGAGTATTTTCATATTTAAAACATATTATTTATATTTTTATTATATATATGAATTCCTTGAAATATGGCTTTTTTTTGTAAAATTATATACTGACAAAAATATTCAGGTATAGTGTATAGTATATTTGCAACACTGTTACACTCATTCCAAATACGACTGTATACTTAACATAACACACTTACAGTATCTATATGAGTATACTAAAAGTTTTAGTAACTTTTTACATAAATTGACAATTTTAACGGCAAATATATCTGTCATTATATGACATTAATGTAGGCTGGCTTGATTTTTTGCTTGTTAATATAAAAGTAACAATTTTTTAAATTTAGAAAATGCTTCTTTGATCTTCTTTTTCTCCAGATGATATCTAACATTTTATCTTTACCAACCAGTATTTGTATATTCGATTTTTTTTCTTACATTTAATTGCTTAATACTTTAACAGTCATAGAGTCACAATATAGCACAAATATTTATATAATTTTAAAATTATTTGTCATAGTCTAAAACATTAAAAAAATGAAGTGTTACTCCAGAATTCTGTGAAGCTTACTCCAGGACACGAGAAAAGCTTTACAAAGATATGTCCGAGTACAGAGGACCTTTTTAAGGTGCCAGGGTCTCCTTGGAAAATAATTTTAAATACGTCACTGATTTGCATTACCAAGTCAAAAGGTTTATTGATTTAGGTCCCGAAAGCTTACTGTAAATAAATATATATGTATAAATCAGATAGAAGTGTAACTTATACGAAGTCATATGTACATAATAAATAATTTGATTTGACGGATTTTAATAAACATATTTTTTTTTTTTTATTTTGTCTGTCGGTATATTTGTTCCGATATAATGCAAAAACTATTGAACCTAATTAAATGCGGTTTCCACAGTTGTGTTCCTGAATCAAGTTTATAGTTTTTTTAATATTTTACATTTAAGTTTATTTTTTTATCTATAAATTGTCTATTTAATTGGTTTATTTACTATTGTAATTCACGCGTATGAATTAGCGGTCAAATTGTTAGTTATTTATACGTTCAAACTTTCTTGTTACTGATATATTACTTACACGTTTATTCACTCACTAATTTATATCGCGAAATACATTAATACCTAGTAAGTTACAAAATTTATATAAATGAAACATTTGAATTATATTTTGTGCGTTAGAGTGCGGGTGTTAGCTAACATTTTGTAAAAAAAAACTGCAAAGTTTGAAATTTTTATAATTGAAATATAATAATCATAAATATTATTTTAAAATAATACATATTATGTTGAATCCATAATTTACGATTTAGTAAACTTTCATCCGCACTCCAAGGCTGCATGCACCATACTATAATGTGCAGAGTATTAGTTATCATTTATACAATAAAATATATTTTATGTAAAAGAGATGTTCACTTTATCGGTCTACCATCAGTTGGTTACAGTTCTAATTACATACAATAAATTCGATACAGTCATAGTTGGAATGGAATCCATGCTAATATCATAAAAAAGAAAGTGAGTTTACTTGTCTTTTGGCATCTTAACGGCTTAAGCAATCGTCTTGCAATTTGGTACACACATAGTGTTTCAGATGCATCTCGTCCATGAGAAAGAAGACGCGGATAAAAATAATTTATAATTTAAACTTTCAAATAAAAATAACATTAGTAAAATTAAAAAGTGGCAAAAAAGTTGGAAATATGTAATAGGTTCGAACTATTTTGTGTAAGCGTGCGATGCAATGTAAATATTTTATCCCTATAGATACCACAACGAGCAATTGGGCTTACTCGAATCAATGAGTCGAGAAAGTCCAATTGCTCGATGTTTATATGTATATTATAATTGACTTGTTTATTATTATTACACATCACCTAGCACTCGGCATTGTTCGTGTATACATTATTTGAAAATAGCTTTATGAATATACTTTGTTTTTTTCTATTTGTTATGTTTCGATTATCTCTTGGAGTATGCAGAAACAATGAAAGGCCACTGGCCTGTTATACAGACCGCCTTCCCATCATAAAAATTTAATTTATTTTTCGTACTAGCTCGCGGGCACTTTCTCTTTTTCAGGATGTCACTTATAATTTAAATTTAATTAATTACTCAAATACAGACTCGAACTGTCTATAATTTTATTTATATATATAAATGTATGATTTTACTAAAATTAATTTAATATAACATATTTAATTTTAAATGAAGATTGCAAAACAATTTTGTAAATAATTGTCACATAAAAAAATATTATCAAAAATATTTCTTACAAATAAAACAAAATTTAATCTGTCCCAACTACAAATTAAGTAAGTATTCCTGTAGCTTATTTCTGCTAACTGAAATTTATTGCGAAATATAAGTAAGCGTTATACACTTATTCCAATTTCAGTATTGTTGTGTTATTTGCAAATGACTTAGTACAAAAGAGCGCTCTAGTAGAAGAACTAATTTAATGATTCGTCCACTTGTTAGTTACGTTTGCGATTCGAATTACTGCGAGAGGAAAAAGAGCGCGTTGCTGACCATTTTACATGCACTGCTTTGGTCAACCGTGGATTATAGCTAAATTTTCGTAATATACGCCACGTTATAATAGCGACTTTATTATAAAAAAAAAAAACATGTATTCTCATCTAAGAATGGTTTTCGGATTATATTTTTAATATTTTATATAATTTATTAATAGCTAATGTAATAGCATGACACTGTTTTATTTCTAAAACTGTAATTTTTTAAAGTTTCTGCTGACAAATCAATTTACATGTAACAAATCAGACTTCTACCGTTAGATTTTTTTTTACGAGGGTTGAGCTTAGTCAACGCGACCAAGCGTGCATCTCGTGCTCGTATTGTTAGTTTAAAGAACTTAAAATTCTTAATTTTATAAAATGAGTATAGGTACACCTTGTATAAATAGAGTAAATATATAGATAAGAAAAAAAAATTAAAGTTAGAACGTTCATTAAATAAGCATTTAGTTATATTATATAAGGAAAAAAATAACAATAATTCGGTTCACCATTATCGAAGCTAAATATAGCTACGACGCGAACAAATAAATAAATTGATTTAAATTAAAAACCTCTAATTAGAAGTTTTTTTTTTATGTTTTTAATAAAATGTGTGCATATTTTATTATTGATTCTATAATCGAATTAGACCGATAAAAGTATATACGCATGTCTTAAGTGATAGCCACTTAGGATATGATAATATATATTTTTATTATAATTATTTTTTTCATTTTTTGTAATATTTAAATGATATAATTTGATTAATTACGTAACGCAATTAATTAATCAAGAATAACACACAGTATATTATTATTACAACAATGCACCTATAAAGGATATTAAAGACTGAGATTCACGTGGCACAATATTTTAAGTTTAGCTCTTAATTTAGATTCTGGCACATATTTCCATATACCTATAGAATTTCATGTTCATTTTTATATTACAGACGAAAATAAAGTAATATTTAAATTTGATTAATGTATATAAAATAAGTTTAAAATACCAATGTCTATAAATTATTTAACAATATCGTCTGTAACACAGTATTAGTGGAATGTTTCAGTCTTAATTAAGTACTACTTTCAGTAGACAATGGTAGCCGAAAAATTAAGTATAAAATCTAAAAATTAAGTATGATCACCAAATGATACATGGAGAATCAGTAACTTTATTTGGATTTCTTATCTTTTTCTGGTTTTTCTTCCTTACCCGAATCTTCTTTTTTCTTAGAAATTAACGTATGTTTGGCTTTCTTAAGTTGTTTTTTCACTTTATCCTTCACTTTGCTTTTCTTGGGTGATGCGATAACTTCTGCCGATTTAATAGATGAGCTATTCGATTCGCTATTCCGTTGTGCTGAAATAAGTAAATCTTTAAATAATTATATTGCATTTTAAACACTAATACTGTAATAGGTAGGAAAGAGCGTTAATGTCAATAGACTGTTTTGCTGAGTCGGTGTTTAGATTATTTTATAGTAGATAAATAATTAAACAATAAATATATTTTAAATAACAAATGTCTACGTTGTGATCACGATACGTGGTCTTGTCGTGATTATGTGGTGTAATCTACATCGAAACTTTGGCAATAAACTAAATATATAAAAGATAATTTACCTACAAAAAATTATTCATTGCGTTAAGTTCCGATAGCGTAATTAAAATATGTATGTGTAAACAACACGAAAGCTTAAAATGAACTAAATATTAGATAATCTAGCATGCATTTATTAAGTAAAATATAACAAATAGACTTCTGAAATATAGGTTTAGTTATTAAATTATAATAAAAATCAGCGAAATACAAGTTATTTGACTAATGTAATGAAAATTGGTCCAAAACAACAAATTGTTAAAACAACAGGGATAGATACACTTTCGAATTATTCATAATAATGCATTTGCTGTGTGGATAACAAGTGATGCCCAAAAATAATTTTAACTAAATAATTTAATAATTGTCTTGTAAATAGTATTAAATCCATGATGGAATATAATATAACTAGAATAAGTTCTAGTTCTGTTGAAAAGTAAATATTTTCAATGATCAACACCAATTAATATTTTTCTCTGCTAACCATCTCTGTGTTCAGTTATCTTAGTTATTACTCATTCACTTCTTTTTTTGCCCAGTTAATCCTCAACTATAAAAATAAATAAAATCATTCACGTCTAAACTTAAACATCATTATCATCCTGCCTTTACCCCAATTATTTGGGATTGGCGTAATATTATAATTTTAGTTATATTACCCTAACAATTAGCCTTTGGATTTACGACCGGCCGCCTGTCTGACGTCATCCCTCCTTAGAAATGCGTTTGATGGTATCCACCACCTACGGTATGGAGGAAAGGATCGAATAAAAGCAGGAGGGCATTGGGAGAGAATAAAGAAAGTTGGTTAAAGAGGAATGAAGGATTTATGGGGAAAAGGAAAAGTTGTATAGCGGTTGCGAAAGGGATATTGGTGAGAAACTGCAGCGGTTCGGAAGGCCGGGATCGCATACCCGTGTGGCCTAAACTCTATGACCGGGCAGATAATTAGAGGAGAACACTCCTGACTAAAGAACGCCCCTGGTTAACGTCTATACTTAATGCTTTCCTTAAAACATTTTTTTTCAATTTTTCATAAACCTAATGAATCTAATATAATTTGAAAACAATTTGTTGATAGAATACCTCTTTTGCTGGCTATCGAAGCAGCGATAGCGAGATCCTCTTGCCGTTCCCGTCGCCGTTCTGCATCAATTTGCTGCACTAATTCATCGCGCATGCGCACTATCTCTACAAGGCGAGAAACTAGTTGTTCCTCACGTGCCTAAAATTCATAATCAACAATGTAATAGAACAAGCGTATTTTTTTGCAATTACTAGAAATATAATATGTCTGTGTTATTAAAAGTATTCGACTAATAATAACAAATGTACATTAGAGAATAGAAAACAATTATAACATAATAGGTAATTTCAAATTATGCGCAGGATTGGTAAGGTGTCGGTGAAGAGTTAACTATGCAGGTAAATTTCAATGCTATCAAAATAAGGAGTGTATGCTTTTTTTTGGTAACGACATATTTACCAACTCAAATCGAATAAGACAACTGCGTGAGTCTAAGAAGGTTGTAAAAAATGAGCCAGTGCTATGTCAGGCTTTTCAGACAGAAAAAAAGGACATTACTATGGTAAAACATGTAAAAAATTGAGGTTGTAAAGTACAGAAGAGTATAGTATGACTCCATACATTCCTGGACCTGTATGATTTTTTTTATACAACTTAGAATGGCAAACAAGCTGGCGGCCCACCTGATGGAAAGTGGTAACCGTCGCCTATAGACATGAGCAGTACCATGGACATAACAGAGTATACTGTTTCGCCGTTTCATGATACCCCCCATGCGTTGCCATTCCTGAGGACTCAGGTGTTATTCCTCTGTACCCTGTAAATTCACGCCATATCCCACCCTTCAAACTGAAACACAGCCATGCAAACACAACTGCTTCACGGTTGAACCACAAATGGGAGAGAGGTCTCCAAGCAAAGGACTTTTGTACAAAGTCTCCCTCTGGTTAAGAGAATACCTATAAATGTGAGCTTTATGAACCATGTACATATTTAATTAATATTTTGTTGAGATCTGTTTTTCATTGTGTTTCTTAAATTGATTTCATCATAATTTTATTCTTCTGTTTTTCTTATTTAGAAGATTCTAAAATTACATTAGCTGTGTGATGTGTGTGCAATGGGTATCATAAGAGGCGACTAAGGGAACCTAATGGTCGAGGCATGGAACGGAGGCCTATGTTCAGCACTGGAAAGTTAACGGCTGACATGATGATGATGAAAATAACATAGGATTTTACATTTGAATACAATGAGTTATATTATTATATATATTATTCCATATATAGATGTTTCAGCTTGTTAAAAATTATCCGTCTCCTTTATCGGTTAGCAGTAGAAGGTTAAAATTGTAATCATTTATTGAAGTCGAGGTCAAAAAGCGTTTTATGCAAGCCCTGTCGATATCCGTTCATCGTGTGTCATCAGCAACAGGGTAATTACCTAGTTGATTGTTTTCAAATTATGAAAATGACATTCAAGCGTATGATAATTACCTTATCAGCATCGATGCGATTAACTGCTGGCCGCGATTGTATTATTCTTATCTCATGTTCAATATCAGCTTGTTCTTGTTCTAATCTTTGCTGCCGCCGGCTGGAAATATTGTTTGTATTTATACACTATTATAAGTAAACACCGCGGCTTCCATCGCAAGAACTCTAAGTTTTTTCCAGATTATGTGAAAAGTTTCAAACATTCATTTTTTGTGAATATTTTTTTATGCAACTTAGAATGGCAAACAAGCTGATGGCCCACTTGATGGAAAGTGGTAACCGTCACCTATAGACATGAGCAGTACCATGGACATAACAGGGTATACTGTTTCGCCCATGATATCCCCATGCGTTGCCATTCCTGAGGACTCAGGTGTTATTCCTCTGTACCCTGTAAATTCACTGCCACATCCCACACTTCAAACCGAAACACAGCCATACAAACATAACTGCTTCACGGTAGAAAAACAAATGGGACAGAGATGCCCAAGCAAACGACTTTTATACAAAGTCTCCCTCTGGTAAGAGGAATAAGAATTGTTGTGGATTCCTATGTTATACTATAGTTAATATGAGGTACTGCAGTGTAAAATTTTAGACACCCAAATTGGTCAATAAGCACCTTGCTGGAAGCTGTTTCACTTATAGTTATGAACAGTCTATAGCTACGTTTATAGATATCATTATGAAGTTAATGGCTCCACTTTGTTGTTACTCCAGATCTTGAAGAATATTTTTTTTATACGACTTAGAATGGCATACGGCCCACCTGATGGAAAGTGGTAACCGGCGCCTATAGACGTGAGCAGTACCATGGACATAACAGTACACACACATACTGTTTCGCCCATGATACCCCCCATGCGTTGCCATTCCTGAGGACTCAGGTGTTATTCCTCTGTACCCTGTAAATTCACGCCATATCCCACCCTTTAAACCGAAACACAGCTATGCAAACACAACTGCTTCACGGTAGAAACACGTGTCAGAGATGTCACTAGTTAAATATACTGATATATTCAGTCTCTAACATTTTTCAGAAACAACTTTTTAACGAATCCAATGTCTAAACAGATTTTAACATTTGTACACAGGTAAACCAAATACTAGATGAAGAAATGCAAAACGTTTTTTGTAATTCATTTGGTTAAAGTTGCGGGTTACGGCTGGCTATTACATAAAGGCTTACATGGTTAAAAAGTGAAGGTTAAGTGGCAATTAAAAATAGAGGTTATTGTATAGGCTTGCATGTTCTATAGTAGTATTCTTAGGGAAAGCTAAGTATTACGATAAGAACTCAAGATGTCTTTCAATACCTCAGAGATTATGGACTTGAGTGGGATGTAAGACGTATTTATCTATATCTATACTTATATTATATAGGGGAAAAATTTGATTTTTTATGTTCCTTTTTAATGAATAAACATAAAATAAAACTACTGATTTTAAAAATTGTTTTACCTGTAGAAAGCTACATTTTTAGTGAATAATAATAATAAGCTATATATTATTTTCAAAGAATTTAGAGATACGAATTTTACAATAATGTAATCCAAAGTATCAAAAATTTGTGAATTAATACTCGTGCAAATCTAGGATGGATCGTTAGTTGAAAATATATTGAGTAAAAGTAATATCTAGACTTTTTTATAGCAAATTTATAATATTCTAAGCATTAACTTCAAGAATAAAGATGATTATCATATTTATTATGTCTGAAATATTTGTAACAACTTACATGTACATCAATTCAGTTTGCTTCCTGAACAAGTCGTTTTTCTCATTGACCAGTTCACACAGTTGTATTACTAAATCTTCCACTTCCTCTTGCGGCACCGAAGATGAGTCGTCGCCTGTCGTAAACAAATTTATTTCTAAGTGGTACTCACAGTGAACTCGTAGTATTAAATAACATAAAAATATCTAATGGTGGTTACAATACTACCTGTATGTGTGTGTAATGAATGCAACCTAGGTTTATTGTATTATGAATGATCAAAAATAATTTGAGTTTTAAGAAATAAAATATCTTAATAATGTGATTACTTATTTTTGACCCAAATCTTCTACGTAATTATACATATTATTTATTATCACTAAGAATTCATTTAAAATGGAATAAAAGAAATACTAAAATAAAAAAGAAATTCTTATACTTAAAGGGCCCATTATGACACTATATCTTTAGATGTCAACTATTTTTTCTATAATTTATGGTTACGTATTGGATAAAAGAAGAAATAAAATTGTTGCAAACAAAATTCATTTTATGTATATACAGACGGTATGAATATAAATGTAATATTAATTAATGTTATAAAAAAATTTGAATGGTTATCATGGTGATATCAGCCGTAGACGGAATAGAATGCAACCAATGATAAAATTTTTAATAATAATATTTAAAGTGATTTATTTTATTTTATTACAATCCAATATAATTTTTTAGATACTTTCTTGTTTATTGTATCTTGTAATTGATCAAATTTGAACTTCTTATAAATTATCTAAGATGCCTAAATAGATTTTAATTTTCTGCGGACATGGAGATTTAATAGAATATTTTTATATATATAACATTTTAGAATACATACATATCTGTCACGTCTGTCTCCCATTAGGATAGGCATAAACAATGGAACGCTAAATGCTTCGATTCAAACAAACCTCTTTCACTTCTTCCACATTCATCAATGTTTTCTTCTTTCAGAATATATAAACTAAAATGCAATAAAGATATCAACAATACAGTAGTAGCAAGGGTTGCCAAAGATGTCAAGAAGACTATACATATCAATTAAGAATGGTAGCCATAAGTAGAAATAGACTAAAAATACGATACATACCTTATTTAAGAAAAAAAAAAAAAAAATTACAGCAGATAAGTTTAGAAATACGAGCGAGATAGAAGTAGTAGGTAATCTTGTAGAAGATTTTTATGCAAGTTTTACTCTAGCGATTTCATAATTGCATTGTTAATTTAAAAAAAAAAATCAAAAATATATTGCAATCTATGACTGTGGCTACAGATTATAAAGATTGTAGCTAAGTAATAGAAGAGAGGTGGGTGAAACGCCTAAAATGAAATAATGTGCAGAAAATGTGTTTACCCTCACACTTATCCCGAATCATTTGCTCGATGAGAACGCCTTGTCGTTCTAGCCCTAGTTGCTGCGTTTCCAGCAAGTCAAGTTGGACTTGTAACTCTTCCGCGGATATCTGCAATTTCACTTCGCGTCGCTCGGGTAGAGGTAGCCCTGGTGCTGGCCCCTTCATCTTACGTCCACCTATACATATAACATATATTGATAATCTTTATTATAAATACTTCACATTAATGGGAATTGATTTTTATGAATAATTATCAATATTCTATCGTTCCATCAGACCCTTTATAGAATAGCCAGTTTTAACTGTTCCAACCTTACACAGTATGTCCTTTGATTCATTTATATATACATATTGTGGGCTTGAAACTATCAGAGCGTCAGACAAATAAAATATTACTAGTTTAAAGAATATTTTTGGTTATTTGATTATAATTATTTTGTTTAGTTCCACTACCATTAGTATATGTGTGTCTGCCAACACTCGAAGATTGACCATTACTATTACTACCAGAAGGTCTACAACCTTCCATATTAGTCATCAATCTCCAACTTCCATTTTGTTGATGTACGGTTATCGACACGTGTTTTACCTCTGAATGAGGCATCATCAGGCAAATTATTAGGTTGCTGCTCGGTGCTTAGTGTTAACAGTGCAGCCATTCGGCTTTGAGCAGAAATTCTAATTAAATAACCAGTGATATGGATTTTCGCAAGAGTTTAAGTTCAGTGAAATAAAGAATATTTATCTTAAATACATACATTCTTCACAATTAACAAAAAATGTCTTTCGAGACAAATATATATTAAAATTAGTTCATAAAAAAAAAAAGTTCTATCCGTTCCTCGACGATTTTGGAATTGTATTAGTGAAATACAATTTTTGTCTACCCAGACAAAACGCTTATCACTGGTCACTATAATACAACTATTAATAATGTAATAATTTTTAATTTTGTAAGATATCCATAAAATCGTTATAGTCTATAATAGCTTATTAAGACTTAGAAGAATTCTCGATAAATTACTTTAACCACACTACTTAAATACTCAATCAAGTTGTATTGTGATTGAAATATTGTTAGCGTGCCATATTAATTTAAGAGACGTCGGTAAGTATGCCGGCTTTCAATTTAGGTTCAAACTTGATGAAATGTGGCCAATTCGAATGTTACATATATTAACTGTCTATAATATTAAGATCTCATGCCAAGTCTCTTACGGATATTACTTATTTATTTCTCATTAAAATTATTTAAGGATGTTGTTATTGCATAATATATTTAATTATTATAACACAGGATATATTAGCTTGAAGATTAAGCGATTGGTGTGATTGTGTGGTACTTATTACCATTCATTAAAAAAATTCTAGGCAAATTAAAGGTAAAAGAAGAAGTTGTACCATAATATATAAATATCATATTATATCGGACTTGACTGTTGTATCGTTTCAATGTAATATCAATTTCAGTGTAATGTAATAATGTAATTCAGTGATAACTCATTCGAACAAGAATTAAGATCCGGGGTCCAAAATCGAAACCCAAAATTAATTTAAATTTACAATTTTATGTTTTAAGAATTTTAAAATTAGTATTTTTGTTTCGTGTTTCAGAGAGAGTGTACATAAAGCCGTCATCCAGTAAGTTAAATCAGAGACCTTTGCGTTTATTTATAGGATAACATCTTAGAAATAATAGTAGTAATGTAGGTTGTAAAGATTTTACAATCAAGATTAAATTTAAACACACTATATTCCGAGAGTATAGATTTTTTGATATCAACAGTTATATGAATTATTAATACCACAATATACCTAAATTCATTTTAAAATACGATATCAAAAGAATGAAAATAATTAATAAACATGATAATAATATTAATGCATGTAGATTAGTAAAAAAGATATGTAGAGGAAAATACATGAAATTTATAAAACATTTTTAGCTGGTTAAGATTATGAATACATATTATAAAATACAAAAATTATTCATTATAAAACATACACAACTATGTAATAGTTGTATGAATGAATGAATGAAAATTTATTTCAATAAACCATAACATTTACATATACTTAGATTATAAGTAATAACAACATAAAAATAAATAAATAAAATACAGAAAAAAAGTTTACATTTATATATAAACAGTAGTAGAAATCAGTCAGTGTTATGGTAAAGAAAAAGGATGCTAATTCAGCTTAAAGTTCCTGCAAAAGCAGAAACGCTGATTTTCAATTAGCACCTCATCACCTAGCCCGGTCTATCAAGATCATGAATAAGTAACACAACACACAAACATTCGCATAACAATAGGTAAAAAACAAAAATATCAGTAAACAAAGAAAAACAAGAACAAGAAAGTTGTGATATTTTATCATGAATAATTTAATTTTTATCTAGGCCATTATTAAAAATATGCAGAAATGTATACATGACAAAAATATTGCATACTGTATTAAATATTAACCGAGTAATAATCGTTGCCGAGAACAATATCGTGAGACTCTTTATGTTGTAGATAATTTATATTTTTGATTTTAACCTGGGATAACGTTCATCTGTAGGTATACAAAATTTTGTTCAATTCTATTCAGCCATTTGAGTAACAAAGTAGTGGGAAATAGCTAGGATATTAAAAATAAATAGTATATACTGTTTACTAGTCTATTACACATTTATTAAACAATATTGCGAAACGTCATTTGGGACTTAACATGTTATAACAAAACATATCAGTCTGCAATATAAATTAATCAAATAGATTGCAGTGACATTATCAGACTATTCATTAATTAAATATATTTATGAGGTCATCATCAAGTATGAGCTTGGTCTGCATTACAGATGTCAAGTTAATAAATTATGGTAATAATCGACGATCAGGTTGACCTAGCGGATTATAATAATAGTGGATAATGATTACAGTGATTGAACACATTAGATACATAGAGTCACATACAATGAAAATTTGTACAAATGGCGAGATTAATGCCATACATATATGTATTAGACAAAAAATACATATATAATAAATAATACCCTTTAATAAATATTAATAGACTAATAAAATAGTAAGGTTATGCTAAAATTTTTAGGATAATATTCTTAAAAAAATAGGCAGAGAAAGTTTAATGTATATATCTTTTCTATTATTCGTTTTCATAGCTTTGAATGAAAATGAGTGGTGGGAAAAATATTGTATGAATATGGTAGCCATACCATCAGATATGTTGCGAATGCTCGAAGTATCGACACCTGTTTCCATCGAGCCTCCGCATCCTGATACTGTAGAGAGACTATCTGGTGGAGTGGGCGCTAGACGTTTTTTCTTCATCATTGGCGTAGAATGACCGATGGATTTCTAAAGTTAAAGAAGTAAAGTTATTCAATGTATGAAATATGTCTATGCTGGCTGTAGACTTGCCTTGGGCAACGTTATAATATAGGTGTGATGAGTGTTATATTTACTTAAGTCTATAAAGCCTCTGACTACTCCATTTGTAATTATAGTCGTGATTATATATTATATTGATTATATTTTATTAATGTTTAAAGAAAAACATGTCAATAACGGGTATTGGTTTGTTTCTATAACAAGCATTATTAATTTTATTAAATTTTTAAATAGTTAATCGAAAACTAAACATCCCTCAACAAATCCTAGGATATAGTAAAAGGCTACTAAGAGAACATAATACAATATACCGATGCAAGTAAAGGTAAACTCGGAATAAAATACTATAACTAAGTTGCTGGGCCAATATAGTGAAAGATGGCTATGTGTGCCATGATAATGATCTGTTTAGACAATGTTGGTTGGCGACGTATACATAATTTTTTTTAATAAATGCTATACGTAGTAACATATATAAAAATCAAAACTTAGTATATGTAAACAGGTATAAACAAATGCAAGATTCTGTATGATTACGTTACACAATAATGCATGTAGAAAGAGACTTACTTGATCAGAGTGCACAGTAGAGTTATAAGAGCTAAGTGATGAGATGCTCGCTACGTCGTCCATTGATGTTGAAGGATGTTCTGTGGGAGTAGCAGGTTCCACGACCGTTACAACTGGAGGAGGTGGGGCTTTTGCTTTCTTGCGTCGTGGAACGCTTGCGGGTAAATTCGGCGTGCTCGTTGCCATCACGGACTTATACATGTTAGACCTAAACAGTTAATAATAACGTATATGTATTCCACTATCTTAACGTTAAAATATAACAGGATTAGTCGTGATATTATAGAGGTATTGATTTCTAGCTTTCGCCTGCCACTTCGTATAGATTTCGATAGTAGATAACCACTTCTAGATGGTGTATGAAGATAAAATACACACTACATTTTAAGTTAGACCTTATATAAAGGTCCATCACATATTTTCTTTAAATATCTCCTATATATACATAATTTTATAACGTAATTTATATACATATATGTATATCTATGAAATAAATTCTTTTCCATACATATCATTTGGATCAACCCAGTCTCGGATCTGTGAAGATTTTGGAGGTGACCGAGTAAAATAAGGTGTTATTATTCTTTTCTATCCTCAGCTTCTTTAGACAAGTAGCTTATGACTTTATCGATAGATATGTTTTCGCACTCATCAGCAAAAAGCAAATCGACAGACGTTGTCTTGTTATATCTCATCCATATATTAGCGAAAACATACCTATCGATACTATCATTTACCACTTTTAGGAGAGCAGAATGTTATAACAGAAAATATGCTTGGAGAATCTTAATATTACTACCATTAATTATGCTGACCTATTATCACATGTTTCTTCTTCATCTGATGATGGCTCTTCTCCATCGGACCAGAAAGGATTTACGGCTATTAGACGCCTTCTGTAAAAATATGATACTATCAACATTTCTGCATGTTCTAAATAAAATTGTTATTGATTTTTACCAGCAGATGTATAAATATCCGAATATAGAACCTAAGCTTCATTCATTATTATATATCTAAGTTTCATAAAAAAATTCAGACAGGTGGTCGCTAGATACATTTACACACATATGACATTTTATACTGATGAATTTTTTATACATTCTTCACAGTAAGAACTAATGCCCCCTGATTTGCGTCAGGTCAGTTCGGTACTATTCTTTGTGTTTGAAATGGTAATCATTGTGCTGTTGCAAAATACCTATCATGTATGACATAATAATGTAAATTGTTAAATGCTAAAACATATACATAAAGTAAAAAACAAGTATGATAAAATCAGTGTCTTATTTTAGCCATCATATAGCTGAATATTTAATAATAGAATAATAAACATAGTAATTGTTATGCTATTATTAAATGTCATGATTATAATATCTGTTCGCTATATCATTATCAACAATTAATAATGTGATAAGTAAAATTATTAAATAAAACAGAGTTAAACATACACAGGCGTAGTTTGATTGTTCTGAACTTTTAGGGGCGGTTGTATTGGTGGTACGTCGTCATCTTCTTCGTCGGTGCTACCAAAAGGGTTTGTGCTTATCTTTTTTGGTAGCTCCTTAGACTTAGACTCTTCATTCTGAAAAATACATTGCAAATAGCCACTTACTTTGTTATCTTAAAACTGTTAAAATTTTAATATTTGTATAATTACTTTAAACTGATATTTTATAAAATCAATGTTTCAAAACATTGATCTTATAGTATATCAGCTACTAATTAATTAGAATTAGTTATATTGATTTTGTAACACATTACATATGTTACTTGTGTCTATTTTTTAGTAGAATATGTATAAGTGACAAAACTATTACCAAACAATTGAAGAACAATTAATAGATTAGAATTTCATTATTTCGATTACACAATGCCATTCAAGGTATGTGTAAACTGATGATTTGCAATTTGAATTTGATGGTTTGACTGCATGATTTACTACTATATCATTGCAGTTTCAGTTAATATGGATTGAGCTACCTTTTTCATACTAAGTGTATTTAATTAATGGCACTAATTACCTCATCTTCATCATCTGAAAATGGGTTTAAATGTTTTGGATATGTTTTATCTTGGTTTGGCTTTTTTATTACATCATTTTCAGTCGATTTTGTTTTTTCAGGAGTATGTTGCTGCTTTTTTCGCCTGGGAGGAACACTAATAGCAACATCTTCATTCTTTTCTGTTAGTTCTGATGTTGGTAAGGGAATATGCTCATCTAAGACATAAGATGGTGTGTTATGACTTTTTGCTATTCTAATATCATCAGTTATATTACTTTCTTCTTTAAGTAAATCATTAGGTTTATCACTCATTTCTTTTTGAACATTTTCATCTTTCTTAGTTATATTACTAGAGCAGTCTTCCTTGTTTTGCCTTGTTTCTTCCAATTCTACATTATGTAAATCTTTGTCTTTATTGTTATCTAATGTGACACTTGACAATTGTGTTTGTAGGAAATTAAATTTATTAATATCACTTCTGTAAACTTTTTCAGGTTTTATGTCTAATAATTCTTCAGTTTTAGGACTTAATTGTTTTTTCTCTATTGTTGAGTCTAGTTCAGTGTTTGTGTAAACAGGTTTTAGATCATAATTATCTGTTACACTGCTAGTATTAATACTGGAAGTACTTAATTCTTTAACATTAATATTTACATTGTCTTTTATAGAAAGGTTTGATAAATTTTCTTCCATGTTTGTTTCTTTTTCAGCATTCTTCTCAAACATACTTATTTTCTCTAAAATATTTCATAAAAAAAAAAACAATAATTTGGTTTCATCATAGTTAATGTATAATGATCCTATTCATTATACTTTTACATACTTCCACACACATGCCTCATCTCTCCTTATATGCATAAACACACAGACACAAACATACATAAACACACAAACAAATTACATTATATTTTGATAAATAAATATAATATCAATATTGAAATAAAATAATAATATTACTGTTAGTAGATTAATTAACTTCATAATTTATTAATGAACACTAATAATGGTAAAATAAATAATTAGTAAGTGCTTGTATTAACAGAACCTACAATCTAAGAATTCCAGTATCTTTAAATATTAATACCTATTATAAATATTTACAGATACATATTATGTATCATCTTGTATTACTGTCACAAAGTGAGGATTGATTGCAAGACAATTTGGAAGACATTGAAAGCTGTTATACAATGCTTTACCAGATTGGCATGACAACAACAAAGTAAACAATCTATTTTTAGTTGTTTTTTATTTATCTTGTTTTGCAGTATATTATTTATTATTGTAGTACCTATGAGTAAATCATATAACAGAAAGTAAAATAATTGTTTTAACACATTATTAACATATAAGAAATCATTCACATTCATTTTGATGATAGTTCAAATAGAAAAGAAAGTAACATTCTCACATTAAGCTAAGACAATTTATATTTTGTAAACAGTAGAAAAATATGAAGGAAAACTTACCTAATACTGACTGGGGTCTAGGTCTATGTTTTATAACATTTGTTTCTTCTTTCTTAATTTCTGTGGATTTTTCTGGCATGGCTTCACTAAATGCCAACATACCCATTTGATCATGATCATTATTATTTAAGAATTTTGATAATTTTTTTTCATTCTTACAACTATCACAAGAAAATTCAGATCCATCAATTAACTCAAAATTTTTTGGGTTAAGATGTCCAGAACACTTAGAACAACGAAAACATCTTCTATGGTAAAGTTTGTGAGATACAAGTAGACGTTGAGCTAAGTAGACAGGTAGACCACATGCTGCACATTTGTCATGCCCTGATTTTCCAAACTTTATTGGTGCCTAGAAATTGTATTGTAAAGTAAGAAGATAACATATACAGTACAGAAATGTGTGCCAAGGCAACTGCAAACAAGCCACAAGAGAACTTAGACAGATTAAGAAACAAAAAAAAAATACTAACAGCAGACTGAGTTGTAGATGGTAATGATACTTTTTGGTCACTTTCAGCTGATTTGTTGTTGACTGAAAACACAAATATAAGTCCATTTAAACACGCACACACACACACACACACACACATATATATATATATAACTACATTATTGTATACTATACATATAAATATGTATAGTATACAATAATGTACTAATTAAATGTAATTATACACATAAAAAAAAATAAACTTAATGTATTGTTGTGTAACTAGTAAAATCAATATAGATTAAGGTTTACCTGTATGACCTAAACGTTGATAAAATTGAGATAAATAAGTTAATATTGAGAGTCTGTCGGGTACTTCATTATTCACCATATCTTCAGGGTCCAATAATGATGGAATGCCCAAATGCTTTTCAGCAATGCTATAGGCAAGTTGATTATTTTCATATATATCTTCGGGTTTCAACTTTGACACATCTCTGAAATATGGTAAAAAATAGGTATGTATATTTTTTTATTTTTAACATGAATATTACTTATGACTTACATCACTTACATTAAATCTGGTCTGAAGTGATGGACTAAGGCACAAAAAGCAATGCCATTTCTCCATGATGTAGTCATGTTATCTATTTGTACATTGGGGCAATCCTTTACAAGACGTTTGCACCATAATTCGAGAGCTTTAGTACCTTTTCTTTCAGACATTTTAGGATTTTATTATACAAACTGATGAAAGTTTTTAACACTCTGCATCTTTTACAGTATTGTATGACTCACACAAAAGTTTAAAATTATACTTTAGTTTATCCGATCATGTTGTATTTGCTGATGTATCTACTATGTTTAAAAATAGTTAAAAGGAGTATTTAAAAAAAAATGTTCAATAAGTATATAGAAAATAACTTTTATATTGGTAAAATAAAACTTTTTTAGTTCACTTAGTTGGCATTTGGCAATTTGACAATTCTTTCGCTGTCATTTTTAAAATGACAGAAAGTAATGGTGTTACCATTATAAATGATTGTGAAGATATATGTAGGGGTAACCTATATTAATTATTACTCATATACTACACAATTCTAGAAGAACTAAAATTCATTGTTTATAAATCATCATCATCAGTCCTTATTTTGTTTACTTATTTCATTGTAGGTAGTTATCATCTTAGTATCATATCATCTTAGTTTCTAACGGGTCTAAGTTGGTAGTCACCTATATGACTAAGAAGATAGGTTATTATTATCGGGCTCGAGATTTACTTATTAATATCGTACCCCTTATCTCATCTGCACTTAAATTATTTTTTTATTCATGATAGATTGTATATGAAGTAGGCATGGGTACTATTTGTCTTATTTTGATGTCTAATATTGTTTCTCTCAAAGTTTCTGTAGGCTTTGATAGTAGAAATAAGGTCATCGCCCATTTCGATATCGTTCGTACCGTAGGTAAATAGGTATAATTTTTTTTTCATAGACCTAGTAAATTTTTTTTATATTAAGAGAAATTGGTATTTTGCATTAAAACTTTATTACTTCTAGACAATGAATTTTAGTTTCGTAGGAAAACGCAAACTGTTTACTTAGCTGAAAATTGCACTTTATTTCCCTTCTAATCTAAGTAAATAGTAATCTGTATAGTATCTTATTACAGGAATTCAAAAAGAAATATACAGGAATTCATATGTGTTCCGGTAGGACCGTTTGAATTTATTTTATTTATAATAGGGAAGACCTCCCCATTGTAGATAAAATAAACCGATACGATATAGACTACTGTTGACTTTTGTACTTAAGTGGGGATATTGCCTTTTATTGTAGCAGGTTATTAAAAATGGATTTTTATACTTATATTGCACATATTATTTTCCAAACTTTTACCACTTTATAGTTTAAATAAATAACAGAAATCGCAAGTACAAATAATTTATTTTTACAAATACACATCTGCCTACTTTCAAGTATATATACTGAGCACAGTGACGTTGATTTTGTAATGTATGTGTATAATTATATTATGTTAAATTTTTATTTTGATCAAAGTTTAAATGATTTTATTTATGTTAATTAAATAAAACACTTAATTTAACTTATCTAGTATAAAAATTATAATATACATATAATTAAATAAGAATTTTATAATAAATTTATGTAAAGTAATCATATATAAAGCATCAATACCAATGTTAAGTATTGGTATTGTAGAATATTTATCTAATATATATATAATAGATTATAAATAATAATTTGTAAATCTACGGATTGCGGAAGTACCAAATAATGGGCGCTAATGATTAAGTACCTACTTATCGTAGTACCTATGGAACGATATGGTACGATTTTATAATGATACAATATAATACGAGATATCAGTTACGATATACGAGTAGTCCGTATATAATAATAATAGTAGAGCAAAGTAAATGCATTGTATAGAGATTTATATTTTCTTCGATGCCGTTATCGTGGACGTGCATGGAAATTTAAAAGCATTTATATGGGAATTTTGATTTCCTATTATATCGTCATCATTTAGCAAAGCAGCCAGGCGCTATCATTAATATTTTGCTCAGAGGCGCTGCGATATAATCATAGCCAGCGATGCTAGATATATTAAGCTCGACTCTGCGTGCATTAAAATCGTATAATACATATTGTACCGTGCTACGGTAAATTATAAGAAGGTTCAAGTATTTAATAGTAATAGGTAGGTTACTTCTACGCTTATATGTATCTCAATATTATACGTACTTTAGCGTCACCTAAACATTTGAATTTTAAAATTTATGTTCAGATTATTTAAATGTGACGTCCCTCACTTACTACTTCCAAGAACATGTAAAGACATCGTTTGGTGAGCTACGTTAAAGATCTTCATATATGTATAACGAAGCGGCCAAAGAATGGAGATGGGATAGCCATCTTCATACGATGTAAACATAAGAGTAATAGCGTCACAATAAGTATAACAGATAAGAAGAACAAAATTTATGGAATTGTACAAGTTAATGTTGTGGAAAATTAAAAATGTGTGTCGCCATATCTTTTTTGCTCATTGAGGATGAAATCGTATACTATCGGTCCATGCTGTAGTAAATTATTAAATACACCTATTACTTGCTGTAGTCCGTAGGTATAAGTACAAATAATTATTACCTAATTACTATTGTCTAAATTACATAAATAAATATTCTATACATTTTAGTCCATTAAGTAGGCATTTAATAGTTAGGTTTAATAGTTAGGTATTTAGCATTTACTGCCGTGTTTAAATCAAATTAAGTTAAATAGAGTACTACAAATTCGACTCTTAGAAAACAGGACGACAGTAACCGAGAGCATCAGGCCTGTATCCATCGGGACATTGGTAGGGAACGTTAAAAATTTTTCTGTCAATTGCAATGGGTTCAGTCTGTTTAGGCTCCTCTTCTACGTCCTCTGATTGTCTTTTCTTTCGTTGTGTATTAAAGATATCGAATTTGGTTACAATTGAAGTCCAAAGTTTGGATGACCTGGAAATAAAAATAGAAAGCAGTTAATAACGACTTAAATCTTGACAAACTTTATATCAGACAAGCACTATAAAATTACACGACACCAATAAAATACACTTATTAGAGGTAGGTAAAACAGGGTATCGGGCAAAACAGGGCAGAGGGTCTCATACAGCACGGCTGATGGTAAACGGTCACTATAGCCTATGGAGACCTGCAATACTAAAGGTGTCATGTGCGCGTTGCCGACCTTGAAACCTTTTTTAAGAATCCCATACTGCAGTCTTGAGGGAAAACCTCGGCTGGACATTCATTTTACAGCTTGGGCGTTTGCGGGAGAAAATTTCATTGAAACCGTACTGTAACCGCAATGGTCACGCCATTTAGGCTCAAGCGTGTGAGAATGAATTCCCTATCGATAACGATGGCGGTACGAGGATAAAAGGTGGCATTTCTCCAGAACACAATCTGTTATACAAGCGGTAGAACACACAAAAGGAAGCAAAGTTTCGACAGACTTAAGGACTCGATACTGTCTATGAGATCATTGAAAATTCTGATAATCCGACTTTAAAGCGAATAAAGATGACGAAGTTGGTATTCAAGTGCATCGGCCCACAGATGAGAACAGTGCTGCCGTTATGGTGAACTTAACACTCGATATACTTACACGGGGCCGTTGCTAAGCAATCTAACGTGGCAGTTATTCATTTTTTTTTATAAGTCGAGCACTGTGGCATAATCTTATTAATGTAGTAAAATTGTAACAGACAGAGTATATTGTTAGCATTGTGTCTGGTAGTCGGCATTACTAACAATCCTTTTTCTCCCCAGTTTTGTTATAGAAGATCTAACACAAAACTTGGTGTACCTATGTTTTATCTTGATACGTTATCTAGAACTGAATACCGGGAAAAGTTCAATAATAACTAAAACAACAGTTTTGAAATGTCCAAAGGAATTATTACGTTTTTCCATTATGATGATCCATTTGGATTAATAAGGCCTATTTTGAAATTTTGCGTGTTCGGTTGGACCTCCTAGCAATAAAAAAATTTTATCTTTAGAAAAGTATGGGCCAACGACATCTAAAATCCTTTCAAATTTTATTGGGATAGCTTGTCGAGACGGCGCTGGGCAAGTGGGTGAATGTTCGATAAAGTCGCAAAAGAGTTCCTTAGTGTGATTTTTTTTCCAAAATTATTTGGTTCGCGATTGGGAGATGAGTATTTAGCTTAAGCGTCTTAGTTGACTTAAGCTGCGATTTGATACAGCATAAATTCTTATAGCTATTTAATTCTTGCACGCGTAATTTATTTTGATAGTGCTTCGGGTGCTTATTTTCACAGCAGCAAGAAGGTGATATGTATTATCCTTAGTGCGATTTGATATAGAATCCTACAAACGAATTTCACTAATATTAAATTACGGATTAAGTAGGTACATTTTAGTTATTCAGTAAACTAAATAAAAAGAAAATATAGATAATTACCGTAGTTCATTTGTCAATGAGTTCATTCCAATGCATTTTCCTTTAATGTATTCTTCTCCAAACAAACACATAGATTGAATATTATTAGAGCCCGTAGGATTCATAGCTTGATTTTGGTACATATCTAGACATAAACCATTCCACCACAGTTGGTTAAGTGTACATTTTTGTGGGAATCTGTTCTGAATGCTTGCTCCGTGACTCTTTATACCACTGAAATAAATAATTATTATTGTACAAACTATATGTTTAATGAAATACATGATAATGATATGTTTTTTTCTATAAACGGATTGTTAATTTGTTACTGATAGAGATAGGTTATGACTGTGTCTTATCGACATTGGTATGCTACTCGTGTTTTATCTATACTTACCACAATATACTTGTAAATTAAGAACTGAAATAAGTTAATGAAGTTGACGTATATAAATTTAATATATTATTATTTATTATAATTTTTATAGTAGTTTATTCGTATATTAACTTAAGGGTCGCTCGACTAGTTTTTAACTTGACAAAAGCTTTTACTTATGTATTTTTCATATTTCTTTTATTAATTATCACTTATATTCTTAATATAAAAATATACCACAAGATACACAAAAACACATAGCTATGTAGTATATATACTACACATATATGATCGATCATTACTATTTCCAATTAGGCACATAAGAGTCGTATCATAAGTATACATAGAATGTATCTAGGTACAATAACCGGATTTTTCTGAATTATGTTTATTTGTTCAGAATGTTCGAATAGTTTTGGAACTATTTTCGACAAATATAATGTAAGAACAATAACGGATTATTGTTACTAATAAAATAAATACAAATATTATTGAATAGCTTATTTTTAATTTAATTATAAATGTTTATGACATTATTTATTAGGTACCAATTTTATTACTATCGGAAGACGCAGAGTCTCTATGTAAAATTGAAAGTTCACTTCTGACAAATAATTTTAATGCAAGTTTTTTATTTGAAGATCATTTTAATATATGTGCGAGTTAAGGTGTACCATACATGTATACTATATATTGTATATTTCCTAATTTACAATCATAATATTCAAAATATGGAGTTTCATCTCATTTGTATAGGTGTAATGAGATTCTATGAATGTATATTCTTAATATCATTTTTCTACTTCTGAAATTTACGTGTACGAAGTAGCGGTGACAAAAAATCTAATAAATAATAACTACGCAGCATAAATAAAATAAAATTAGCCCTGTAGTCCTGGCATAGAATAGACCTTCGTTTCCCGTGGATGTCGTAAGAGGCGGTTAAAGGAGCTTATGGCTGAGGTATGGGTAGCAGCGTCCCACTTAAAACATCACCAAAAGCTAAAAATGGGGTTGCCAACCCGACCGCCAATCGTGGCAATTATTGGCCTAGAGAGGCCTTAACATAACCATCCCCATAAGAGTATGGGGAAGGTTATGTTTAGCAGTGGACAGTTAACGGCTGATAAAATACAAATATAAAAATATATTGAAAATGTGTGAAAGTCCTCGTTATAGGTATTTCATTAGACTAGTTGATCTATTTTTTAATTTTGGATTCTCTAGTAAATAAATACGTTTTTTCTATTATATCATTAAAAGCTTCATCAGTACACATTATATTTTAAGATAAGAATACTTTTTTTCGACTTTTTGTATTGCAATATGGGTAGATATACTGTAGTATATATTAGAAAAAAACAAATTGGTAATGTTAGTAGTTGTCGAGATGAGACATAGCGCTGCGATTAACGGACAATCGCACCGTAAGGGTTAAGGAATCCTTACGGTGCGATACCTTTTGATACGGATCCTAAAATTACAATGAATGAATTATATTAAAAATTAAACTTACAATTGTAGTCCGTTTTGTAACCATAACCAAATATCACGGCATTGCCCATTCACAAGTACTTGTCCCGGTGGACAATTTGGGGGAACAGTAATCACATTATTAGGACTAATCACATTATAACTGGCATCACTACATTTACCATTCATACACATTTGTCTTGGTGGATAGTTTCTCTGTACCTCAGTATTGTCCCAAATAATATGACAGCGTCCATTTATATATTCGTGACCTGAAGGGCAACCTTTCCATATATCGCGACATTGTCCGTTTATATATTCTTGTTCCGGCGGACAGTTTGGTGGTACTGTAATCACATTGTTAGGACTAATGTTGTTCCATATGTCTCGGCACTGTCCATTTACATATTCTTGACCTGGCGGACAATTTGGTGGCACCGTAATCACATTATTGGGATTATTGTTGGTTTTCCATATGTCTCGGCACTGTCCGTTTACGTATTCTTGACCCGGAGGACAGTTTGGTGGTACCGTAATTACATTATGGGGATTATTGTTGGTTTTCCATATGTCTCGGCACTGTCCGTTTACATATTCTTGACCCGGTGGACAATTTGGTGGCACCGTAATCACATTGTTGGGACCGTTGTTGGTTTTCCATATGTCTCGGCACTCTCCGTTTACGTATTCTTGACCCGGAGGACAGTTTGGTGGTACCGTAATTACATTATGGGGATTATTGTTGGTTTTCCATATGTCTCGGCACTGTCCGTTTACATATTCTTGACCTGGCAGACAATTGGGTGGCACCGTAATCACATTATTGGGATTATTGTTGGTTTTCCATATGTCTCGGCACTGTCCGTTTACGTATTCTTGACCCGGAGGACAATTTGGTGGTACCGTAATTACATTATGGGGATTATTGTTGGTTTTCCATATGTCTCGGCACTGTCCGTTTACGTATTCTTGACCCGGAGGACAGTTTGGTGGCACCGAAATCACATTATTGGGACCGTTGTTGGTTTTCCATATGTCTCGGCACTTTCCGTTTACGTATTCTTGACCCGGAGGACAGTTTGGTGGTACCGTAATTACATTATGGGGATTATTGTTGGTTTTCCATATGTCTCGGCACTGTCCGTTTACATATTCTTGACCTGGCGGACAATTGGGTGGCACCGTAATTACATTATTGGGATTATTGTTGGTTTTCCATATGTCTCGGCACTGTCCGTTTACGTATTCTTGACCCGGAGGACAGTTTGGTGGTACCGTAATTACGTTATGGGGATTATTGTTGGTTTTCCATATGTCTCGGCACTGTCCATTTACATATTCTTGACCTGGTGGACAGTTTGGTGGCACCGTAATTACATTATTGGGACCGTTGTTGTTTTTCCATATATTTCGGCACTGTCCATTTACGTATTCTTGACCCGGAGGACAGTTTGGTGGTACCGTAATTACATTATTGGGACGATTGTTGTTTTTCCATATATCTTGACACTGTCCTTTGATATATTCTTGAGCCGGTGTACAGATTGATGGTACTGTAATTATGTTATTGAGACCATTGTTGTTTGGTGAAACGGTAATTATATTTTTGGGGGTATTGACATGTTCTTTTTTATTGTTGTAAGTTAGATCAGAAGTTTTACTGTTGGCACTTGCGTAATTATTTTTCCATACATCTCGACATTGTCCGTTTACAAATTCCTGGCCAGGTGGGCAATTTGGCGGAACGGTAATAATGTTTTTCGGGGTATTAGTATTTTCTTCTTTGTTATTGTAAAACGGGTCAGACGAAATACTAAGAGCACTTTTAGTAAAATCATTATTTTTCCACGTTAATACGTCTCTGTATTTCCATATATCATGACATTGTCCGTTTACATATTCTTGGCCTTGTGGACAGTTTGATGGTACTGTAATCATATTCTTGGAATTATCGGTGTTTTTCCATATATCGTTTTGAATGACATCACGCGAATTACTGGTGTGTTTTGATACATCATTGTTCTTCCACGTATCGTTCAATATATCGAGACATTCTCCATTAACCCGCACTTGTCCGTCTGGGCAATTTAGTAGAACGGTTTTAATAATGCGTTGATCGATATTTCCATATGATTGGACACAAGAAATTGAGAGTAGCGCCGTAAATGTTCCTAAAATTAAAACCATTATCAGATGGCTGAATATATTACACTAATTATTTGCTTTGTACGTATGAAGTTGATTGGTTCACTACAAGTAAGAAAACAATCGATGCTTTAGAATTGAGTTTATCAATATAAAGGGAAATTGATAAACCTACTTATGACGTATTTGATTAAGACAAAAGTGATAATTTAATATTATTTTACAACATCTATACATAATTGTATAAATACTTGTCCTGAGTAACTGAATCGTCAATATAGAGACTAAGTTGCAGGGGTTAGCAACTAGAAATTATATTAGTATCTATTTATAAATCTTTTCTCAACTTCCAAAAATTAGATTCTCAATTCGCTTGTATTGTATTGTGTTCTTTATATGCTACACAATACATTCACTAATTTTAATTTAGTTATATATTGTGAAAAGAATGATCAAAAACAGTATATTCCCGGATTACTCCCATATTAATATTGTCACGATAAAAGACACTGTTTTGAGTGCCGTTAGGCGGCGATAATTTTTTTAATGAAATTCCTAGGGGCACAGGTGTTAAGGGGTTTCATAATAAAATTTGATTAAATAAATATATTTAAAATTTATGCTTTATGTAATATCCAGAAGATAAAAATTAGTCTAAACTCGATGACGTTACGGCATTATGTTACAAAATATCTATACCACCTTTCGGTTTCATCATTAGAACAGTTTCATGGTAACATAATTTTCATTTGTTAACATACATTTTATTGTATTTATGAAAATCAGATCATAAGGTAGCATCGACAAATGGATTGTAAATGAACTGAATAAACATATGAAAAACCTAGAAACGCAGTAAATTAAATTACAAATGAAAACATTTTAAAATACTGATACGCATTAAAATCTACTAGCAAACCTAAAATAGCCACTTTAGTGATAATAATCAATATTATCGGACAGCTTATTTTAATGTTAGGTACACATTAGGTCTAGTAAACTGTTTGATATTTTTTTTATTGATTAATCTATGTATTTTAAAATGACGTAAGCATCACCTTAACACACTTTTACTTACTATGTACTAATTACCTATTTTACCATAGAATATTTTTTTTTTATGAGGGTGGCGTTTTTTAATTCGCCGTGAAGGTTACTTGTAAATCAAACATTGGAATAAACGCAAAAATACTAAACAAAACCAATTTACTAACTACACTGTATAAATTTATGACCCCATGTTAATTTGAAATTTGTTTGCATCGAATTGAATCACATTATAATATGTACTTCTTTGCCTCCTTATTAAGTACCTAATAATAAACAGTTAATATGTTCTTCATCAGTGATAACGATGCAGGTTTTAAATTCTTTAACGAAAAATAAACGCTATCAATGTTGTTATTAGTTTCGTACATTCTATTTTTATATATACATGAAATATGTAGAGTACAAATATTTTAATACTGGATTAAGATTTCTGGTGGTCACACTAGGCAAAACTGCGGCAGCAAAAAATTGTCGTAAACTGTTTCTGCATCATTGGGAATTCAGGGCAAATGATTAATTACTGGTTGATGTATTACATGATTACATTTATTGTATACAAATACATAACTAAAAGACAGTAATCAAGATTGTGTCCCCCTAAATGACCGAGTTCAATTGTGACAAAATCAATAATTTTGATGTAAAAACTAAAACGATTTTAATAAAATTTTCATGAAACTAACCTGTAAGTATACAGATTCAGATAAAAAAAAAAAATTTACAAATTGGTTTATAACTGATGGAGTTATTAGGTAACAAACAAAAAAAATACGACCGAATTGAGAACTACTTCTTTTTTAAGTTAATTGAAATCATCAATGGTGTGTGAAATAGAAGGTACCTACGTGTGACGAGCATTTCAATAAACTGATAGACGAGTCACGTTCTCTGCAACACACGCAAGAAGTCAGTGACTTCATTGACTCACAAACAACTATTAGTAGCATTTTACAATAACTACAGAGTTAAATATTACTTTATTCTTGTGTCAACAAATTTAGGTACTTATGTACAGTATATATCAAAAGTAAAAAAAAATAGCAAGGACGAAGTTAGAACCCGCATTATTATTTATTGGGAATATAATACTATTACTCTATTGAATAAAATATTTTAAATCTCTAGAATAGAAAATAACGTAATTTATTCGAATGCTCACAGATATGAGAGGAAAAGGGTTTCATGCGGGCATAGATACGACAGATGGCTAATAATACTAGATACTTAGTAAACAGTAGCAATCCGCCTCGGCTTCCTATATAAATACTTCGAAAATGAATTGATTATTGTAAATTAGTACTTAGACCTATAGAAAATTTTTATTCATTTACTGTCACATACTGTCGTAACTTCTAAACGAATGTTCCTTTTCGAATAATTTAAAAAGGAATTAGCACGTATATAATCGACCTTAATTATGAAACTATTTAGTTAGATAATTATTAATATCACGACACAAATATATCTTTTCATATATATCTTTCAATTTTATCCGTAGTTTGAATGACTATTTCGAACAAAAAACGGTTATTGCAACAAAATTATAATAGATATTATTATATGACCTTGCGGACTTTTTTGTAGCTAATGATGAGTACCATAAACATGTAGTATATTATTTTATGTACCTATCATCAATAGTTTTCGTAGCGCATGCTAAATAATAACTTTAATTGGTAAATTTTTTATTATTCATTAATATTGTATTACCTATGTTCGCTATGTTTGTATTTTCATGAGTGTTAAATTATTATATTTAGGTACGATAGTACTATCTATTCGACCGAAAGTCCATAATAAGAATAAGTAGTATATGACCATACAAAAAATGATACTTTTTTATTCTAATCCATGCTTTTAGAGCTGTGCTAGGTAATCAGCTGCCATCTGTTTTTACCATTCATTAAAAGTATAGGTGGCAGTAGACAATTTTTGGCATTGACTGTACTACATGTATAGAACAATGTAAACAAAATGCGTGACGAATATCAAATAATACTTCACTAGGTGTATAATCATAGACGTACTAAGGGTGGGGCATGGGACACTTGTGCTATGTGTTAAGATGTTAAAAAAAAACTTAAAAACAACAACAAAAATTAAGTGTATAGCTTACATAATTATCTAATTACACTCTCCTACTGATTTTATTCTATCTAGAGGTATTTATTTACGATTGTTAGTAATGCAGACTACCGGTTTCATTGCTAGCAATATATCCAGTCAGGTCGACTTTCCCGTGGCCCCCTGGAAAGCATCGTGCTGAATTTCAGGTGTATCACGATGGGCAAAGTAACCAGCGTTTTTATTCTCACCTGTTATTCCTCACTGGTACCCCGCCAGCGTATATCGTTAGTTCAGGCGGGATTACCATTTCATTATCATCCATTAAAAAAGAGCATAATACGTACTTATTCTATATAAGCATATACGTATGTTCATCTAATAAATTAGCTATAATAAAATGCATTTTTTGACACAACAATACTTACTCGAATTATAAAATATTTATGTCGCAGAGTTATGTCACTATAAAAGCAAATAAATAAGCTTTTTTACTTAGTATTTTTATTTTCAATTATTGGCAAATCGAAGGTGTAATATTTATAAGATCAATCTTAATTGGAACTTCATCGTTCATATTGTTAATATCAATCTACCGGGGGAAAGGGATTGTTAATAATGTCGTCTAATAGCCTTATTGCTAGCAATATAGGGTATATTGCTCAGGTCGACCTCCACGCGGTTCCCCCTGGAAATTATCATGGTCAATTCTTGTTGAATTCATCATGGTGGGCTAACTAACCTGCATTCATTCTCACCTATCATATTCCACTGGTGCTTCGTCGATGTATACCGATAGCGCGGGCGGAGTTACCATTCCATTTTCACCCATTAAAAAAAATATCAATCTACAACTATATCAAGTTCTGTAGTCGTTTGATTGATCTCAATGGCCAGATAGTTGGCTCACAGATGTCTGATCATAGATTAATTTTAAGTTCATGTTCAAGTTACAACATTTAACTACGTAAATATATAAAATAAAAGCTTAATTTTGTAATTTGGTAGAATTTATCATTAAATTGTTATATGTTGGTGTTGATATTATGGCTTAACTCTTTGTTTATTACGTTGGGTGTCGTTTTTTTTTTTCATTTGGAAATTAGCTGGGTAAATTAGTTAATTTCCATAATGTAATTTGTTTCAGAAAGTTGTAGTTATTAATATATTTTTTATGCAACTTAGAATGGCTAACAAGCTCATTTGATGGCAAGTAGATAGTAACCGTCGCCTATAGACATGAGCAGTACCATGGATATAACAGAGTATGCTGTTTCGCTCATGATATTTACCCCTCATGCGGGGGAAAAGGATAGTGAGTAATGTGGACTGCCAGTCCATAATAACAATATACTCTGAGGTGGACCTGACTACCTCCACATAGTCCCCCTGGAAAACACAGTGCAGAATCAGTGGTGTATTCATCCCGATGGGTTAATTGACCTCTTTTTTTATCTCACTTATCATCTCTTACTGGTACCCTGCTAGCGTATCCCGTTAGCGCAGGCCATACCATTTTCACCCACCACAAAAAAAAAATGGTTTCGCTACGAAACCTACCTACGTTGGGACCAGAGTTATTAGGTATCTTATCTTGTACTACCTATATAAATGGACAATTAGAATAAATATTCTAATTGTAAAATATTCTAATTAAATATCTAAATGTCATTTTTGACTGATACAATACATCGGTTAAAGAATGATAATGTCTCAACATGGAAGAACCAATTTACCAATTGTCAGTCTTCACAAAGTTCGTCATGATCATTTCGATACCAGAGTAATAAGATAATATCTGCGCAAAATGTAAGACAACTTTGAATTTTTTTGCCGTTGCGATAGAATTGAAATCAAAATATCTACGTATATTGTGTTCCTACCATATTGGGTGAGCTCAATAAATATGACCATAGTTATTGTGACTATAACGACAATACGTATGCCGTTCAGACCCTTAATAATCAATTTTTCCGGTTACTAAGAGTTCATATACAATTACGTACTAAAGTAGAAATAAATTGTTGTCATGAATTTCGAAGACACGTAGGGTGAAAGTGCCATTTGACGACCAGTCAGTGCACTTGTGATCTTTAATATAGTATAACATTTTCCATGGAAAGAATTGTTATTATGTGAAAATATCATTGTAATATAAAAGAATAAACTCCAAATTGGGTATTTATCATTAGTTTTATACCTTTGTAGTATAGTATTTTTTGAAAATATTTTTATTCTAAAAAAAATAACTATTTCTAAGTTTTCAGTTTTTCAGCACATAAAAATATTATTGTTATCCATAATTCGTAAAAATGTGGTCCACATTTTTACGAATTATGAATCATAGAAAAAAAAAGAATGTTTTTAAGACAATTTCATTTGTTACAAAATTAAATATATTATTGCGAGTCTAGTATAGTAGAGTACAGTAAACGGTCAGATGCGAGTTGAACTCACTTTGTACATAAATATACAAGGTTTTTTTATACCATAAAAGTGGCAAACAAGCATACAGACCTTCTGAAGGTAAATGATCATTGTAGCCTGCAACACTAGGGGTGTCACGTGCGCGTTGCCCACCCTGAAGAAACATTAATATACCCTTTTTGAAGGACTCTATACTGTAGTCTCTAGAGAAAACCTCGGCAAAGAGCTTATTCTACAGCCTGAGCGTTCGTGGGGAATATTTCTCTGAAACTGCACTGTACACGACCATTTAGTTTCAAGTGTGTGAGGATAAATTCTCAGTAGATTAATTGGCGAGCGGTGAGATGATAAATGGTGGCTGTAGGCATCATTTCAAACAATTTTAAGTATAAGATAAAATGATCTTTACAACATTTATCGTACGAAGTAGACATTTAATAGTTATTGTTATTCGTAATTTCTTATTTTGGACCATAATTGTGGTTCGAAAATGGACTGCAGTAATTTAATTTTTATGTAAACCTTTATAAACTGTAATTATTTCAGATTTTTTCAGCTTCACCAATTTCGGAGATAAGGGTGGAGGATGGCTTTTTTCCTATATTTTCAATCATAACTATAAAAGAACGCAGTATAAAAATAATTAAAAATCATTTTTAAAATGTATTAATGAAGTCCTTTTAAATAATGCTCCGCGTGCACTATTACGTCCATTATGAAATTTTGAGTACTTCTTTTGGATCTCCTAGCAAAGGAATTATAAATATTTTTCAATTATTTCTATTGCAATATACGAGGGCCAATAATATATAAACTATTTCAAATTATATATTGATAGCATGTAAAGCCTTGTTGCAGACGAACTTCCAAAGTCGCACCATAAGGGTTTCTTGGTACCTTAAACCTACTCTAAAAAAATTACATTCATAATTTTTTTATAAATATGATAAAAATACCTTTTACAATACTGAAGACTAACAAATAGTGTTATTTGTATTATTGAGCTATTATATTCTTATTTAATATTATACATTTTATATTAGTGATTTTGTAGAGATGAATATGTATTACATGTAAACATGTATACTGATACAGGCAAGTAATTGCTAGTCATATTTTGAAGTTATTCATCGTTACAAAAACTAGTAAAACTATTTATTTTGATTTTCGTGCCCGCTTTTGTATTAACTAGCTAGCTTTTTTAGAGCTAGACTAGTTAGACTTAAAAATATGTTTTAATTAGTTATTTTGCAGTAAGAGTGAATCTAAAAGTGTTCTAAATTACAAATTAGCATTAGAACTTACTGAGTTATAGTAGTACCTATAGATTAGATGGACACGTCACATAATTTTACTACGGTGTAACTTAGGCGCGGACTAAGTTACGCCGAAATAAAATGATAAGTGTAAGCTTTTATAGACCGTTTCTATAGACTTTTTAATTGGATAAGAATAGTTTATTCCTGAATTTTCCTTACATTACTATAGTTTACGTAGTCTTACTGATAGAATTCATTAAAATAACTTTTCTCTATATTCATATCTAAATATTGGAATAACTGAAATTTTCTTGAATTTTCATTGTCACGTAGTTAACAAATTTAGTATTTAAGAAAAAGTGAAAGAAATGAAATTGGGCATAATTAACGTTTATATTGATGATATTTCGTTTCTTCATTGTGCTTCGCAACGCCCCCAGCGTCAAAATTTTTATTGATCCACGAAAGTCAACAACGATTGCGTGGGTAACCCTGGGTTACATTTATATCAAGGCAGGTCACAGTAGCTTGGCTACCTATAATAACATCTATGTCGTAGAGCGCAGTGGGGTGGGCGGCCTCCAATCAACTTCATTCTAATAACATAACGTTCTAGAAAGAGATACAGACAGTACTGGGCAACTGTTCATACAACAGTTCCTAGTTCTGCGTATTAACAAGAGAACGATTTTAGTGCAAGAGTTTTAAAACGACTATTTTTATGTGAAAATGAAGATTGTAAATATGGACAAAAAATACGTTTATATATTATTTTTATTGTGTACCTTAATATGTGTGGAGTGCAGAAAAACATCAAAGAGTCGTTCTTCTGGGTCAGGCCGTGGTTCGAGTAGAAAAACAAATAGCAATCCGCAGCCTGCTCCAACATCTTTCAGCTATTCACAACCTGCATCCGCACCGAAGCCTACATTATTTGGATGGCAAGAAAAGCCTGCTCAAAAGAGTGCTTCGACATGGCAATCGAAAACATCCAATAGTCAAAGCCATTCTTATCCTTCAAGTCAAACAGGACTGTCTGGTAATAAACCTAAGCAGCCACAAACTTATCAAGAGAGTATTCAAAGAAATCAAGCGCCTCAACAATCTCGACCGATTTCTCAGACTAATACTAATAGTCAATCAAGCCATTCATATCCTTCATCCAACGGCCTATCAGGTAACAGCGGTTCGGGAGCAAGCTATCCTCAAGGGACTGGTTTGTCAGGTTCAGGAGTAGCAAAATCTCCTAGTTCCGGTGTCGGATATCCACAAGGTAGTGGATTATCGGGTTCTGGTTCAGCGTACCCTCATGGCAGTGGCGTAGAAGCTCAAAGATCTGGATCTGCTGGATATGGCGGTGCACCTCCTCCATATCCTGGATATAAAACCAGAGACACAAATCGCCCCTATAACGGAGGGAATTATCCTGTGCAAAATTATGGCAATAATTATCAACATGGTCCACCGCAAGGGCCACCACCTCCATACCCTCATTATGGGTCCAATTATGGAGGATATGGAGGTCATGGTTTCTATAATCAGGCTCCGCAAGCGCCTGGTTATTTTGGAAATTATGCCAATTATGGTAAAGGCTTTGGAGGTGTAAGCCGTACAAGTAGCGCTCTTAAAGGCGTCGGTATCGCTGGTGCTGGTGTTGGCACCTTGTTGACAGGACTAGCATTATGGAATTTAGCACGTTCTACTGGTCGTCATCATCACACTGTTATATATGACAATAGGGGGCAACCTGTAGCAGTAGCTCCTGCTAATGATACATCATCTCCTGATGATTCGTTCTTAAAAGATTTAGTTAACTGCAGTCTTACTATAAGTAATGAAAATACAACGGAAGTGTTAGCTATACCATGTGCTATAGCATCGTCATTTTCCCCTGAAGCTGAAGTGAAAGATATTGGAACTGGTGATAGTAAAATAGATAACACAAAATGTATAGTCACGGTAGTAACAAACACTGGTAAAGAATATATGACAACAATTCCTTGTGCTACACTTCTTAATACTGCTGCAGAAAACAATGTTACAGAACCACCTCTCGATAGCAATATCATGGAAGGTGTTAATAACACAATGGCTTCTGGTGATGCATCGCTTTCAAACCAACCTGCAGCTCTTAGCCTTTCTAGTGGTAATGTAGAAATGAATAGTACACAATCTGGAATAAATTGCACACCTGAGCCTGGTAATGTTAGAGATCCAATTAATCCTTGTTTTGCTGTAACTAGTGATTTAACAGTGATTCCAATACAAACCTCAGATAAACCTATAGAAAATGTAAAATAGAGAAATTACCTATCTACAAAATAAGCAAGAATTCGGTAATTGTTAGGTATTATGGTTTAGGTTATTTGCTAATAAAACTGTAATTTTGTGTACGAATTTATCTAAGGAATTTCTAATAACCTATGTAATGTTAAATGGTACAGTTTACATTACATACATTACATTTTGCGCTATTAGAAGATTTGATCTATTATATATTAGGTATATTTATAAATGATTATATATATATTAAAAAAATGTGATGTATACTTTAACGAAAATATTTTTTTTTGTGTGAAATGTTTTCATTAACAAAAAACCTACTTAGTATTTTGTGAGTACCTAACAACTGCACTCAAACATGTTGTATTTTGAAGTACATTAAACATAATAAAACACTGTGTGAATTATTAAATTTTCATTTACTTTATTTGTTGTATGAATTTGCGTAAGAGCCAGATAACATCAAATTCATCAATTGTTGTTGTTTTTTTTAATAGATAATATTGGAATGGTAACCCCGCCTGCGCTATCGGTATACACAGGTAGAGCACCAGTGAGGTATGACAGCAGGTCAGTTAGCCCATCGTGATGAATAAAACAAGAATTAATCACGATGATTTCTAGGGGGAACCGCGCGGAGGTCGACCTGAGAGGGCTTGCTAGCAATGGGACCATTGGCCCCCATTACTAATAATCCCTTTCCCCCCCATCAATTGTTGTAGGTCTATCTAGGTATCTAAAATGAGTATGAATGCAGGAGGGATTTTTAGTAATGAAATCCAGCAATCAAAACTTTAATAATGTAAAAAAATTAACACTGACAATTTGATATTAGACAAAAAAATATAAAAGATAAAAAGGTTAGTTTCCAACAGGAACTAATGGCTAGATACCCATGTCGATTGTCATATTCCTGGTGAATTCGTTACGACTGATCGATAGACCAGAGAGTCGAAATTTCAAGCCAAACGAAACATAAATTTGATGTTTAAATTATATAATATATACTGATTAAAAATATTAAAAATGTTAAAATATTGTTTTTTGGATTATTATGATATAATTTATGCCCAATAAAATATTAAACTCCATTTACTGGATTGATTTCGGTACGAACAAAAACACGAAATTGATCCCGAAAATTTGTAATTTCATTTCATGGTAGACCCCTTGATTTCATCTGTCAATATTCAAAGCACATTTTGTACAATTTTCAATATTTTTGATTTTAAAAGTTCCCTGATAGTACAAATAAAATGTTAGTACAATTAAAATGTTAGTCGACTGCACCTAATAAAAACTGTGTGCAATTTAAAATTCTTTTGCTATATAAATCCAAATCTTTAGTCGTAGCTTAGATTAATAACATGCTGCCGGAGGATCAGGTCGTAATTGTAGGTGAGGATGAAAGCAAATCAGTTGGTCCATCTTGACTAAATTATCAAGAATTAACAAGAGAGGCGCCCTCACAAAGTATATTACTGGAAATGGAGACTAACATCTACATTATTAACAATTGTTTTCGCCCAAGCATGTATGTTTTTTTTTTTAATTTTTTTAATGAAAATGGAATGGTAATTCCACCAGTGCTATTGGTCTTAGTTATCGGTAAACGCTGACGAGTTACCAGTGAATATGAAGGTGAAGATGAATACAAGTCAGTTTAGTAGTGAGAACCGCGTGGAGGTCACTTGACAGGGTACATTGTTAGCAATGGGAAATAACCTCCTCATTAGGTACTGACAATGTCTTTCTCTAAGCATACATACATGTTATTATCAATTGAAAATTGCAATTTAAATCCAAATCGCAATTTATCTACTTAGATTATATTTATCTACTTATAGGGGTGATTCTCTGTAAACTCGTAATCGGCTGTCCCGACTGTTTTTTTCAAAAAGTAGTATAATTACTTTCATAAAAATCATTTCTAATGAAACTTTAACCCCAAAAATTTACGGGCCCATTGTTTTTAGAACCATAACTATTTTAATTTTTTTTCTAGAAATGATTGAAGCTCTAAAAATACAGTCCCCTAGCTGTCCCCATCACTGAGAAACGAGATTTATGAAGAAGTTATTGAAACTACATACATTTGGCAGTTAACATAATAAGAAAAAATATAAAATTAATATTATTTTGTAAAACAAGGTCTCATTTTCTATTATATTAGTAAACACTTGTAAACTTTGTAGAATTTCCATACAGTCCCCTGCCAAAAATTTAAATCCATATTAAAAGAAACTGTAATATTTATAAAAGTTTTTTGTAATTATTGTTAAATTTTTCGAGACACCATTTTGTTTAGCGTCAGAACTTCATTTTAAGGTGAATACGCGTTTGGTCTGGTACCACACACAGTCCTCTGGTAAGTAATATTATTTATATGATAATTACTTTAATAATCGCTATATAGTTTATTGTTTTATTATTTATGCCTAAATTGATAGGCAGGTTCTTAAAAAACTATTTTACATCAGTTTTGTAAATAAAATGTTAGTCGCAACAGTCCCCAGCCTGAAAATGCAGCAGGGGACTGTTTTAAACAAAAACTGTGTGGTGTTTTTATATATTGTTTAAATTTATAAGTATCATTGCTTTGCATTATTTTCCTTTATAAACTTATTTTATACAGGTCGATCAAACATCATGATATTGTTTAAAAAAAAAAAAAAAAAAATCAAGGGGAACTACTATAAAAAATAGAGAAGCAGAGCAACTACGATACAAAAGAAGAAAAAATATTCTGAAATGAGAAAACAAATAAGAGAAAAGGAGAAGTTGAAGTACCAAAAGAAGAAAGAAAAAGGTTTGTGAAAATTAGTAATGGTCATCTTGTGAGTACAGAGCTGCCTTAAAGAAGTGAAATGAATATTGTACTGTATGAGCCAAAAAACTAAGACTGAAAAGCGTCACTAATAATTTTGTACGAGAAAATACACCGTTATCAGATCCAGAAGCAGATACTTTGTCTACAAGACCCGCCACTCTAGTTCCAGTTCAAATATCTTTCCAGTACTAGTCTACAGCAAGAGAGTATTAGAACAACAAAAGAAGTTTAACAGAGAAATAAATAAATAAATCGCACGTTTATATTTACAACTTTATGACTAGAAATATGAAGAAGCAGAAGAGATATCTTCTTGATACAGTTTTTAATCTTTATAAAAAGTTTATTACTGGGCACATAAAAATTAGCTACCAAAAATTTTGCCGACTCCGTCCATTTTTTTTCAAAACCACGATACATGTCTTTGCATAGTTCATAGTAACATAGACATGAAGCTCAGCGCACTTCATACTAATTGACTTACAACAATCACCAAAAGTTGCTGAAAGATCTATGTTGAGACCGATATAATGTTAATTGTTTGGCGAGATCATGTCATACTCGCATTGATAAAAACCCGAAATATAAACAAATTGATGACAGAAAGGATATAAAATGTGGATATCTGAAATTCAAGATTTTAAGACTAAATGGAACCGACTGGTGACTAAATATTTGAAAAAAACATTTGGATATCCATCCATCATAACACATTTACAGACAGATTTACACAAATTTTTTATCACCACCGAAATATTGTTCACCAATATAAAACAGTGAATAATTTAAAGTCAAATCTACAAGATGATGAAGTTCTGATCCACGTAGATTTTAGCGAGAATTATAGCACTAAATACGCAAAAGAGATACAGAACTTTCATTTCGATGGATCTCGAGCACAATTGAGCCTGCATACCTTAGTGGTTTACCTACGAAATTCCATTCTTTCTTGTTGCACAGTCTCCGAGAACATAGCCCATTCATCTGCTGCTCTTTGGACACATCTACGACCAATTTTCAATACTCTTCCATGTGGCATCGAACGAGGGCATTTCTTGAGCTATGCCCTATAACAGTCCCCTGATACCTCATACAGTCCCCTGTCATGATTTTTTGAAAAATCGTTAATAACTCGGAAAATACGTATAAATTCAGTGGGCCTCCTTATCTAATTAAAATAGTAGTTAATTTTCTTATACGACACGGTTTTTTGGCAAATGGCAAAAATAATTGTCAGGACAGCATTTGTATGGGACCTGTACGAGCTTACAGAGAAATACCCATAGAAGGAATAAGGATAAGCAAGCTGAAGTGGCAATGGGCTTGTCACATAGCTCGATGAACCGACAATAGAAGGGGAAGAAAGGTTCTTGAGTGGCGACCCCGTACGGGCAAACGCAGTGTAGGATGACCCCCCACTAGATGGACTGACAACCTGAAATGCATTGCAGGGAGTCAATGGATGCAGGTGCTCAGGACCATTCTTTATGGTAATTATTGGGGAGGCTTATGTCCAGCAGTGATGGAATAATCGCTGAAATGATGATGATGACATATAGTTTTTGTTACTATCAAAGTTATTAATAATTATCATAATAGTAAATTCTGTACTAGATCAAAGATTAATGTAAGATTGGTTAGTAGTTTGCAGTGTATGTCAAATTTTTGTTCATTTACATTACTAGATTAAATATTCGACACAGTTTATATAGAAAGTATGCAAGCAAGATGTATCTGAATTTGGTAGGGTTATATGACCTAATAAATTTTTTTATACACTAGCCTGCTATGAATTAAGAAAAATAGCAATTGATGGTGTATCTTTCATTCTCTTTTTACTAATTATATTTGCATAAGAAAAAAGGAGGCAACCATATGATTTACAGTTTTTATTTTATTATTCCTTCTATGCAATTCTTTGTTTTTAGGTAATAATAGATGTTCACCGTTCCCGTCATTTTTTTTTATTATTATGACAGAAGGTTTTTATCTTTAATCTATGACACCAATATTAGATTGTGACGCGGGCGAGATTATCATTCTATTATTATCCATTAAAGAAAAAAATGTGAAGCGAGTAATCACTAATTTGTAAGGTATTAGCCTATTATTTGTTATTTTTATACTTATTTCGATTAGTATTTTCTTTGCTTTATATATCTTTATGTAAGTGTTTTTAATATTTGGCAAAAGGGTACCTTTGCTTATTATGATACTAACAAACAGGGAATGAGATGAGATATTAAAAAGGAATTGCTCTCAATATATCCTATCACGTCGACCTCCACGCGGTTCCCCCTGGAAACTATCGTAACTAATTTATCGTTCAATTCGTTACGATGGGCTAACTGACCTGTCTTCATCCTCATCTATTACAGGGCAGGGTTCCGGTGTATACCAATAGTGCAAGCGGGGTTACCATGCCATTTTCACATATTAAAAAAAACTGTAGTTCTCTATGACAGCTAGCGATGACTAACTAGTCGAAATTTTAATAACTTAACTATCAGACTATTTATAAGGTAAAAGCTGGCTAAATAGCCAACTATTTGGCTATCAGCTATTATAAGAAATACTCATTATAATCAACTCAATAGCGAAACGCTTAGCGTTAGCTATTTAGTTGAACAACTGCCAGTTGCACCACGTCGGATTTGATTCTCAACGCAGCAACATAATGTTAGATAAGGCGATTGTATTTTTTTATTAAACAAACTGTTTTGTAGTCATTATTATGTCAGGTATATCCATTAGTAAATATTCTTTTAATTTTAGTTATAGTGGTGCCACCTATGTAATGAGTTAAGAAGCTTTAGTTACATCAACCATAATCAAATAGACCATCTCAAAGTTTAAGTTTATAAATCATAGATGTCACTAACTCTTATTGATATTTTTACAATATTATTTTTTTATTATAAAATATACTCGTAGTAATGACTATAATATAGTTTTTTGCAAAAAAAATTAAATAAATAAAAAAAAACAAAATCGCATATTGGATTATCTAATTTATTTGTTACTGCGGTTAGGATTGAACCCGACGCAATGCAGCCGGGCAGCTATGCTGCTAGCCACGACAGCTCCCGCGGCTATCAGTAGCCGATAGCCGCGGCAGCTATCGTAGCCGACGGGTAAAGGTAGTTGTTGCCAGTTGACTATTAGTAGGCTATAACCAATAGCTGTCTATGTCGATAACAAATGAACTAGCCGCGGCTATTCTTTGCGTAACCGCTATATAGCTGGGTATTGGTATAGTTACCCATCGCTAATGACAGCCGGTGACAGATGACAGACTTCACCATAGATTAAGGATAGGCTTAACAAATCATATGCAAGTTTACTTTTTATGTCATATTCTCTGTACTATTTTTTAACACTGTTTATTTTAAATATACTTATATTAGCTATGTATGATTTATATGTTCTTATACATTATTTATAAAAGTTTAAAAAGTGAATTTTATCGTACTTTTTACAAAATTAAGTTTTTTGTTTTATTTAAAGGAGTGAAGTCGGTAACTATAAAATTTAAATATAACCAGGTGGACTGAAGGCATAACATCTCATCTTGATCTCTTCGAATACATTCCTTTTAAAAATAACCAATATCACATTGGCAAAGTTACAAACTTCATGGTGTACATTAGTAAACTTCTAGCAATATTTATGTTAGCATTTATTAAGTTATAAAGTAACTTATTAAAATGTCGGATCCTACTATTCAAACTTTCTGCTGTCATCATACTGGTAACGATGAAGATTTAGCAGTAAGGATAATGAATGAATTTAATACTGATTCTTATAATGCAGTTTGCCTTGTCTCTTCATCAGTTGGAATATTAGGATCTGTGTATCAGGTACTGTATATAATTAATAATTGTTAATGCATTCAGGTTTCTAACTACCTACAAAGTTAAACAATTTTATTATAGATTTTTCCAGGCATTTTATCAGGAGGTCCACAAAGATGGCAGACACAGGGTTCTATACGTGGCCGGCATATTATAATTTGGTTGGCAATTGCAGATCTATTTGCTTCTTTTGGTAATAATAACATTCAAATAAGAAACCCTTTCATAGCCACATAATAATAAGAATTTTAGGTTTTACACCTGATTCTCTTTTTAAAATGGTTAGGTTATTAAGAACTGAAATTATTTATGTAAATTATATCATTTCATCTAAAACTAAAAATTTGCACTACAAGTATAGCTAATACTTAAGAATTTATAAATAGTTTTTTGTTTGTACTATGGGATTTAATTAATTTTATTCCACATGAGCTCACAGCAATAGATAGTGTTTGATAATGATTATTAATAATATATTAGCCGGTAACTGTCTTCTGTTGAACAAAGGCCTCCCCTATAAGTGGAAATTTGCCAGTAGTTGCTTTGTTGATGTTTTAAGAGGGATGCTGCTGTCTATACCTCAACCATTAAGTTCCCTTAGTTACAATTTACAACACTTATGTTAAAAGTAGGAGTGTTTTATGTTAAAACCACATAGCAATATAATAATTAATATAATTTTTTTAAGATTGATTTTTAATTGCCATAGAAATATTTTTATATGTTTAATAATATGTAATCTTATACTATTAATTTTCCTAGAAGTATATAAATTTATTTGTAATGTTCACAGGTATTTTGCTGCGTTCTGCATTGTGGTTACAGTACAAAAATATTATGCCAATGCCAGATGATGATGTGAGTGTGTTGTTTTGCAGCATAGTATCTGTAAGTGTACCTTTTTAAACTTATAAACCATGGTAAATCTAATCATATACCTTCCAGTGAAATTAAATAAACAGCAAATGTTTCAGGCATGGACACAATATTTTTATACAGCAACATGGTTCTGGACATTATTTTATGCTATAGATACATGGTTCACTATAAGGGGACAGGATTCCTATATATTCGTTTTTCATTTACTTGCTTGGAGTATACCTGTGGTTACTACTGGTATAGGATTATCTATATTGTATTTTCCAGATGCTACGTAAGTATATAATGGTAATATATTTTTTTTTAATGGGTGAAAATGGAATGTTACCTACCCTTGCTATCGGTGTACATCGATGAGGCACCAGTGGAAGATGATAGGTGAGAATGAATGCAGGTCAGTTGGCCCACCATGAATTTGACAAAAATTAACCATGATGGTTTCCAGGGGGAACCAAGTGGAGGTTGACCTGAGAGGGTATATTGCTAGCAATGGGTCTATTAGACTTCATTACTAACAATCCCTTTCCCCCCCAATATTTATAATGTATATTATTATTATTTCAATAATAATAATAATATACATAATAAATATTAAATAATTATTTTATAACATTACAATGAAGGGAGATTTCGATTCGGAATTTTTCGAGAACGTATGTGTGCGTACGTGCGTGCGTGCGTGCGGGCGGGCGTGCGTGTGTGCGAGCGTGCGTGCATGCGTGTCTTTTAAAATATATATTATTTAATTAAATAGTTATTGATTTTAGGACAATTTTTTTTCAGATGTCATAATTTAACTTCAATTTCAAGTGCACTCTATAAAATTTTACCAAATTATTGTGCCACATACATACCGATAACTATAGTAATGATAGTGAACCCAATTGTATATGTGTTAGCTGGGAAAAATGTGGAAATGGCAGTTGCATTACCTTTAGCACAGGTAAGAAAATAAAAAAAAATCTAATATATGATGGGGATGATGAAACCTTTGTTATAATTTCTATGAAAGTGAGAATTTGGAATTATGCTAAGCTTTCAGAAACAGGTAGTTTTCGCATATGAATTACTAGCTTTTTTATATGGCTTCGCTTGCGTGTGGTATTTTATTGCAGAGTCATTTTTCCATCTTATAAATTATAGCTGTTGCCCGCAACTTCGTCTACATGGAGTTCGGTTATATATTGCAAATCCCTATTGTATATCTTTCATCCCATTAAAGGTAAAAATTTGAAAAGTAAGATCCATAATTTCTAGTTTCAAAAATACCAGATTTCTATACAAAGTCCAATTCTCTCTTTCAATCCTCTAGACAGTAGACTTAGTAGTGAATTTATATAAATCTTGGAACACATACCTACTTTTTTTTAATAATAATGATATTTATTTCTACCACAATGGCACTTCATTTATACATTTTACAAAATAGAATATATTTTGCCACTTTCAATGGCAGTCTATATATATATAGACTGCCATTGAAAGTGGAGAGAATTCGTACTAGGATACTCTGTGTTACGGTATTCTAGCCCATATTCTGTTTTATAACCAATAGCTGATATAGACACTAGTTTGCGTTTTTACTTGCTGAAAATCCCATTTACTGTGGCTTCACATTTTCAAAACACGTCTATTACCATCTCCAAAATATAGGGATCCTCGGCGTGGACATATCTACATACACTGTAGTTACGGGGTCATCTTGAAGATAGGGTTAAGCTGGTGTTCAAAAAGCTTGGGGTGCTCAATAGAGCAAAATAGTACATCACTCCGAAACAATAATAGTCTATTATTGTACAAGTGGCAAGTCCGGCCTTTTATGGAGTACTGTTTTGACCTATAGGCTGGAGCTCCTGGATATCAGCTTGACCCTATTGACTCAGTTCAAGATGAACTATGAGAATAGTCGACGATCCCAAGTTCACACGCGGCATCGACCCCTTTAAAACTAAGGGAGACTTTGCCTCCCTATGTGTATACCGTTAATGCTTGTATAACGGGCCACGGCCCACACCCACTTTTTGTTATTGTGCCGCTCGCCATCGATAGGGAATTTATCACACATTGAACGACATTGAACTTAAATTGTCACACACAGTGCGGTTTTCTACCGCGAATGCTCAAACTGTGGAATGAGCTGCCTGCCTAGGTTTTCCCTAGAGACTACAGTATAGGGTTCTTTAAAAAGGGTATATTAAGGTTTCTTCAGGGTTTACAACACGCATGTGACACCCCTAATATTGCAAGCGTTCATAGGCTACAGTAACTGTTTACCATTAAATGAGCTGTATGCCACCTTCATAGTATAAAAAATACAAAAGGGAAGAATTCTCAAAATATGTTGAAATAAGATTCGTTTTTAATCAATAGCCTAAAAACAAACTTCTGTATTTTTAACTTCTAACATAACAGTATTTCTATATAAAGTTTCAATCCCCATTTCATCCATTTAGAGTATATATATATATATATATTAAAATATAATTAAATCCTCGGGCATTTAGGGTATTTCAGGGAGTAACAGTTTATAGTGTTAGAAATTGTTACACCTCAATACTCTATATCATCATCATCCTACCTTTATTCCAATTATTATTTGGGGTCGGCGTAGTATGTTTTTATACATATTACAAAAAGATTTGGCTTATAGTTTTACGACCGGCCGCCTGCCTGACGTCAATCCTCTTTGGGAACCTCAATACTCTATATATGACTTATAAATCTACACTTTAGAAGTATAACATATCTGTATAATTAGGGCTGTTATTTGTTAAAAATTCAAAAATTCAAAATTCAAAAATCATTTATTCAGTGAATATGTCTACTCAATTGAATTACTTTTTTTTTTTAGTTAGTTAGTGAATTGTCTACCCTTGTTTTTTTTCAGTTTACTAGTAAGGAGAGAAGAATAGTAGACACATTGAGATTGAAGTTTTTTCTCATAAATGTGGTTTTTTATGTTTGTTGGTTGCCAAATCTCGTAAATGGTGTATTGATTTGGACAATGTGGTTTAAGATGCCAGTAAAAGTTATAATTATTATATGGTATATAATGGTATGTATTATGAGCTTATAGTAAGGGTAAACTGTATCTATAATAAAAATATGAATATTAGAAATAAATCTCATGGTCATTATCTCGTATTGTAATCTAAATTTAAAACCAAGCAGAACTTATAGTGCTATACTTAAATACATTTTTTATTTTTATAATACATAGAAAACACTCAGAACAGTACAAATAGTCTCAAACATGGATACAAATATATATAATATGTAGAGTGGTTTCAAACCTGTAACCATTGAATGACAGTGTAGGTAAACTGCTACATCACCAAGAGTATAATTGTTTTAATTATGGTCATAGTTTTAATAGTAATATTTTATCGAATAAAAAATATGGTTAATTACATTACATTGTTTTATGTGCATGTTTATAGGATATTTTCAAATCTGAAGCGATTTTGATGATTTTCAATTACTTTTTTACTCATTTATTGTTCCTATATTAATATCTACAACAACATAACAATATAAACAAATTATATAATTTGTTTCTTCATAACTACGATTAGGTGCAATACTTTTAATATTTCAATTGATGTAAATAATTCAGAGTACCTATTGTGACTTATACCAAATGTTGACGTTATGTTGATAAATTTTGTATTTACTGTCAAATATTTATTCACTGCGACTCTAGCTGATAGTTTTGGAGACTTAAAATACCATACAACTTATCGAGATAAATGCAATAAATAAATAAAAAAAAAAATGGTTGTGCCATGTCCTTTTGATAGTAAATTATTTTTACAGGCATTTTTAAATCCGATGCAAGCTCTATTTAATGCCCTTGTTTATCGGAAATGGAATAAGAATACAAGAGGTATTAGTTCTGTTTTTCAAGTAACACCAAAAGAATGTGACTTTTATGATGAACAATCGCCATTGCTGGGCTCGGAGCCTTCTCATCTACAATTGGCGCTCACACCACCTGCTATAAATAATTATGCTACTATTTGATAATTCTCATGTTTTTAATTATGCAACAATTTTAGTACAATAAAATGTGATAAGTAATACACAGTATTTAATAAGTTTGTATTAGTGAAAAATTGAATTGTTACTTATTGATGTTTTTAATTTATATGAAATATACATTTTTAAATACTTATTCTAATTTTTGTCATTGTATACAGTATCAACCTAAGAACTATACCATATTATTGTTCATGTCTATCGGAGACTGTTGCCATTTTCCATCATGTGGACTAGCACTTGTACGCCATTCTTTTTTTTTTTTTATACAACATTATTATTTATTTTATGCAGATGTATCAAAAAATCTAACAAAAACCTTTTGTCTATATTAATATTATTTTGGATTAATTAAAAATATCCTTTTAACGTAGCATTATATCTGTATTTTGATCCTCAAAAAAGCGACTTCCATCATGATAAATGACTATAGGAGACCTAACATTAAAAATATTTGAATCTAGAAAATGAAATCTCGTGTTAATAACTAGAGTTTGCTTCATTAACTAAAACGAAAGCTTTAAATATCATAAAATATGTAGTATTAATTACAAAAAGAATCTCTAAAAATCCATTCAGTTCAGCATTTATAATTTTTTTGCAAACAAGCATGCGGCTCACCTGATGGTAAGTGACTACCGCCGCCCATGATCACCCACAACACCAAAGGCATTGCAGGTGTGCTGCTGGCCTTTTATAAAGGAATATGCTCTTTTGGCATAATTGTTAAGTTTCAGCTTATCCTGTATCCATTAATCTTGACAATCGATTTTGATGCTTGTATAATTGTTATGATAAGAAAGGTATCTACATAGATGTATCAGACAATAAGATTTATAATGAGAAAGATAATTTTATTTTATAAGTATTTATACAATTTGCTTACTTAACAAATTAACATTTAAATAGCTAGATAGTAGCTATTGCTATCACATAATTATACTTGCATCATGCTCATTTTCCGGTGGGGCCATAGTCAAGTCTGTAACATCTTTAACAATCATGTGGGCAATTTGCCATGCCATTTCTTCTTCAACTTTAGAGGTAGCCACTGGTACGAATCGACTCACCATTTTTTTTAAAACTGATTTGTCCTTCTTGTCAGGATCAGGCTCAAACTTAGACTCAAATCTACCTAAACTATTAACTCTTCCAAGACTTAATCCATCATGCCTTTTTCTTTGCCACAAAGCATCTGCATTATAGAGTTGATTAGAATCTATTGTCATGTCAGGTACAGAAAGATTGCGTTTCTTTTTTCGAAAAACTGGGTCTCCCATAGCGAGCAAAGTATTTTGAGTACTAATACTAATTTCACTGCTACAATCCGATTGAGATTTGTGATTTGATGACCATGTTTGGTCCACTGAATGAACCATCTCTGACAAATATTTATAATACAATTCAGACTCGAAAAATGTTTTCACATATTTTCTGAGTGTATTGAACACTATTTGATAAGATATATCAAAACATGTATGCAAAGGTCCCCCTTCTCTACAAATATTGCTTTCGATTTGCAATCTAATATCTGTAGGAAATCCTACAGGACTAATGGCCTGCAGTGAGAAATATTTGTCATACAAAACAATAGCATCAGTTTGTGCTTGATCAGGATTTAAACTGTTACCATTCATTAAATTATCTCTGAAATGTGTAACAGCCATCAAAAATTCTAATAAGATCGTACAAGATTCTTGCTCCAAATATTCAGTAAAATAGAATAATATTGTGTCATTATATAAAATATCTATAAGGTCGAGAGAGCCACTTGTAAGTATATCAATCTGAGCTTTTATATAGTAAGGGCTGTTTAAAAAATCATTAAAATAATTATTGTCAATTTGATTGAATATCACTTCCTGTATTGGTTTAAAGCAATCTTCTTTTATTCTGCCTTCAGGATCACATATATTTGAAATAACAGATTTTCTTAAGCTATCAGGTAAGTCTAAGTGATATGGCGCTTCTAGTGCCACATATTTTTTGAATAATTCTATTGCTACTTCTGTCAAATCTGATATTTTTTTATTTTTTTCACACACTTCACAATTTACTGAGTTTTCATATTCAGCTAAATTTAAACAAGAACTCGTTGAATAGTCACTCTTTCTTCTTGAATCACTAGAACACATATAATTTTCATTTTTTTCCTTATATTTTTGTGTCATAAATTCTTTTTCCTTTTGTAATTTACACTTACATTGAAAATCGAAACTCTTAGCTCTACTGATTTTTGTATGGTTTTCTGTTTCTATAGAGTGATTTGTATAAGTGTTTGATACCATTGTTTTAAAATTATCTAGTTCCAACCAACATTTTATTAATAAATTCTTACCAATTGTTTCCATAAACAGTATAAAATGTTTTATAGATCTTTTTTCAATGAGTATGTCATGTAAATTTAAGGATAACTTTGATTTCTTAATAAATATATGTGATTGATCTGAAAATAATTGGTAAAATATATTGTCAATTCTCTTTTTAAAAATCAATTAATAATTAAATATTCTATGATACAAATTGTCGTACCTTGGTTTTCGTCTTTTAATTGCGTGTCTAAAGATGGTCCGAGATTAGTATTAGTCATAGAGCTGGTACTGGGCTCTGGAGGTCGCACAGGACAACCAGATTTGCCTTTCGCTGTAAAAATATTTATGTGATTATGTATAACATTAGCGATTGTGTTATGACGACAACATGAAAAAATAATAGACGATCCAAGTTTCTATATCATCATACCTGCGCTTTTCCAAAACTTAATCATTTCTTCGTAATTAGGCTGTTATATGTATGTAATAAAGCTATTGATAACTTCGAAAATAAGCTATGTAAATTCCTCATAGGTGGGCTTTACGATCATAAATGTAAACAAAAATAATGTACGAAAAGAAGACGACAGATGACAAAAACAAAATTTCGCAAATTGTTTCGGATCACATTCGTGATGATAATGACAGTGACAGAATAGTTGACAGCGAGCAGTTTTTTAGTAATGGCTTTTATTGCTCTGGGTTCTTAGGAATAAAATTCTTTTTTAATAAATAAAAATGGAATATTTACAGACGGGGTACCAGTTATAGTATATTAATGCAGCGGCCAGAAACTGAGGCATTGATGGACGAACGTGTAAATGTGGGCCGAAGCGTAGCCGAGGCACATATACGTGAGTCCATCAATGCTTAGTTGTAGCCAAGGTTTGTTATAGTACTTTTCTCAAACAATGCGCGGAAATCAAAAACACAATTTTACTTTTAAAATTCAATGACGAATAACGAACAATAAACATTTTTCACACGCCATAATGTTCCTTTGTTTTTTTTTCAATAAACAGCTTTCTATTAACAAGCCAGTTCGAAATTTAAATAAAACCTTTTATTAGTTACCTCCTTGGTAGTCATGTTACGAAGTAAAAGGTCATTCCATTTTTAAATTACAGGACAAATTTGAGTTTACATAGTAATTTATCTGGCCGCAAAACACGATAGATGTGGATTTTCATATAACTTTTGCCGGCCGCTGTCCGCATGTATTTGGCCAGTAGGGCAATTTTGATTTATTTCTAGATTGTCAAAATAATGCTCACATTTCTAAGCATGTTTGAGAAAAAAAAAAAATAGTTTAGTTGCCCCAACGTCTTTGAATAAAAAAATAAATGTGTGGAGGATGATTTAATAGATGATAATGGATTGGTAGCCCTACCTGCGCTAACGGTGTACGCTGGCGGAGTACTAGTTAAGGATGTTAAGAAAGAATGAAAAGGCAGGTCAGTTAGCCCATCGTGATGAATATACTTGGAATTGTTGTGCGTAATGAAACGTGAATGAGTAAAAGTAATAGATATATATATCTCTCTCGCCCCTCCTTTCGCAAGCGCCGATCATGCCGGATGCGTCTCTGTAAGTCTTAATAAAATACATTCATTATAAATATAGTCCTGTTGTTTTTACTTCAATAACCTGTTCCCAACATCAGCAATTCAGAACGATGGTTTCCAGGGAAAACCACGTGAAGGTCGACCTCACAGGGTATGTATCTAGCAGTAGGACTGATAGTCTGCATACCTAACAATCCCTTCCCCCCAGCTGCATGCAGTTAGACCCTATTAATTACAAACCTTTTTCTTCCGGCAAAATAATACCTAATCCAGTTAATCTGATTTTATATTTATGGGCTAATTCAAATTAAAAATAAAAAACCCATCAGGTGTGAGCTAAACTCACATGGTGAGGGTTCCGTACATAAATATGCAAATATAAGATAAAATAATCTAAAATAAAATAAGTATATAAGATAAAATAATCAAATTTGTTTAAAATAAAATAAGTATAATAATAAACATTAGTTTTTTTTTGTCATAAGAAATAGACAATAATAATAATTACTAGTAGTAGTAATTAGTACATAATTGTGTTTAAAATCTGGATCGCATAACTTTATTTTTGAGATTTAATTATAATTTTTCAAAAACGATGCCACTTCCATAACATTTATTTTTCCTGTAATATTTACATATACCTTTATAAATTGTAATGATTTCAGTATTTTCCCTTCAGAAACTGCGGAAACAAGAGGGAGGGGGATCATAGTAAAAACTATGAATCTTAAAAATAAATGTAAATTAGTTTTTAAAAATGTATAAATTAAGCTCTATTATATACATATAATAAGTTACCTTACGTTCTTTGTATAAATTTAAAAATTTTCTGCCTATCAGCACCAAGTGTCTTCTGGTGCAGGCTTCGGTTTTACCCATCATCGATTATGGCGATGTTTGTTATGGGAACCTCCACCAGGAATTCCTAAATAAAATGGATTGTTTGCTTAATAACTGTATATGGTTCATTTACGGTTTTCGTAAGTATGACCCTGTTTAGCCTTACCGCTTTGAACTGTAATGGCTTCCGATTCGCTTGCGCAGAAATGTCAGAGTTCTCTGTCATCGTTTTTTAATGCTTTATGACCTACAATCTCCTCAATATTTCAAAGAAAGATTCCAATTCTTAAGTGCAACCCACTCTCGAGATCTTCGCTCCTCTTCTAATTTATTATTGTATACCCCCACCCATCGATCAAACTTCTCTCAATCTTTTACAATCTTACCTTTGGAATGCACTGCCTATTGATATCAAAAAGTGAACATTACTTCAATTTATCACATCAATGAAAAGCTTCAATCTGTACAATTATATAATTAGTTATGATTTATATATTTATTAACTTAAATTGTACTATGTATAGTTATTTATATATGTATTGTATGTATTGATTTATGTATGCATATTATTCTATATGTTTGTATGTTTATTTATCATAAATTGTTGTTATCTTTCAAAATATTTATTTAATTTAGGTACAATTTTTTATTAAATCTATGCACCGCTATTTACTCTTTCTGTTTAGCGTAACGGTTGACTGGTAGAGAATGCCATTAGGCATTAAGTCCACCCTGTAAACATATTTTAATGTGTGCAAATAAATAAATAATTGCCAATTGGTCCGATACACAATAGGCCACCCCTTCCTTTCACTTGGGTGTCGTAACAGGCGACTAAGGGAGGGCGAGGGATGGAGAGCAGCGTCCCTCTTAAAATATCTCCAAGGCCTAACTGTGGTTGCCCATCCGCCTGCCAAGCGTAGCAACTACTGGCAAAACCTCCCAAGGGGAAGGCTTATGTTCAGCAGTGGACAGTTAAAATCTGATATAATGATATAACATCCTACTTGGACTAGTATCACAAGTTTGAAATTTTGAGTACCCTTTTGGATCCCTTAAAAATAGTTTGCAATTATTCCTATTGCAACATGTGTAGGCTAATGATATGTAAAACTATTTTAAATCGATAGCATTAGTAGTTACTGAAATACAGCGGTATGACAGACGAACGGACAGACGGGCCGTGAATTTAAATATGACTATGAATGGGACATATTACTTTTTATTCCAGTCAATCAATATTACGGTTACACAAACGAAATCGCAGGTAAACACTGATATAATGTTAATAATATGCTAATGATATGCTGATAGTAATCATGATGATGATGACAATATATACTTTTATCCCTCATCACTTGTAAAAACGATTTCGGCGGTCCTATACAGTAAGATTTAGTTCTCTCTAGCTTAGACCGGTTGATGTAACATCTTTTTCAATGGGTTGCTTCTATATTATTTTAGGACAGCCGTGCTTTTTTTGCCCCTTAAATTTCTGTTTGGATATATGTATGTCTGTCTGGTCTCCATAGTACATAACTAATTCAATTTATTTTCGTTAAAAAGATTTTAAAGTCGACAGGACTGCTAATTCCCACAGGATAATCGGTATATTGTTAGTATTGGGGCCGTTAGTTCCTTTTACTAACTACCGTTGTACCTAATTACTGGGAAATTCTTTAAAATGGGATATCTAATCTGACTTTATCCTCACCTGCTATACCTTAATGATACCTTGCCAACATTTCGCATGCTCGTTTGCCCTCTGTGTTATAAAATAAAAACCTATACCATATTTAATCATTAATTATCATCTCCCTTATATATTCAAGTTTCGAGTTTTACTTCTCTTTTAGTAGTCTCAGTACACTTTGTTTTGTTTTTAACTAAAAAATAGTGACATTTTTGTTATTTTACTTAACAAATTTTTTTTACATCAAATTTTTAAGGTTTTTACTTCGCTAAAAAAAAAAATAAGCAAATGAAACAAAACAACAAAACATCAAATAAATTATTAAAAATTTTAGGGATGCCTCTAAAGTTATCTTTTATATTTGGCGATATCGCTATGCGTAAATGAGATTCCGGATTTCTTTCCCAGTCGGACCAATTTAGGAAATAAACTTTTATGAATAGAGCATAATTCAGGACACCCAAACCAAAGCCAGGTTTGGGTGTCCTGAATTATACTTACAAGATATTGTAGCTTGAGGATCAGGCGATTGATATGATTGTGTGGCACTTATTATTATATTTTACTAGTATAATAAAATTGTAACTAGACGAAGACGGGTTTTATTAAGAGCAATAAAAACCAAAGTAATATTTTTGTTTTATTTTGTCTGTCTGTATGTTTGTTTTAGCATCTCGCAAAAAATAGGTACTGCACCAAATTGGATGCGGTTTTTACAATTGTGTTCCTGTATGTGTTTTCTTGATACGCCATTTAAAAATGGTCGATTTCATTGGGTTTCTTATTTCTGAAATCCTAGGAATTAGTGGTGTAGGAAGCAGTGGGCAAAAAGCTGGTGTAATGTATTATTGTAATACAATATAATTTTTTTTAATGGGTGATAATGAAATGGTAACCCTGACTGCGCTATCGGTATCCGCTGGTGGGGTACCAATGAGGGGTGATAGGTGAGGATAAAAGCAAGTTCGTTAGCCTATCGTAAGGAATTCCACTAGAATTAACCACGATAATTTCCAGGGGGGACCGCGTGGAGATCGACCTGATAAGGTGAATTGCTGGTAATGAGGAAATTAGACCCCATTATTAGTAATCCCTTTCTCCCCTCATAATTTTATGTTAATAATATATTGGTTCAATTTTATTATCAACCGATTTCACAAAGGAGGTTCACATTTTTTTTATGTTTGTTACCTCACAACTCCGTCAGTTGTAAATCAATTAGAAAAATTATTTTTTATATTTGAAAGAATATACTTACAGATTGGTTGCATTGAAGCTTTATAAAAATCGGCTTAGTTGTTTAGTTTTAAATAAAAATACCTAGTTTTATCGCAATTGAATTCGATTCTTTTTGTGGAACACAATTTAATTCTGACATGATTTTGACAATTCTTCCAATCGATAGTGTTTATGTGTTTTCTCGTGTTGGTCTCATATTAATTTGGTCTCAATTTAAGTAGATAGTTTGTTACAAATAGATTTAAATTGTAAATTATGGGAAACTACAACATCTTCTTATGTACTGATTTTTGCTTTGTAGTAATAATATTCTTTCATCGTACAAATGGGTTGTTGATGAGGAGTAGTGTAATCTTTGATACAAATGACAGACAATGTTAGTTCTTATGACTTTGCTACTTCAGGGATCGCCACGCGGCAAATGCAAGGATGAGTGCTATAATGGGCGACACAGTGTATCCATTCTGTTATGTCCATGATATTGTTTATATCTACAGCCGGCTGTTACGACTTTCAATTTGGTGGTTGGCGTCATCTTTTTTAGCTCTCCGGTAGTATAAAAAACCTATCTTATATTTTAAAGATGGTGATATCAGAAAATGTTTTCTCAGCTTCAATGGTCATTGGAGACTATAATGTCGATGACGATAATGCAGCAGATACTCGTATACTATCTCTATATATACAAATATTTTTAAAAAATAACAGAATGATTATGTAATTATCATATTAAATCTATTTAATAGATACCTGCTCCACTAGTTTGACATGTGTCGATCAATCGTAACCAGCGCAACTTAGTTTAACGGTTGATCAGGCAAATTGTCCGCGATCCTTACGTAATCTGAGGACGCAGTGCACTAGTTGAGGCTATCGACCTTCCCGCGGTTACTTGAAATAACTGTTAAGTTGTTGTAAATAACTTGATGGCAATCCACGCGCAGGGCAGCCGGTGCCGCGAGCTCAGTACGTTCGAAGTCGTATTGCTCACGGGACCATTATCCCGGTTCTATATTGCTAACCAGTTTCTAAAAATGCACTCAAAAATTGTTTTCATAAGTTGTCTATTATGTGAATTCGCAGTCTGTAAAACCACCTATGATCAGAGTCAAACGGGAGACTTGAACGTTCAAGTCGATTTGAAGGACGTGCAGATTATTGCCCTCCTGAATGGCGGCAAGGAGGAGTATGAGGTGAGGTATCTTTCGCATATTAGGTTCTTAAGATATATTTTACTATGAACAATGCAAAAGGAACTATCAGGCTGCAGGACACAGTTCTTTGTAGGTGTCTTATTACAGACATATCTTAAGACTTATCAAGGAATTGATTTCATTAAGAATATTTTACTTTAATTAGATAATTTTATAAACTTATATTTCTAGAATAAGACACATATATAATCACATTGTGGATTCAAGTAAATGGGGGTATATTTGTAGACATACAAGTAATTTTTTTTTTAAATCGATAGTGGACATAATATGAGGCTGTTTATCTAGCTGTGTAATCATATTATTTTTGTCCATTATAATAAAATGTAATATATCTACTTAATTATATTTTATAATAAATTATTGGAATGCCAATTTACCTAGATAGGGAAATTTTTGTTAATTGAGCAAAAATTATTGTTTGAAGTAAAATTTATACTGCTTTGCGAAATGCCTGAGTACGTTATGGTATGACACATTATTATATATCTATATAAATATTTAAAAAATAAATGATGTTCGTTTGTAGGTTTATCACTTATAACTTTGAAAACAACCATCGCTTATGGACATTTTACAAGAGATGTTTGTTTTCTGCGTAACTACATTAGCTTCTATTGAAACATAGAGTAAATCTTAGTTCGTGTGCATTACGTGTTTCACGGACTCTACCTGATCTTACTAGCTATAATATAGTTTATTCTAAATGACGCAGGCAAAGCCGTGGGACACAATAAGGAAATTATTTTAATTTTCTTCCTAGCGTCTTCAGTTTCGTTTATATAGATTTAACAGGCAGAAAAGAATTTAATACCTGATTATATATAATACTTGATGATAGTATATTACATAATTCTATGATTGCTATTATTATCTGTATACCGTGACAATATAACGTGAATTTGATTTACCTATGTGTAAAAAATTAATTCTAATCCTTTAGTTTGGCCAATCCGTTAAATTACTAACAATTCCTTTATCGCCTAATATATGGATATAATAGGTGGATTATAAATTCTTTTTAAAGTCGTTTGAAAAGTCTTGTATTCAGATGACCCGGCACTATAAATTGTGTTACGTACTTACATGCCTAGTAGGTACGATGACACCGCCGTTTATAACCGTGCAAATTATGCAAAATGCTTTTAGTCAGTATCATAGCTTCTGTTATTTATTCTGAGGATATACTTAGTTAAATTTATGCTGCAATGTTCAGTTTATAAATGAGGCCATATTGCAGTATTTAAATAGGTATGTTACTATTTCATGAATTACTTACTAGTTATATCTGGATAAAAATTGGTAGACATACCAAATTTAAAAACACTCAATAATATGAAGTCCTGTAAAAATTTGAAAAGCCAAAATACATTAATTTGAATGAACTTCATTAGGTAGCAGAACCGTATGAGTCAGTATCTATATAGTTATTACTCTCTTAACTTTCGTAGTACCGATATTAAATAATATAAGCATCATTGACGTTTTTAGTAGTAGCCTGCGAAAGATATTAGAAGCGGCTCAGAAATATCTGGAGTCGAATACCATTAATATTATGTTATATGTAAGCACTAGGGTTATAACACTGATTTGTTTTTTCCTGTTAATATTATTTTAATACATAGATAAATGAAATAATAATAAGCATGTAGGTATTTAGGTAATTTGGCAAGTATTATAATGTTTAGTTAATATTTTTAATATACAATTTATAATATTACAGGATATTGAATACGCTTACGATTATTCAGAAATGACTATTAGACCGCAGAACGGTACGACACCAAAACCGTTGAATGTAACTACCGTAGCTGATGTTTTAAAAGATAATGCGACCATTTCAACAACGATAAACATCGAATCAACCACGGAGAAGTTAAACAGCACATTGGATGGTATTGAAACAACAACAACTACGCAATCTCCAGTAACAACGGAATCAAATATTACGGCAATAAGCGAAGTGGAAGCAACAACAAAAACGACGTATTCTTCAGAAGTAAACGTGACTCCAATGTCAACTAGTTTGAATAGCACTAATTGCAAAAAAGGTTTTGTGTTGAATCATAAAGGGGGTTGCGAATTTAAATTGCAAGGCGCATCAAACGCGTAAGTATTTACGATCCTTTATTCTATAGAAACAGTAAATACCTATCTTTTATATATTACCCATATTCCCTTCAAATTAATAATAACATTATGTTATACTTACTGTTTTGAACAGTTTCAACATTATCAGAGAATTAATTTACTATTCTCTACGTCTTTAATGTATTACAATGTACATACATATATGCATAACGACATCAGTTTGGCGGAAAAATCTAATTTATCCTTATAAATTGGTAATTACTATTGTCATCGACCATTGTAAATTGGATTGAAAAACAGTTAGATAAACTATTTTTAACACTTATGTGGATATACTAGGTAGTATGTTTATGTTACATACAAATGTTGCAGTAGAAAATATGACAGCAGTTTAGTCTTTTAGTTATTTTGTGGTAGGAATCTATTTAGTTTATTTGGATCCGCTGTTAAACGCAGATCTCCCTCAAATCTTTTTAATAAGTGCAGACTTTTTTGTATCCATTTTCTTTCCACTAACTTTTGGAAACTTAGTACCCTTAAAGGGAGGACGGTTTTTGGAGCGTTTTTCCGTACGTGGACTTCACGTGTAGGAAACCACTGCCAACTTACCTACATATATTGAGAACTATATTAGTCAGTTTTGATCTTCAACTGACTTCTTTATTATTTTGGCCATCAAAGAAATAGCACAGATACCTTCACCTTGTGCGACTTTAAATTGGGAAGGCCAGGATTCACGTGTTTAAATTCGTGTAACTAGTTAGGTATGTACCAATCACCAGATATTAGTATCGTAATGTATTAGAGACGTAGTTTTTTTTTGATGGGTAAAATAGTATGGTAATCCCGCCTGCGCTAACGGGATACGCTGGCGGAGCACCAGTGAAGGGTAATAGATGAGAATGAAAACAGGCCAGTTAGCCCATCATGATGAATTTATCAGGAATTAACCATGATAGTTTCCAGGGAGAACCGCGAGGAGGTCGACCTGGTTGGGTATATTGCTAGCAATAGGATTATCAGTCTCCATTACTAACAATCCTTTTTCCCCCATTAGATACGTAGTTATACCTACATTTCTGTTATGACCCAGCGATAGCAACTTTTGGGCTGATTAGTATTTATAAACACATGAGGCATAACACTACTAAACCTATAGAGTGGTTGTTAAACAGAAATCTATACAAATGAAATAACTTTTTTAGAATAAGTATGAAAGATAATATGTAATAAATGCTATTTTTTTTACAGATTGCTTAAAATAGTAAAGCTATCTCAGAAATTGAAGTTAAGAAGAGAACACAGGAGGGATAAAAATGAAACAGTTTGATTCTGTTATTAACGAGTTATACCATCGAAATGTGGGTATTTTATAGCTTTATAATGAGTCTAATTATACATACAAAATTACACGAAGATTTAGTATGTATGGTAATTACTATATAAATGTAACTAGACATTATATATTGTAGTTTATAATTTTTCTAGCCAGTGCTCACGATTACGCTCGCGTGGTGTTTATTTTAATACAGTTTAATCATTTATAGCCTGTGGCGTCCCACTATTGGGTAAATGCTCTTCTAACTGTTCTACTGTAGATAATCAGAAAATTATAATTATAATGTTTGGCTTTGGTTGCAATAGCAACTATAAAAAATGTACCGGTTGTATGCAGGCCCTTAGGCAATGTATTTTTCACTGTAACATAATCTAATAAAAAACTACTAAGTATACAATAACTTGAAATGTATTACGAAATATACTGAAATATGACGATTAAATATATAAAAGGCAATAATATTTTTATTGATGGTTTGTTAGATATAAATTTTCAAATGTAATTTTCATTTAAAAAAGTATATCTTCATTTTTAAGTTAATGCTATTAATGTTTTAAGTTTCAATTTGTAAACTTCCGTTATGTGCGTTAAATAAATAAATAAACATTCTTGGAAAAATGTTTTGACCGGACACGGGGCTCCTAAGCAGTTGCCTACACTGGAAAACACCAGTAACAAACTAAATTATTTAAAGATGGCGGTAGGCTGTAAAAATCGACAAATACATACATCTGAGGTTATAGTCGTGAGTATATTATTTATTTATTTCAACTTGTATGAATGTAGGCTTTGTTGGATTATTTCGCTAGATGAATCTGCTGGAGGCTTATCACAGGAAGACTTTGTACAAAAGCTTGGGTATTTTATTTCTGTCTTAGTTGTGTTTCTGGCATGTGTTTCAAACCGACACATGGATGTGTCGATTTCAAGGGTGGGATATGGCAATGAAATTACAGGGTATAGAAACATCACCTTCATCTTCCATAATGGCAATGCATGAAGGGCATCACAGGTGATACAGTATACTCTGTTATGTCTATGATACTATTCATGTCAATAGGCGATGATTACCACTGTCCATCAGGTGTCCTGCCAGTTTGTTTGCCTTTTTAATTTGCATAAAAAAATGGTGTAAGTTAGATCTACAACACGGACAAATTCGCGAGACTAATATAATACTAAAATAGCTATTTTACTTTTGTTTTTTTGTTAGTTTTATATTTGTATTTGACAATTTCTCCACAAAAAAAAAGATGTCAATGATATAAATAAAAACTGTAAGAGAAATTAACCTATTTTTGTTATAACCTAATATCCATACTATAAGTGAATGTATAAAAGCATATAAACTAAATAAATAAATAACTTATTGGGTAAGTAAATATAATGTTTTAATTGTGTTAACAAGGTCATGAAATAAAAATTGTTTACTAGCAAGTAGGTATTCATATAAAACCTGTTTTGAATTAATATCATGTGAAAACTATTGAATATTGATGAATTTTTAATTTTAGCTTCTTCAAGGTTTAACTAATAGGTAGACACTATTAATATTTATCTACTGTCGACTAATCTTATGGGATTTTGAAAAATCTCTTAATAAATAACTAGTTTTTATACATAACTGGGCCAAAAATTAGGCCATATCCCTTTTCTATTTGAAGTACTAGTGCATAATACATTTCATAATTATTGTTTAAGTTGTTAAGTTACCAAGAGGTAACACGCTTTCAATTTATAATATTTTTTAAATGGTTGATATTGAAATGGAAACACCATCCGCAATATTAATAAAAAAATGAAAATCCTAGGCTACTTGCCCGGCATCATGGGACCAATGCAGATGTGTTCAAATGTCACCAGCCTGTAGAGAGTCAACAATTTTCCAGCTTAGGTATACCAAATATAAGAAATGACATATGTAAATAAATGTCATCCTGGTATAATGTTTGTATTACCACTGCTAGGATCTAAAATCTAGAAATATTTAGTAATTCAGTAATTACTTTGCTTGATGTCAATACAAGTATTTAAAATTAGAAATAAACTAAATACTTACATACTTTTACTATGTGTTGCAGCTAGGTTAAATTGATTTCTATTATGGTAGATGATCAGTTTTCATAAATTCTAACTTTATAAACATTTCTAATGTTTTAAATGTTTACCTGCTGGAAATTTTAAATAAAGAAGTTTTATAACTAAAAAATATTTATTTACATTTTTGTGCATGTGAATAGCATATTATTGATTTCAAACTTTTATTGGAATGGGATACTTTATACTTAATTTTGTTTTATTTTATAATGTGCACAAAAAGTATATTATTTGAGCATAATTTTAATTTTAATGTCAATATCATAATAAATAAGAAACAGACTCTATAGTACACAAACACACAAAGTATGAAGTAACAAATGATCATATTAAAGTTTACAGAGACAGAACAAAAGTGGAATGAATGCACCAATAGTTATGAATACTGGAATAAGTACAGAACTCTCATCCATAGAGTATGGGTCAGGTTGTTTGGGCCCACTAGCACGCCGGGGTTTAGTGGTCTTCTCTTCAATTTCGTCCCTTTGTTCCTCCACTTCAGTCTCAGGCCATACTAATGGTGGTAATTTAGGAACTTCATCTATTGTACCCCTCATGACATAAAGGGCATTAATTTTTGGATTATCTCGGTAACCTTTGATGAATTCCACTTTTATTTTACCTCCTCTTATGTCTGATTCTTCCTCATTGTAATATAATTTTCCATTTTTAATGGAATATGGTATGTATTCATCATGAGCAACACCCCTGCCAACTTTGTCAAAAATGTCTAAATCTGCCACTATAGTATGATCACCATTTAATACAACATCAAAAACTTTCATATTGGGTGCATTAAAGTACACTTCACTGAATTTCAACACTAGTACATAATCACCGTCTCTGTTTGCTGGAATGTCGTAGCCAAATGTGCTATGATGGTATCTTTCAGTCTGATAAAGTATTTCGTCTTTTTGATTTACTCTACCAATCATGACCAATTGTTTTCCGTAATTAGAAGCAGTACCAATTCTTCCTTGTAAAGGGTCTTTTTCATAGTGTATACCATAAATATCAGTATGTGCAGGTCCTCCGGCATTAATAGCATATATTATTTCACCTAAACCTGTAGCACTTTTTATAATAAAACATATAAAAATTGAATTAAATATTAAACCCGACATTTCGGTACAGACGACAGCTATACGACACCGTGATTTTAGTGATGATGTCGTTTTTTGATGATTGTTGCAATTTACACTTGTGCAAATAATTTCGGTATGATTAATAATACATTCTGGTTTATGATATAGAATAGGTATAAATTAATATACAAAAATTGCCGGTAAGCCATATGCTACCTACACCAATATAATAAAAATTCATACGTACAGATTAGAGAGATTATTTTAAAGCACAGATACTTAGAAAATTAGGTATGTTCGTAGTTCTAAAATCATAGATTAAGAATATCTGCTGTCCTGGCTTTCTTCTTCTATGAACAAAAGGATACAATACTATAAAATGGGGTGAATAGGAACAATTGTGATATCGTATCAATGTTTTTATGTTAGAACACAAAAATTTTATAATTTGATATACAACCGGAATCATAAATTTTAAAAAATATGTATTTATTATTAAATAATTTGTGTAGTTTTCTTCAAATATACCAAAATTTATTTATTTTTATTTAAGGTACATTGGGGTGATTAGAAACGAAAAAGGGGTCAATAGAAAAATAAGTCAACATACAGCTTTATTCATAAAAGATCTTATTGTAAGTTTAAAGAGTTATTAGCTCCGTAGCTAAAATACAAAATAACATTGCTGAACATAACATTTACATTGAATATAATTTTATTTATATTTTTATATAACATAAGTTATCAGAACACATATTAGTTATTTCAATATATAAAAAATGTATTTATAAGTGAAGTGTTTTTGAAATGGCGCCATAACTCTGACTGTCATGGTGCTTATGGTGCCGTACAGTTTTGTAATATAATTTTGTACAAAAACGTCATTTCAACTACAATGATCAAACTGACGCAGGCCTAATACTATTGCTCAATGTATTGTTTCGGGCATGGCAAATAGTTTAGAGGTAACAAATAATAAATTATCGTATGTAAAAATAAATAACAACATAAGACCTCGGACTCTCGTGTAACTTCATTATTTTTAGTGTAGATAAAATATTTTCTTTAAAAAATAAAATAAATAGTAATAATAAAAAAAAAAAAAAAACTAGAAAACTGGAAAAATTAAGCTCAAAAATTGTCCCACAGTCCCACTCTGATAGTCTGGAAGATATAAGAGATCTTCACTTATCAGTTTCTGATAAAGCATAAGTGGATGTATTTATGGACAATTTAGTTCCTTTAACGCACTGCATAATTTCAGATTTAATCATTTTATCTTTAGTCGTCCTAATTCCAGAGCGTATATTTTTGTTTTCTGTTGTACTACTCTGAAATACTCCAAAACACTAGTTCCCTCATTTAAAACCTTCAAAGCTTGAAATATGACGCTGGTAAACTACTCTTAGTAGACTACTAACTTTATATATTTCTACGATTATTTATTAGGTTGCTGCTGTTGCTTCAAAAATACACCGAAACGTCAAGAGAAATCATTTATTCACTACAAGGCCAATGTGTAAAATAGTCACAATTAACATAACAAACCTGCACAAATCAATTGGTAGGAGTATGAGATTTTTTTTTTTAAATTATATTGTTAGAGCTCTTACACAAAACGATGATAGTACGTCACGTTGTGATACGACGCGTCGTATCGTGGAAAACTAATGAATAACATACCGGTAAATATGCCATGCGTACGGTACGACATCCTATCGTAGAAACTCACGGTGCCTTCGTGTGCCGCATTCATTTGTTTGTCTATACGAAGCTGATACGTAAAAAAATACTTAAAATGAATGAAAATATTTTATCGCAATCCAAATTTATAACAACCCCATCTATTGCCTATATACAGTATTAAAAATCTATCGAAAAATTAAAAATTAAGTAGATATGATATAAAATATTATTACCCATAATTATTATTATTATTTCAATTAGGAATTTCGTAGTTAGGCCTTAACTGGCTATAAATCCGGCTGCAAAATTAAGTATTTGGAGATTTTTTAAAAATTCTCGAATACTATGGTAGTTAAAAACATCGTTGTATTTTTCCTGTAATATTTGGGTATATCTTTATAAACTGAAAATATTTTAAATTTTTCGCTTCATAAACTTCGGAGATTGGTTGGGAATGGTTTCTTTTTAGAATATCATGGATTATAACACAAAAACCAAATTGCATAAAAATAAATAAAATAAATAAATAGACTAATAAGTTCAATTTGAAAATTTGAGTATCGCTTTTAGGCCCCCTAGCAAAGAAAATAAAATTGTACCGTAAGGATTTCTTTATAACATTTAGGTATAAAGTCTTAAAAAGCTGCATTGAATTTGCGTAAAAATAAACGATAATTTTTTATTATGCTACATTTTACTTTGTTGGTAAATCACAATGAAAATACAAAACAATGTGGAATTTGTTTATAAAGTTTGCAAACATTAGCAGCTTGTTAACATCTTTATATGTACGTATACAAACAAATCGAAGTGTGTGAGATATAAATATAATAAGGCGTTAAACAAAAATTATTCGTATCGACTGTAGGCGAAGAACCAGAATCAATAATAGCCCACGCATTTCCTCGCTCCTGAAACAATGTTAACTTAAATTCAAAATGCTTGTTCATGGAACATTATGTCGGAGTTACAAATCTGGCAAAATGACATGCCCAAGTAAGTAAATGTGAACGCCGATTATGTACGCCTGTCATGTGCGTCACTGTACATTTAGTTTTTCATGGATTATAACGTCTTAAAATAATTTCATGTATATTTTGTAGATAGGAAGGTATTTAGGATTTGTTTAGGCCTGTGTTTCTATTAATTATAGTCGTTCTATTGTGGGGATTTTAAATTGTATTTTTTCTATCTGTGTATGTTCTAAGCTTATGATGTGAAAATACTTGGATATTGAGTTTTGATAAAATTTATACTTGTAAACAATTTATATTTGTAAAATTGTGTGTTCTGATTGACTATCAACGCATAGCTAAAACTACCAAGCCTAAAAAGCTAAAATTTGGAACAAAATTTTATAATATAACCATTTATTAAGAAAGTATTAAAAAAATCATCTCTTGAAAATATAATATATACATGTTTGAAGTCGCGGGGAACAATTTCTTCTATTACATATGTATATATATACTCGTAATTACGATCAAATACAATTTTTTGTAGTTAGTAGTATTATAGTAATAATATTTATTTCATTATTTTCATCCTCATTAAGGGGTCGAGATATATTTTTTACAGGGAATTAGTTATTGCTGTATGGAACTTCTCTATGTAATGATAGAGTATACTTACTCGTTTTTATACTTAGGATATTTTAAGAAGCGATTATTGGAAGAAAGATGACCCGTACCCAGAAGTGGCAATGGCATTGCTATGGATGGATAGATGGCAGCATGAAATAAACAAAGCTATAGTAGTTATGGATAAGGATATTTATGCGATATGAACGCAGTAATAATTTGCATATAGTTTGTGCTTATACAAATACACTTTGATAATAAATACATTTTTATTTTTACTTTTATAGGAGGCACCTATCTACCATTAGTCGGGATTGGCAGGCTTACAGCTTACATTTAAAAATATACAAAATTTGTAACAGAAATACCGTGGAAATTGAATATACATGCAAATAAAAAGAGTTATCAATCAACTGATTTCAAAAGGAAGGAGGTTTTACGTGATATTTTTGCTAATTCTGCACCGATATTAATGGTTTTTTTAATCGATATGGCCTACTTCGGTATTGGTCCTATACCTACTAATTTTATATGATTGTGTCAATAATTTTGTTCAATAAAATCTTATATTTTAATGACAAAATAAATATAAAGTTCCATATCTTATGTCATCCTATATCTCATATAACTTATAGTAATATATTAAAACAAAATATTTATATTAAGTATAATAATAATAATGAAATATTCTCTTGAATGCTTTATCTGTTCTTACTGAATATCTTGTTCATCCATTTTGAACAATAGACACAGCGGCTCTTATATAATACGTATTGTCACTGCCCAGTCTATTGTTTTCGCACAGTTTATCTTATAACAAACATATGTATATCCCATATATATCCCATTTTATATATGATTAATATATGGTTGCGACAATTCCATGTTAATGTTAAATTAGATAACAAACCTTGATATATTTTTTCTGTATAAAATTTTAAGGAATATGTTGTTAAGTTCAAATAAGAAAGAAATTTTTAAATAAAATAAATAATAATAAATAAGTTATAAAATTAAACTAAAAAGTTTAGTTTTTATCTTAATACTAAGTAAAAGTTCTCCAAAAAAGTTCCTAGTATTAAGAATATAAAGTATATCCCTACCTATGTAAGGTCCTGTCTATTATATTAATTAAATACGAAATGCTCTTCGCAAATTCATGAGTTTAGTAAACAGTGATGGATGATCAAATTAAACGATAAAGCGTAGTTTCTTATTAAAAATATTAGATTCATTATTCATTAAATTGTGTTCCACATAAAAACGGACTTCAATTCTTTAAAAACTAAAGTACTGAATCGATTTTGATAAAAATTTCTATGGGACTATTATTTTACTTATCCTTACTAATATTCTAAATATGAAAGTAAGTCTGTTTATTTTTTACCTTATAACGTCTTAACGGTTTAACTAATCTCTATAAAATTTGGTATACATGTACTACATAATACAGTAGTAGTATATGTACTATATATATATTTGGTATATATGTACGAACATATCTGACCTGGCGCAACTCCGAATAAAAGATGAGCTCTCGACAGTCTGCTATTGGAGGATTCTCGGATATTTCAGCCATATTGCTCATCGACAGTCCAACAATCTGGACAAGATAATGGTTGTAGACAAGATAGAGGGAAAAAGACCACGTGGACGATCGCCTAGTCGATGGTCGGGTCAAGTAAACGCCGTTACGGGACTATCAATTCCAGCTGCTCTGCGAGAGGCTTAAGACCGTGGGAAACAGAGAAACATCATAAGAGAGGCAACAGACACCTTTCAAGGACCTTTAGTAATGAAGTGGACGAAGAAAGAGAGAGAGAGAGTACTATATAGGATATATCTAGACTTTTTTATCCTGGTCAGTAAATATATCTCAGTCATGCAGACGAAGTCGCGGGTGAAAGGTAATAATAAATAAATGTTTATAGCAAATTCATAAAAATGTTTTTAAAGTAAATAATACTTTGAATTTAAGACATGAGGGGTATTATAGGGT